AGTGGCTCCAAAAAGGCTTTTTTTTTAGCCAGAAATGGCCCTCGGTTCTGGACCCCAATGTTCCGATTTTCTGCCATGGACTGATTGGAGATCAGCTACGTTTTTCCAGCTTTATTCCTCTTAATCTTTTAAAGGCTCACCTCTCAAACACGCTCAACTGTGTTCGCCTTAATGCATTAAACAGCTTATGACCAAAAAACACCTTTGATTTTATTCCAATCTAAATGTTTAGTAGGAGTTTGATGATCTCACACTCTATGAGTAGTCAGAGACTTTATAATTGAAACTCTGCTCCTGCCCAAAGTTTGTTGATTGTCTGTTGTCATGGTGATGGGATAAAGGGAGCCATCCTGTCTCTGGGACATGCAAAGTATGACTGAACTCAGTAGAAAGGAACACGCACATCCCACAGCAAGGACACCAAACAGGGAAAGCTGGTGACAGACCAAGGTATCAACAGAAATAATGTTTGGTCAGAGAGTTGTGCATACTGCCAGCTAGTGGTGTGGTGGGAATTACACCCAGTTCCAGCTTCTAGTGGAGATTTTAATTAATAACCTATGTGTGAAAGTTAAAATGAGAAAAGAAAATGTTTTAAATCGGCCATTGTTGAGTCTCTGGTTGCTAGGTTACCCAGCAGCTGAAGGAAGCAGGTAACATTCTGTATGTCTGATTTCCAGAGAGCTGCTCTGACTGAGGAACTTCTCTTTCCCTGTTCAGTCCTGGCTCCTAGAGATCAGCAGACATTTGTTTCTGCAAGTCTCATCCGTTCTGTGCGCTAACTGGCATTCTGCATTGCAAACTTGAACATTTGAGATTATAAAGGTGAGCGTCCCGCTTCCAAAACATTATTTTGTCAGATTTTTTCATTCACTTCTGCCATGATGTGATCAGAATAAGAGAAAAAGCTAGTATTCTTTATTAAATTCCTCATATAAAAGCAGCATCAACCCACCACACAGCGGTCAGTGCGCTCCTGCGTCCTCGCCAATGGTTGCTCTGTGCTTCTACACACAATGTCTGTGTCAGAAACGATTCTTGGTTGAAAACATAGTCGGTCGGATGTCCTAGTTGAGAGTGCATTGATGTCCGCAGGGTAAAGTACGCCCAACTATGGGACGGCCTTTAATCTACCGTCACAACACTTTGATCAAGCTGAGATCTGGACTTTGACTAGGCCATTGCAACCCCTTAATTGTTTTCTTTTTCCAATGTGAATTTGCTGCAATATTTGGAATCATGTCTTAGTTCATGATTGAGCTTCTGCTTTTGGTCAAACACCAAAGTGATGCAGAGAGGAGTCCCAGGAGTTGTTGAAGGAGTTGGAGCAACGCTTCAATTGTTAAACCTGGAATCAATCATTCCAGCTCTGTATTAAAGACTAGATGTCAGGACACCCAGCGTCCAGTGTCTCTATGGAAGGGACTGAATGTTGTCTCCAGCGGACGCTCCTCTGACGTCTGTCTGCGTGTTTTCATGTACTTCAGACGTCTGTGCTGCTTTGCTGCTTTGAAATGTGAGCTGTGTTTCTGAACTTGTCGTCCCCTCCCTCCATTCATCCTGCATTGATCTGCTGCTGCACCAAAACACACAGACGGCCTCAGAGGAGCTTAAAGGGGAATTCCAGCTGAAACTGATGTTGGATAAAACAGCTTTATGCTCCTCTTTACTCCTCCTTTACATCTGCTGGTTTTAAGGAAGGGATCAATCACGGTTGTTGCCACGACGATCCAGACGTTTTTACATATATCCATGTGCTTCAATTGTCTTTGTTCGCTTTGAAATAGCAACTTTCAATGAATTCAGTCATTCATCAGAAATCTGCAGTTATGAAGATTAAGCCGATAATTGTCTCATCCTGTCTGCATGGCGTATGCGGCGCCTCAAAAATTTCCAACTTCATACTATCACAATAAGGCAACTGTCGGCCATTAAAACTGTTTTAGATTCAGGCTTGACCTTCCAAGGGTCAAAGAACAGCAGCTGGTTTACTAAATGTTTTTTCAAACTCATTTAGTCTCCGTCTTTGACTCTCCCTTTTGTATGTTCGACATACTTCATGAGGTTTTGTTAACAAAATCTGGTTAATCTGATTGGCTGTGCTGCAGCCCACACACGTGTAGGAAAAAGATGGAGATACAGCCTGCATTTGTTAACACACACTGACAATTAATTAATGGGGCAAAATTACAGGTGTTTCAAATTTAAACTTTGAGTAAAGTATCAAGTCTTTTCAGGTAAAATGGTTCAAGTCCAGTTTACGTCCCAAGTCAAGCCAGAAGTCTGCCCATTTTCTCCCAGTCATGTCTAAAGGCATAAAATGAACGACTTGAGTCCAAATCATAGTCCTAACTCCTCCAGATGATGTTTTATAAATTGGTGCTGTGTAAATAAACTAAAATGAGTTGATTGATAGGCAAGGCAAATTTATTTGTATAGCACAATTCAGTACAAAGACTGTATAATGTCATCCGTGCGCCGCTTTGTTTTTGAAAGATATAAATTGAAAAAATATAACCACGGATGTCTGGGGGACAGTGATTGGCCTCCATGTTCTGAATGCTGGCGTACCATAAAGAATAAATGATGAACAGTTTAGTTTGTGCCTTCAAGTCGTTGCCCATAGGAAGACGTTACTGGATATAACCTAACGGAATATCCTGAGAACGGCTCCAAATGATATAAACTCATATGGGTGAGTAGAACATGATGGAATAACGGGAAATCAAGGGCCAAATGTAAAAAAAAAAAAAAAACTGGCGTTCCCTTTTAAAATAAGAAAAAACAACTGCATTGTCTTAAGTCTATATTATCTAATTATCTTATTTTAAGAGTAAAAATACTCATTCCATTGGTAAATCAGCTTATTAACCCACTAAATAAAGGGTAAATACACTGAATGTGGACCAACCTTTTGAAACCAACTGTCTCTGTCAGAATCAGGAGTAAATCCGGAGCACTGAAAAAGTTCTCTTTTTTTCCTTTTCTCTGTCCTTTCGTGGTTCTGACTTCCTCTGAGTACATAGAACCAGGCATTCATGGTAAAGTCCTGCACGGGTCGAGGTTTACCAACCCGCACCCGCCCGAACCCGTTAGGATGACTACCGAACCCGACCCATCACCCGCGGATATCTTCAATTCAAATCCAAACCTGACCCGACCCGTTGATATTTAACCCGCAACCCGACCCGTTAACAAATCAAGTAATAGGCTATAGTACGCTGCGCTGCAGAACAGCGCCATTAACACTGCAGCAGACGTGTACGCACTAACTGTGGCCTTTTTGGAGGGAAGCCCACACTGCCGGTGTAGGTACCAGATTGACTCGGGCTGCCAGATTGACTCGGGGACCTGCGCCTTTTGATGACGTCACAATACATAATTGTTTTAACGTTTGCACAATTGCGCAAAACATTTTGATTGGTCTGGACAGCTTACTAAAGTAATTATAGCGGGGTGTAGGTTTATTCGAAAGCGGGATTGCGGTTTGTAAACCGACACATTTACGAAGAAATTCTCCATGGGCCTTGCGCCTCCCGATGACGTCACCGAATTCGCCATGGGCCTTACGCCTCCCGATGACGTCACATTATGGCAACGCCACTCAAACAAACTACATTGAGCCCGCAGTCTGCATTTGTAACGAGAATAAATTCAGGAGAATGAAGCTAAAGGGATACAAAAAATAAACTTGTAATATAACAAAAACAAAAATACTACGAATACAAAGTATATTCAGAGATTAAAGTCCCTCTGATACCATGGATCATTTTTACGAAGAAATTCTTCATTATCTTTCAAAAGGGACTTACCACAGCCTACCTACATCCTGTTCAAGTCCTGATATTGTGTTTACATGAGAATAAAGTTTGAACTGAACAAAATATATACCCATTTCCTGCAATCTCTAAAAAAATTAATGAAAAATTAATGTTTTAATGTATTATAGGTATTTGGTCCATTAACGGACAGTGCCAAACGATTACCGTTTATTGGCTAAATAAAATACATTTGTGACAAATGGAGACCGCGGGCGCAATGTAGTTTGTTTGAGTGGAGTTGCCATATCGTTACGAGTGGCGTTGCCATATAGTGTGACGGGCGGGGTTGCCATATTATGACGTCATCAAAAGGCGCAGGCCCCCGAGTCAATCTGGCAGCCCGAGTCAATCTGGTACCTACACCGGCAGGGCTTTAAGCTACAACAAGGGTGACCCCAGACAGTGCCTGATTAATAGAACATTTCTGATGTCCATAACAACACACGCATAAAAAAAAAAATCACCAACTACCCGCCCGCACTAAAAAAATATCCGCCCGACGCCCGACACGTTTATTTTTATTTATGTATTTTTCACCCGCAAAAGAGCATTTTTGCGGGTGACCCGTCGGGACTCTAATTCATGGTGTAAACTCTGCAGTGGTTTATCTTGGTGAAGTTTATCTGTTTGACGTGATGAGAGAAAGCTCAAACTCCAAGCTCTGGTTCTGTTTTTAGATCCTGCAGCTTTGAACAGAACAACCCATCTGCATCTGAGCCGATAAAAACAAATCTGATGATACGGACGTGTTTATCAGCCTGTGTTGGAGGAAACAGATCTGGATCTGCTTCCTCCAGCTGCTGGTTTCTCTTCACCTCCATGAAAATCAGCTTTCAGGGATCTGAACTGAGCGGCAGCAGATAATCGGTCCACATCTGATCAGGGTTTATTTTTAGCTCCAACTGTTTCCAAAATCACCAAAACAACCTGAAAACCAGGAAGCTGCTGCCTCCCAGGGTTTGGTTATGGGAAGGTTCTAGAACAGCTCCTGATTCTGCTGAGTGAAGCGGTACCTTCCTGTGCTGATCTGAATGGTTTCAGTCTGTTACTCAGAGACTTCTCAGCTGCTTGCAAAAGCATTTCTCAATTAAATCGTTCAAATTTGATTTTTTCTTATAAATTGCTTCATTGTTACACCTTTTACAATAGCAACCATTTAAAACGCCCCTTCCCAGTCAAACGCCAGCCGAACGGCGACTTCCAACTCCCAGTGAAATCCCCTCCACCCCCCAACCACTGCAGTGACCCCCTCTTGCATATTTTTTTTCTCTGACTCCACCTTTCACTGAACTACAGGGTCTGAACAGGAGATGAAGCTTCTCTTTAGATCTTAAGGTCCTCAAATCATGACAGAATCTTTTAGTACAAATGTTGATGTTTAAAAAGGAATTGAAGGGAACCAGCCAAGGACCCATCAAGGAAAGTGGGGAAATTTTGAATGGCCACTACTGAACCATATTTGGCTGATTTAGTGAGTTGAGACCCCACCAATCAGCCTCTTATGTTATTTCTAATGGTTTTTTGTTTTTTATTATTTCAAAGAGCCCAAGCTTTGATACGTTTCACAAATTCTCGATTTGATTTAGGTCTGCACTTTGAATAGGCCATTATAATGGAAGAAAGCTTTGATCTAAACAAATCTATTGTTGCTCTGGTTTAAGTTTAGAGTTGTTCTCTTGGTGAGAAGGCCTTTACGTTTCCTTTAGGTACCGTCCCTGTTGAACAAAGCATCCCTACAGCATGATTCTGGCTCTGTTTCCACGTAGGGATGGTGAGCTCAGGAAGTTCGTTTTCCATCAGAAAACATTTGGTGTATTTCAAAAGTAAAATAAACTCATTGACCAGAGCATTTTCTTTCAAATTAAATCAAGACCTTTTATGACTTGATTCACCTTATTCGGAATTTGATTTGGGAAAATTTAAAGGGAAGATTGAGCCAGTAAAAAGCAGAAGATGAGTCCGACTACTAGAGCAGGGCTAAAGAAAGGCAAAGCTTTTAAAGAAACAAGGTACTGTATCCTAGGCTCCGGCAGTAAGAATGAAAACATCTGCTTCTGGAACCTGGTAGTCAAGACTTAAAGGTATAGTGGAGGATGTTCTTTTTCCGGGTGGATCATGAAAATAAGTGGTCCTCCTAATTGTCAATCATTCTGGTGATTTGCTTGGCTGGTCCTTGGCTGGTCCCCTACAATTCCTTTTTAAGCATGAATCTTTATACTAGAATATTATTTCAGCCATGATTTGTGGACATTAAGAAAGAGAAGCATCATCTCCTGGTCAGGCCCTGTAATTAGGTGAGATTCAGATCGAGTCAAATTTTAAAAATATGCACGCCCAGGAGAAGGGCATTGGCTGGAGGTTGGAGGGGATTTTGCTAGGAGCTACAGGGAAGTGGGCAGCCATTCGGCTGGATTTGACTGGGCAGGGCCATTTTGAAGGGCTGCTACTGTAAGGCTTTCCTACGTGCTTGTCCCCATTTTCACTTAACGGTGGTGAGTCTGACATAGTGGAAAAATTGCAAATCTTCTACTGGAAAGTAAGCTTGTATGAATTATGCAAACAGCAACTTTTAAACAGAGTGTGCAGAAGGAGAAATGGGCTTGTGCAGGCTCTCTATCATGAGCGGGTACAGGTTTGGGCATTTTTTTTAAGTGAAGAGGGCGGGTCTTTTCAAATACTGTGAAAATCCTCCACTATACCTTTAAGTATGGCTGGAACACCATCCTGAGATTATTACATCAACAAAAACCTGAACTGACAACATGTTATAGGTTCACCAAAGGTTTTAAAATCTTAACTTCTTCCACCCTTTAGCTTGTTTCTTCATCATTGAGTCATCTGGCTGTAGTTCACCTGTAGAAATGTCTTGACTCAGCTGATGAACACCCTGTTTTCTCCTCAGACCTGCTTCCCATTGACCTGCTCTCCAGAGCGTTACCCCGCCCAGGACCAGCCGCAGCCTCTCAGGTAGGAAACAGGAAGATCAGCTGATATGAGCTAAAAGACTCAGTTGATCAATGTTCTGTCCAACAGGTGCAGATGGTTCAGTCCAGAGGCTCTAGAGGTATCAGACTGACCGGCTCGGTACCAACAGCTCTAAGTTTTACAGCCTCACACATCTTCACCAACTGTAACTATTTTCCTTCTGAGTTCTCTTTGGTTGCCACTGTAAAGATACCAAGACTGAGACAGAAGGTAGACATTTTAGAAGCTGATCTAGTTTAAATATGTTGTCTCCAATTCAGGGCTGTCTAACTTGCTTTGTTCCTTAGACCAATCAGTACATCCTCTCTGTGGTGAAGGAGGAATCTGCGTCATTGCTGCTTGGGCTACGTGTCTCTGAGAACCATCTTCATCTTCTGACCGCGGCCCCCGGTCCCGGAGGGAGAAGACGGATAAGTTTTAAAAATGTGGGATTAGACGACAACAGATGGCACACGCTGGTTCTGGCTGTGAGCGGTCATTACGCCATGCTAACCGTTGACTGTGGCCTACCTGTAGAACTGTAAGTCTTTGGGTGGTTTGAACTGATTGAGGATGGTTAGAACCAATTTAGACTGGTGTAGATTAGTCTTAACTGGTTTAGACTAGTCAATTGTTCAACCTGTAGACTAATGCCAACATGTCTAAACTTGTTATTAACAGTTTCAAAGCTGTTTAACTAGTAGATAACTAGATTAGATATTGTTAAACCAGTTCACTGCGACTCAAGCACATTTTTACAACTGGCTTAGGAGAGTTCAGACCGGTGTTCTATCACACCAGCATACCCATAGTCAAAACCCATTTATCCCTTTTGTTTTGTACAAAAAATACACTATAAACTACCTCAACGGGAGTGTTTCCATTAAGTCACGTACAAAAAGACTATCTAATTACTTATTTGTTGGTGTTTTGAAGCATATGGTGACATTACATTGTTCTTTTGGGACATGATTAAAGGGTTACACGCACATTGAGGTAGTTTAAAGTCAAAGTTAAAAGCAAATCTGACGTCTTGCGCATGCCTATTGACTATAGGTATTCTGATCTGACAGAACAACAGTTCTACTACATTCTGGTCCCACCATTGCAGCTACCTTCCTACCGGTAAAGGCTACATAAAATTGGTTTTGTCTACCTATTTGTTTTAAATTGGTTTTGATTGGTTCATTCTGCTTCATTTGGCCTATTCTAGTGGAGTTTTTTCTTTATTTCAGTCTGCCCTGATAGCTAGTGCAACAGGTTTAGTCCTTCCTTTGACACTAGTTCTTATCAGGTTCAATTTGATGCTGTTCAATTTAACTGAGATCTTCTCTATCTACAACGAGCAAAATTCAGTTCCTAGATAATTTTGGAGTCAATCCAGTTGAACACAATTAGCCATGATATGTTTTATTCTGGTTCTGTCTTTTTTTAAGATCCATTTATTGGATTATTATTCAAATTGACCAAGTTCTAGCTGAGATTAGATCTTATTGGTTCTTATTGGCTGGTATTGCTAAGTGAAATATTAGAACATTCATAAAAGATTTTCTCCAAAAAAACTTAACCAATTTGAGTGAACTGGTCATTGGTGTTCTTCTATCAGCCTCCTTAACTGGTTTCCTGTCTCTCAGTAAACAGGTCCAGTCCTTCCCCAGTACTCTGAACACTCAAGGTTCCAAGTTCATCATTGGCAGCAGGGGGCACTGGAGGGGTCACTTCTCTGTAAGTCTACCATCAGGATCAGAACCAGGTAAAGAGGCTTTTCCTGAGGAATCATTGGTCGTTTTTTACCTTCTAGGGTCTGCTTCGTCAGCTGGTTCTTCTTCCAGGCTCAGACGCCAGGCCCAGACTTTGTCCGAACTCTGAACCCAGTCTGGCAGAGCTGTTGGTCCCTCAGGTCCTCAGGTCCGCCCTCCTGCAGCCGGACCAGCAGGGTTCAGTTTATCCATATGGTGAGAAGGAAAACTAGCTGCTAATATACGTAGTTCAACAAGGCTCCTCACTAACTTCCTTTGAAAGATTTCAAACCCGCTGACACCATGTTTCATTATGTCCTGTTAATGAAGCTATATAGAAAGCAGATATCACTGCCTACAATGAAGTTTATTGAATTCAAGTTCCAAACTGTAACCCAAGCAGTTCTTATTCTTTGTTTCACTCTAATCCACACCCCTGGTAACATGCTGCTGCTATGTTAAAGGACTTAAGCCTGGTTTATGCTCAGGAACCAGTTCGTCTGCGTGTGTGTCGCAGTTAACGCAGATATCCCCTCCCCCATCGGCAGACACTCTGGTGAACCTCCCAAAATTGTAGGTGACCGCAGACAGTGCCACAGATAGTGTCGTAGGGAGGAGAGAAAGGAGGCCTCTGATTGGTCAAGTTTACATCCACTCTACACTATGCATATTTCCTGTTTGGTACCTAATGAAAGAAACTCCACAACACCTGGCACAACTTGGACACTATCCCAGACACTGTGCATGCCCCTCTGCGCGACGATCTGTTGGTTTGAACCCGAAGCCAAAACATGCAGCGCTACGGCCAGTCTTTGGGGAACACTCACAGGTGAACTGTGTGTCGTCAGGCGTTGGATAAGGGGTTGTAGACGACGAACAACTCGTCAGACCGACACACAGACACCCACAATACTAGCTAGTTCCTGATTGTCCCTCTGGCGTTGTGGCGTGGAATAACATAGTGAAGACCACGCCTAATAATTGGGCATAAATCAAAACTCTCTGCATCATACCTGCGATAAGCTCACTGCGACACACTGCTGCAGGCGTGTAACCAGCCCTTTACTCTTATCTTAACCCAAAATAATGGCACAGGCATGAAAAGTTAGCTTCAAGTTAGCGGTTATCTGAAATCCGAACTGTACCCACCACTGGCCCATGCATTGCTGTCCTTCGCATTTAAAACTTTAATAGACAACATTTTGTTATAATTATTTATTATATGATATTGTTAAAACAAGTTTACAACTGTTAGAAATGGTCCGTCTGTTCCAGTGCAGATTCTCTCACCTCAGCATGCTGGATGCCTGAAACTGAAAGGAAAATTGACACCTGGCTTCATTTCTGATTTAATCTGCTAATAACTGTAACTATTGGGATTGCATTGGGATTTAATTTGCAGAAAAACTGTTGAAAATAATACAGCAATAGTAACATATTCTGTCCAATCCAACCAAGTGCTTTAAACTCCACACTCTTCCCAGTTTACATGTTCTATTCCTGTTAGAGGGAGAGAAACAAAATGCACTTTAAAGTCGTCACAGGACCTAATGTTCAGGAAATAACCGTTCTTTTTATTTGGTTCCACTAGAAAAAAAAAACATTTATAAATGCTAGAATACACAACAAGAAAGGCGATTGTGAGAACATCATTAATTGTTAAAATTTCTAGTTTTTCTGTAGGTTCCGGTTGCTGGGGGGGCTGAGGTCTCCTTTCTCTGCCTTCTGAGCTGAATGTTTCTATATTTTCACTGCCTGCCTGTAGAATGTTTGCAATGTAAACCTGGAGCTGTGATGGTAGCAGTGATTCAGTAACCTGAGCTCCAGACTGACTGACAGCATGAAGAAGTGTTTGTTTATACGCATCAGGCTCCTGTATCACTGTATCACATCTATGGGGATCATTAACTCTGGACCCGTAGTTCTGCTCGGTACCGGCTGATACTTCTGGTAGAGCTGGGTGGCTTTATGGGCTCCTTGTTGTGGTCGTAGTTTTGATTCAGGGCAGGTTTTGGGGCAGATGTTTTGTTTTTAAAGGCCTAGGTGAGCAGGAGCTGCAGGTTTGTCCCTACTGTTTGATGTGTGTTTCCATGGCAACAAAGTGAGGTCAGACAGGTGAGGACTTGTACAGGTGTCGCACTCTGGACGTCTGCTGAGCAGTCTCACTTTTTCCTTTCTGTCTTTCAAGCTTTAGATCTCAGCTCTGTTGTGTCTCGGTTGATGACTTTCCTTGATTGATTGGTCAATAATGTTGCATCTAATCGCAGACATTTTCCACTTTTCTCTCTCTTATTTTTATGGGGTTTCTTTCAGGTTAATTATCACAGAAATAATAAAGTTCAGCTGATTGAAGTTCAGCGCTGATCCTGTCAGGCTCTTTATGACTCACGGTTTATAAAAAGCCCTCCGAGGTGCGTTTGATTTATGTACCTGCCTGCAGCTGAGCGAGCCCTGCAAAGTGCGGTCGCCTTAACTTGACCTCAGATTTCTAAAGAAAACGTCACCAAAGATCATGTTGCTATGATCCATGAAAGAGTTTAATCCACCCAGAGCTTTACAATCCAAAACACGCCCAGTCCCACTAAAACCTCAACCCACAGGGAGTTGGAACGCTGGGGAAGAGATTTTCTTATTGTATAACCTGAAGCATGAAGTCAGAATATTGCAGGTTCTGTCCCAGATTGCACATTCCTTTTTCTCTGGCTTGAAAACATTCTGGGATAATGTTGGGATGTGAAACATTAAAGGTATAGTGGAGGATTTTTACAAATTGTTAAAAAGACAATCCCTCTCCACTTTAAAAAAGAAAATGCACATGCACAACCCTGTACCTGCTCACGCGTGCGAGTTGCTGTTTGCATCGCTCATACAAGCTTACTTTCCAAAAGAAGAATTTGCAATTTTTCCACTATGCCAGACTCACCACCAGTAAGTGAATATGAGGACGAGCACGTAGGACGGCCTTACACGAGGACCACTAATTTAGATGATCCACCCGGAAAAAGAACATCCTCCGCTTTACCTTTAAGGACAAATTGTGACAAAAATTATGTTAAAATGAAAATTATTTGGGAAGCAGAGGTCTTCAGATGGATCACATTTAAGAAAATGTCCCCATTGTAAAAGCAAAAAGGTGATTTGCACAATTCACATTTTAAAGGTGCAGAATAACATCAAAACATTCAAGAAATGTGGAGGAATTTTATGTAGCAAACCTCAGAAGATTTGGCTTTGATCTCCGATAAATTTGATGAAAAAACTCATCCAACAACATCTGGAAACCGTTTTCTATAAAACACAATTACCCATCATAGATAAGTGCTGGTTTCACTCTATAGGTTTTAAAATGTCCACCAGATGATTCTGAACATCTTAAAGTCATTTTTAATGTGGCCCTAGTTAATATTTCATGGTGTGGATGTAAAAGAAAAGATAGGAGGTGACATTTTTTAAGCTGCAGGCAGCATCAGTAGAGCAGCTGACTGTATGCTGGCTATAACAGCAGGCAGCTAAACTAATGATCCTGCCTAATTTGCTTTTAATACAAGAGTTACTCTGTGAAGAGCAGAGTGGAAAAAATGTAATAATTCTGCATAATAAGTATGTTTTAATGAGAACCAACTTTAACTTTGATAAATGATTATTCCAGTTAGTTTAGTTTTTATATTTAATCTATAGCATGTCAGTCATTTTATATAACTGTAATCAAAGCTGCATTATTTCAGCATCAGACCTCTTTTTCAATGTGTTTTAAATAAAATGGAGATAATTTAATTGAAATGTCCTTTTTTATTATTTGAAAAGTGCAAATACTGTAAAACTGTGGTAGAAGGCCCACAGTACTGAAGAGGATTGGGGCCACTGGGAAAAAAAAGGGCTAACTGATTTTTAATTTTTATTTCCGTTTAACATGGGGAAAAAGTCAGAATTCTGACTTTTTTCTCAAAATTCTGACTTTAATCTCAGAATTCTGAGATTAAAGTCAGAATTCTGACTTTTTTCTTAAAATTTTGACTTTTAAAGTCAGAATTTTGAGAAAAAAGACAGAATTCTGACTTTAATCTCAGAATTTTGACTTTATTCTCAGAATTCTGACTGAATTCTGACGATAAAAAAGTCGGACTTCTTAGATTAAAGTCAGAATTCTGACTTTTTTCCCCATACTAAACTGAAATAAAATCCAAAAATCTGTTAACTTTTTTTTTTCCCAGTGGCCCTAATCCTCTTCCGTACCACAGTGAGCATAGATAGTCATGAGATAGATCCCTGCTCCTAATCTTTGTAGAAATGAATGTCCATCCGGTTGTCAGGTCCTCGCTGTCTGATTTGTTGTCTCGTGGTTTGGACAAACTGGGAAAATTGATCTGCCACTAAACCTGTGGAGTGTTTTTAAAGTTAGAGATTTATATATCTTTGGTAAACTTCTCAATTAGAAGTGCTCATTTTCTTTTTGTGACTGTCTCAGAGGCGGAGGCCAGAGTGACAGCAGGAGAACGTCCTCCATGTTCAGGACCAGAGAAAGGTCAGCTGTGGTTCAACGTTCAGAGGAAAGGTCTGTTCATCTGCGACGGGACGACGTGGACGGCGCTGCTTCAGAGTGAGTCTGAACAATTCACAGAACGTCAGAGTGATGGAGCTGGTTCTGATATGAGATGTGACGTAAACCCATCCTGTTACCAGAGTAAAGGAATCGTTATACTCCTCATGTAGTATTTATTTCCTCCAAAAATTAGTTTTAGAGATTATAAAGACATCACTGACTCTTAAATCTTCTTGTTACAGTATATGTATACAGTAAAATGGTCTCTTCCTTAGATAAGGAGCGTCTGGACTACGTGGAGGACTACCAGGACCTGTACACCCGCTCAGAAACCTTAGATGTGGAGGTCTTCTCCATCCCGTCTGAAGGCCTCTTCATGGCTGCAGCCAACAAGTAACAGACCTCACCCCCATCAGAAGCCCCTAAGGTGTTTGTTTTCATGCTAACAGACTTCTCTCTCACAGGGCCTCCCGACCCGGTTCCGGTATTTACAGATGGCAAAATGGGTCGTTCCAGCTGTACCAGAACATCAGCACTCAGGAAGCCAGAGCTTGGAAACATTTCAAAATCGATGGAAAGGTGAGAGCAACTGAGAGCAATCCTCAGTTATCCAGGTCAAGGTCAAGCTGGAAAAAGTTCAGTCTAGGCAACTGGAGTGACGTTTCTCCTCTCATCCAAGAGGTTTCTTCCGCTTGCACGAGAGGAGAAACGTCTTCTAGAAAACTTCTCGTCCAGTTGCCTAAACTTAACTTTTCAAGCTTAGACAGCAGGTAATGTTTTTAACCACCTGCTGCATAAAGAGTGGGGAGTCTGTGGAGGTTTTTGGAGTTGAAAGGTGAGAAGATAAACCTACAGAGAATTTGATGCTGCCGTTTGGTGACGTCTGTTCATGTGAGCTGGAAAGGTGTGCTCAGGTACGGCCTCCTGTGTTCTCTTTGTGTCGGTGTGTTTGCTCTAAGTGGGACACAGGTGTTAACACAAAGCTCTGCAGGTATTCACAGCAGCTGTGTACCAGCAGACCAGGATGGAAAGGAAGATCGCTTCATAGCGGAGGGATCTTAAGTGTTTCAAAGAACCAAAGACCCGTGTTTGTCCTGGAGTTCTTGCTCCATCCGGCTCCATAGTCAGGTCACATCCATTAGTTTTAAGGTAGTCTCTGCTCCACTTCGGTTTGAGGAATCAGGTTTTAGATATTACAATCTGATGGTTTTACTCTATCCTAAACTGTTGACATGTTGACTGAACTAAAGAAATCATCAAAGCACTTATTCCGGCCTTGATATTTTCCTGGTCTGAGTTTAGATGCCCAAACCCTCCCAAACCAAGCAGATCCTGAGCAGTGGAATCATTTATTGGAACTTCAAAGTCACTCATATCCTCTGTCCAGTCCTCTGAAACTTGAATGTTTGCTTCTAAAACCATATAGGAAAAAAGGAGAAGCTGAATTTGAGAAACTGAAAGCTCTGAACATTTCCAGGCTGCAATTGTTGATGAAATGTCATACAGAGATGAAGGACCAAGTCTGTGAATCCTCAAAGTGGAGAGTATCTTAGAGCTGCAAGAAATCCCAAATTCCTATTAAACAGGTTTGCTCCAACAGGTAGGGATGGAAGTTCAGAGGGATGGTCAAATCTCAGCCTAATGGTGAGTGGTGTGGTTCTTTGACCATTGGAGCAGAGTTACACCATTGTGGAGGTAGTACTGTGACTAATGGACTCACTGAATGTTGGCCAGTCGGTCGGTCTTCAAAAAGAGTTTGGGCCAAACCAGTTGGTGTTCCAAGAGAGAAGGCTGAACTGTAAGTTCAAACCAGAGTCAAACGGTAACAGTTTTAACAACCACAAAGTTTGGAGGGAACGGGCTTGAAGATTCAACCACAGGAGTTAACGAAGAACCGAAGATTCTAGATCAGATTTCAGTCCCATATAATCTCCTTTTAATGTATAAGAATAGTGTTAATGAGGATAACAATTCAGAGATATATTGACCCACAGTAAATCTGTGATGATGAAGCAGATCATGCTACAATCCCTCAGATTTTCCTGGTGGTGGCGGACAGCAGGAAGGCAGAGCCTGAGATGTCAGTCATCTATCGGTGGAATCGGCGGCGGAAGCGTTTCCTACTCTACCAGACTCTGGAAACTCACGCTGCTCAGGACTGGGAGGCCTTTCAGATCCACAACAGTAGCTTCCTGGTGGTGGCCAATCACAGGCGAGGTAAGCTGGTAGGGAAAATGATCCAAATGGGGAAACACAGTGTAAAAAGCTAAAAGGAACAGAAACACCAGCTAAAGTTTAAAGAAAACATTTAAAGAACATTAGAAGGTCTGGAGGGATGTAGGTTTTTATCAAGACTGGAAATTAATATTTTCCTTGTAGATGCCTTTAGAAGTATTTCCACCCACCGGTTCCAGCCCAACAAGTTCTGCCCTGATGCTGACATGGTTCTATTACAGATACAGATACGGTTACAGATATGTATACTACAGAAGTTCTATAGTATACTCCTGAGGAGAAGATGGTCTTGGAGCTAAAGATAATGAAACTATAGCCTAATTTATTTAACTGTTGAGTGTAAATGGAATGCAGAGCTGAACCAGATAGTGCCAGACACAACCAAACCACGCTAAACTGGTACTAGTTCATCAGTAGGGCTCGGCACGGTTCAGTTCTGGCTAAGTTCTCAGATAACAAAGAGTTCATGAGCAGACCATGTCATCTCCTAAAGGGCTGGTTATACCGTGTGTCGCAGTGAGCTTGTCGCAGATATTTTTGATTTATGCCCAATATTGAAGTGTGGTCTGTGCTATGATATTCCACGCCACAATGCAAGAGGGACAATTACAAACTAGCTGTGGGTCTAGATACGGCCGGGCAGGGAGGAAGTGGTGGAAAGTTTGTGTGACAATGAGGGCGGAAAAAGAGCAGGGATCCAGTGTTCTTGCACGACTCGCTCTTCTAAGTGGTCCATCTTCATGAGTCCTTTTCCACAATGGCGGTCATACAAATAAAACAAGGTGCCAAACAGGAAATATGCATAGTGTAGAGCAGATGTAGATTGACCAATCAGTGGCCTCCTGTCTGCGGCACTGTCTGCTGTCACCTACAATTTGGGAGAGGTGCTCCAGAGTGTTTGGAATCGCTGCGACCCACACCCAGACGACCTGGTTTCTGAGTATAAATCAGCCTTTAGACAGATATGGGGCTTTTTAGGCTAACAAATGAACACAAACGACTCCCGTTCCAAAGGGGTGGACCCGTTCGTCAGGTTCAATTTGAATGTTGTATTTGCGTTCAATGTGACACACGCACACAACCTGGTTTGAGTATAAATCAGCCTTAACAGTCAGCCTCCGTAATCATGACATTTCAGACATTCATAAAAATACTAGCTTTCCTACCGTGCCACATGATTTCCAGTGACGATTCTGCTTAGCAGTGTGATGAACCTCAACGTCTGTCATTGTTTCCTGCGTCTGGAAGCCCTGATTAGGCTATTGTCGTATCCACTTCCTAAAAGCCAACTGTCATGTAAATTCACCAAGAGGTGCCTTCTTCGCCTAATTCTCCGCAAACTTCCTGAATGTTATGAGCACCACCATGTTGATTTACTTGTTTTCCTCTAGAGAGCAATAGCACCATAGATCGTCACTAGGAGGCGAGGAACCGTGCTGGCGTGGTGTGTTAAGGGTCGTAAGGAACTGAGCTTGGCACGGTTAACTGATCCAAGCTCAGCACAGATTGGTTTTAAGAGGGTAGTGGAAATGGGGCTTATAATGGATTCACTCTTCTTACACAAGGATTGTGATTCCTCAGATATTTGTCAACCTATTGTAGCAATCAGTCTGCTATTTAGACTGAAGGATTGCAGAAGGACTGTTTCCCAGCTCCAACTTTGATGCTGGTACAAAAGTATCAACCGGAAATCAGTTAATCAGTTTGGCTTTGAGATTTAAAATCTTCACCAAATAGCTTTGCCCATTAATCTAAAGTAAACAAAAACCATCCGCACAAAAACTAAGCTTTAAGTGACGACTGTAGAGTAGGTCCATAGATGTTTGTAGGACACACAAACACTCTAACTTATAAACACATTTTATTTCTTCCTCAGAGCATTTTTCTGAAATCTGTTATGTTCTAGAGCCTTCTGTAATCAGACGTGTTTAATAACAAGCTGCAGTGCGGTCAGGTTCATCTGCTGAACTGTTACAGGATCTGAGATGCTGATCGTTCTGTGGTGAGTTTTAAAACCCAACTATGTGATGTTAGGAAAGTTGTGGCTTTTAAGCTGATAAAACACTTTAAAGTTCAGAGAGCGCTGCTATCTCCTGGCCTGTGGATGCGCAGCCACTTCAAACACACCTCCACCTGCACGCTCGGATGTTTCCTGTGGACATGAAAACAAACTCGCTGAGAAGAGATTATTTATGATCTGAGAGGAAAGAGAGCAGGGATCACATCACACAACTGTAGAAGACCGTCTGAGACTGATCCGCTCTCGGTCTGCGGTACATCATCAAGCTTCAGTTCAATCAAACCCCATTAAGAGTCCCAGTATGACCAGTTTAGCTCTCTCTCGTCATTGGGAGGTAGTGGTCATAGGATGTTCCAAATGTTCTCTGAAGGTGCAGAGAACTGACAATAGGATGACATTTAAGGTTCCTAGAATATAGCTGCACTACAGGAAGATCCATCTGGCTGATTGAACCAGCTGCTGCAGGCCCAGATGCTCCTCTGTAGACAGTATGGGAGCCTTTTAATGGTTTCTGGGAGCTATGGGGAGCCAGAGGAGGCTCTTACGTCGATGTGTGGAGATGGGACGATAAGTTGTCACAGCTGAAAGATAAATCTTACCGTCTTTTTTTTAAGCATCTGATCCATGTGGGTTTTTAAGAGACAAGATTAAAACAACAGATTTAATCATCATTACTGCAGAGTATTATCTGCATATAGGTGATAAAAAGCTACATGATCTGATATCCAGACCAAACCATAAAACTGCAAAGATAAGGTGGCCGAGCTTTCAGCTGAGTGGAACTACCTATCAAAGATGATGATTCATGTTTGAGGCTCTGACAAGAGTCCACCTTAAAACTAAATACTTGAAAACTGACTTAGAACTGTGTATCAAAGACTTGAGATTTCATCTTCACTCCTAGTCTGAGAATCAAGCACAGCACCAGCCATTAAAAATGGCCCTTCCCAGTCAAAAGCCAGCAGCAAAGCAGCAAAATCCCCTCAAACTTCCAGCCACTGGCCTTCTCCTGGGCGTGCATATTTTTTTTTACCCGGACTCCACCCTTTCGCTGAATTACAGGGTCTGACCAGGAGATGGTGCTTCTCTTTAGATCTTTCTTCAAATTTTCAGTCGAAGTCTGCTCTCTTCTCAATGTTACAGACTGCAGCTTTAATGTCCAAAAATCATGACAGAATATTTTAATACAAATATTGATGTTTAAAAAGGAATCGTAGGGGACCAGCCAAGGAAAGTTGAGATATTTTAAATGGCTACTACTGTATGATCAGTTTTTATCATATGTAATGAAGAGTAAAAGCCTTTATGTGAGCTAGAGGCTGCAGCTGCTGGGCAGGTTTGCCTGAGGAAGGAGTATGAACCAGCAAAAATGGTGGAATCTGTATATTCTGCACCATAACTTTATTAAAAATAGTCTATTCGTGTTAGTTTTAACTTCACAATAATGACAACATGAATGTTTCACAGTGAAATAGTTTAAACATATAACTTTATTTAATTTACCTATTAAATGTTCTCATTCTTATTGTATTTATTTATTTACTTACCTAACTTTGCATCATTCATTATGTTGTAAATGTTTTCTTTTGATTTGAACATCAGGATGAAGAACATTGGGACAAAGATGTTGATGAAGAAAATCTTTTTCCAATATTATTTTAAGTTCTCCAAACTATTTCTGCATTTAAACTTAAAATTTCTAGATATTAATCAACTTTGTGTTTATGAGGAGACATTTAGAGAGCAGGTTGAGAAGCTGGACTAAATCGCAGGGGTGGGGTTTATGACATGCACCATGACCAGCTGCTAATAACCAGCTACCAAATGTTTGTCCTCATGTCTAATGATGAGCTGTCTCTCTGTCCTCAGCCAGAGACTCCAACCATAACATCCAGAGTGTCATCTACAGGTGGAACCCGGACACAAAGGTAACAATCATTAGAAGATGTCCAGCCTGTCCTCAGTTTCATGTCTGTTAACCTGATTATGTCCATGTTCCCCCTGTTTAAGTCTCCCTCCTTTTTTATCCTGGTTCAGCTGTTTGAGGTCAACCAGACTCTGACTACGTTCGGTGCTTACGACTGGGAGTTCTTCACCATCGGGCCGTATCATTTCCTGGTGGTGGCGAACACCTTCAATGGTCAGACCACCACCATCAGCTCCACCATCTATGTCTGGGTGGACGGATGTTTCCGGAGCTTCCAGAACATCACGGTCAGTGATGGGATGCAACTTTGGATCAGGGCTGGTTTGGGAATGACAACCACTCCAATTTTGCTTTACTTTAGCACCCTCTAGTGGTAAACTTCAGACATAGACTGGGTTAAATCTAACGAGCTTTTTGTACCACTGATGATGTGCTCACGCACAACAACTATTGGGCCCTCAGTCAGTGGCGCCTCCAGACGGGGGCCATATGGGGCCACTAAAAACCTTGCGGTGGCACACTGATACTAAAAGCCATAATTTCAGGGTCGGAATCTAGTATGTGGTAAACCTGCCTATAGAAAAGACTTTAGTAAATACCTACTCATATCTTGGTGTATTGTGTGATTTTTAATATTACGTCGCTGGCTGTGCATAATGGGATGAAAGGCTAAACTGATGCTGTATGCTGGTGAAGATTATCATCCAGGTCATAGTCATTCCGTAATAGTTCCCCTTCACAATCAGAGACAGGTTTCAGATATTACAGGCTAACAATTGAACCAAACGACCCGCTCGTCAGTTTCCATTTGCATGTTTGCAAGCAATACAAGGCCTTGTCTATATAAAGCCTCAAACTCAATGCTAATCCAGACATTTTGAATTGAGAAAGCTTCCTGGATGGGAAGCTAAATGTCTTCAAACCTTGGAAACCAGTGGATTGTTTTTTACACTTTTATGGAATAAACTGATGCTACTAAAATTTACACTGGCCAGTGGGGTGGCCAGTGGTGCCACTGCCCTCAGTTATAGCGAACCACCATGCTACATCACACACAGGCTGGTTCTGATTGGAGCAGGTGTATCCTTATCCCTGAGTTTACACTATCAGGTCAAATCCTCTTTCTCAACTCAGTGGATGACCAGTACCTTTAAGACAGACTGGGAGCTCCAGAATCTGATTCAAACTCATTTAAAACATTTACTCTGGCCAATCCAATCACAGTGGTTACCTGGAAAATCTAAAGTTTAGGTCTGAACTCCCTACAAAACAGATTAAGAAAAAACATCCGGTGCCATTATAGGATTAATCTAGTACCTTTGCATCTATGCTCTGATATGGGTGTAACAAAGATGTGTTCTGGGTCACCTTGAAGAACCACCTGCTGGTCTAATGAGACTCCACACCTGCAGCTGCTGCTTGTTTTTCGTCAGTCTGTCTATAATAAACCTCCTCAAACTGCAGTAAAACCTTAAATGTGACGACAGATGTCAGAACATGAAACAGAAACATAAAATCAGCAGCAGATTTATAGAAATACGTTTCATTCTGCCTGCTGCTGATGATGATGATAAAAAGGACAGTTCAGGAAACCAGCAGTGAGTAATTAATGAGAGAGGGTGAGGGATTTTCCAGCTGAAGACTACAGAAAGTTTATGGCATTCTTTAAAACCACAGAAACACATTAAATCCTCCTGCTGTGTAATCCAATCTCTAACAGCGACACAGATGACCGCATAAAAAGAACATCAACATCTCAGTGTGCTGCTTATATTTTGAAACAAACCTATAAAGTTTAGGTTTCCTTTCTATCAATTGAAAACTCCACTCTGGCGCCCTCTATGTGTTACAGGAATAATTGCATATTTAAAAAAGTCAAACATTAAAAATTTTGGAAACATGAAAAAAATATTTGAAAATAATCTTCGAAAAATGCTCCAACCTATTTTCAATAAAATAATGTTTCAATTTAATTCAATTCATTTATTTCTATAGCGCCAATTCACAACACATGTCATCTCAGGTCACTTTCCAGTTCACCAGATCATATAGTCAAATTGATTCTAAGTTCTCTATTTAAGGAAAACCAGCTGATTGCATCGAAGGCAATCCCTCACACTAGGCATTCTTGTAGCGACAGTGGAGAGGAAAAACTGCTATCTGCTGGGGTTCAAGGAGACAGAAGCAGGGATACAGAAAGAAGCAGAGATACAAAAGGCAACTGTCAACCAGCTCCACAGGCGGCCCCCCCCCGTCCAGGAAACACACAGCCAGGCAGACGAGCTCCGAGCCAGCTCCCATGTCAGAGGATGAAGAGAGCACATCCAGTTAGTCACAGTCAGAGAAACAGGACTACACTGAAAAACAGGCCAAGCTCCAACATCTAGAGAACATCATTAGAGATTGAACTAACAGAATCTGCAGAGTGGGAGAATAGAGATAGAATGATGAAAAAGGGGTCCCTATGTCTTCTAGCAGTCTAAGCTTTTAGTAGTAGTATCAATAGTTTTTATTATGAAAGATGAATGAAATACATCAAATGTTTCAATTTCAAGAAGTTTCTCAGCAGAAACTTGATCAGTCTAATCCATGTTTTTCTGTATGTGACATGTTATACAAATGTCCAGTTTCTTGGGAGCTTCAATGACTTAGTGAGAATTTTCCCTCAGAAAGCTGCTGATCTGGGTTCATTTCAGTCAGAAGTTTTAGGTGAAACAGACATTTTCTCAAGATGCTGAGAATAGGACATGTGGTCTCTTCACAAACTGTGAATGTTTTACCAACTTCCTTCTTTGTGGCGTTTATTTTAGGAACTTCAGTAACTTTTTGGACTAGGAGTTCATGTTTAGGGTTCAGATATTACAAATAGAAAAACCCCTGAAATCTCAATTTGAAGCAGAACAGTTTTGTCCTCATAACATGTCCGTCTTTCTGCAGACGAAAGGAGCAACGGATTGGGAAATGTTCCAGATCGACGGCCGGTTCTTCCTCGCCGTCGCCAACAGTCAGCAGTTCTCCAGCCGAGGCCCGAGTCTCTACAACATCAACTCCACCGTGTACGAGCTGAACATGTTGACTCAGACCTTCATCCACTTCCAGGACATCCCGACTCACAGGTCAGCTTACCTGCTCAAGAGGCGGGATCTCCTGAAAATTAGCCAATCATAAGCAAGTTGCTCTGTCAGGTGGATAACGCCTTAAAAGTGACAAAAGTTGAAATGAACCCACAGAAACACGTGCACATGCGATAAAAAGCAAAACACAAGTGCACAGAGGGAGCATGTTTCATGTTTGTGAGGTTTTTTGGGCCTCATTTAAATCGTCTGTCATAGAACATTCCAAGTGTACATATATAGTAGTTTACATTTGTATTTAAATATAACTACTCATGTAAGTATTAATTACACTTGTGGACTTTTGGGAGAATTCTGACTTCATAAGTGAGCATCCTCCTCCTCAGGAGGCTGTCCACCAATAACAACTCTTCCAGATCCGGTGCAAGACAGACCTCTTCAGAACATCCTTCCTGCATAAAGCTATGAATATATAAAACAACTATTTTAAAAAATACCACAACATCCAACCTTCCTTTAGGCTCATAAAAGTATTTTTTTATTTCACTTAAATTTACCTGCTTACTGCCTGCTAATTGACCTGCTGATCAGCAGTATGTTACCTGTTTAATAACCTCATACCTGATCATTACTGGTTGTTATATTTACCTTTTAACTGAACATTAAATGTTTTGCATTGTTTGTTAGTTTATAAAACGTTAATTACTGTTCATCCTGTGTACATAAAATACAAATACATAAATGTATTTTTTTTTTTTTTTATGATCTTTTCTTAAATTTTTTTATTTTCAACTTGTTTATCTATTTATTATCTGTCTATTATCAGTCATTACTGCTCTTTACGTATTTTTTTTTCTGTTTATTACTTTCCTCTTGCTGTCTGCAGTAAAATCTAACTGCTGCATCACCGAAGTCGAAACATTCATTACTCCATAACCTGTTGCACTGATTTTATTTGGAACATTTGGAGTTTTATGTTAACTGATCTTTGCACAGATCTTGACAGTAAGAGTTTCTATTTATCATTCTGGGCTTTAAAGCACTGACCAGGTTTTAGATTGATGTGTTTTTAGATCTGAAAAAGTACAAATGTTTTCAATAATTAGTTTCTGGTTAAGTTAAACAGAAGCATGAAGTGGGAAATCATGGCTGTTACTGACTGTTTGTTTTTGTGTTCAGCGCCGTTGACTGGGAGTTCTTTACCATTGGAGACGAGAAGTTCTTGGTTGTGGCCAACTCTCATGATGGCAGCTCGTACTCTCTGAACAGCGTTGTCTACAGGTGCATTTAGTTCATCCTTACCTGTTCAGGTGGCATCTGATCCCATGTGACCGGTGGTGTGTGTGTGTTTCAGATGGCAGGGCTACGAGGGTTTCATCTCTGTCCACAGCCTGCCCACCTTCGGCTGCAGAGACTGGGAGCACTTCACCACTGACCAGGGCTCCTTCCTCGTCTACTCCAGCGCCACCTCCAGGCTCAGCAAGGTGTTCAGACTGAGGACTTACTGAGGAGACCAGAACCACTGCTGACAGGATTGCTGACATCACATCCCTGAGGGCGGGGCTTCAGGGATCAGTGCTGCTCTGCTTTCTCATCTCCAAGAGCTACGATGAAAATAAGAAACAAAACAACTTTATTTATCTGAGAAGCACTTTGTTAAACAAACTACATGAAGCTGTGCTGAGCGTTTGAATGGTCCAAACGGACCCAGAGTTCAAGGCTTTGCTTTGGAGACATTCTGAACGTTCCTCTCTGCAGCTACAGATGTTAACAGACAAACAGGAACTCTGTCAGAACCAACATGAACTCGGTCACCAGCTCTGTGCATTTACTTCTGAATCATTGACAATGAGAAAGAAACAAGTCGTCAATTTTAAAATGGTATAAAATGGGAAGTATGCATACATTAAAAACATTTCCTCTGTAGATCCAAATGTGGGACCAAGGAGAACTTAATGTAAGCTAGCCCAAGATCCTTCAAGAGGTCATAGCACAAAAAAACAGAAACAAACAGACTTTTGAACAGAACAATGCATTCAACAGATGGATTAATCCTGTAATGTTCATTACTTATCCAGATTGCTCAGACTAACACTGTTAGTGAATGCAGAGAAAAATGAAAGCTGTATTTAAAGAACAGTTTATCTACATGCTTATTAATAGAACTACAGTAAATGCTCTCTGGGTAAAACTCTCAGCAAATGAAGCTTAAAAACAAAAAAGACGAAGCTACTGATTGATACAAACTAAAGATGCTGTGAAGACAGATGTGCAGAAACATGATGCACGTTAGGAAATTGGTGTTTGACTGTTAATTAATCTATTTACCCCAAAGCTGCCCCATCCTGGACCAGCTGCAGCTGCAGCCATGTTTTTCAGGGTATTGCTTCTTTAGGTGTGTTTTTATTATGGCCGATTCATCTAAACAGATTAACTGTATGTTTTAATTGTTCATCATGTAACATCAAACACAGTCTGTGTTATAAATTGCTCAATGACTGCAGAAACTGCCATTTTTCTGGTTATAAGGTGCCTTTTACTGTTCCAGCAGCAGAACTTTATTCTGGCGCCATCTGCTGGTGTCTCTGGGAATTACACAATGATCTACAGACTATAATGGGTGTTTTTAGGTTCATGGGTCATTTTAGGTAATTTTTCTATAAATCATGTTTAATATTCACACATATAGATAAAACTTTTCCTTTGGCTGCCCCTTGTTTCAGCCACTGTCTGTGTTGTTGTTTTATTTATTGATTCTTGTTTTTGCTGCAGGACAGTAAACTCAACTGATCAGGTTCCAGAAAAGTAAATGTTTTTCATTATTTTCTATGAAATTATGAAATTGTTTAACCAATTTCCTCCTCAGGTCTCTGACAGAGCTACTAAAGAAAAATACATTTTAGTTTATTTCAATGTAAATATTTTGTAAAACATTTTTAAATATAAATATTTCATTAAAGTACTTTTTAATTGTTATTTTTTATTTGTTTAAGTAAGCTAATTTATCTTGTTTTTTTGGAATCTTCCGTTTTATTTATTGTGATATTCTGACAGCTTTATTATTCAGCTTTCATTTAATATGAGCTTAAATCAGGTTTTATATTTCTGATTGAGACAGTTTGAAAACAGTGTTTAATAAAGTTTGATTAGGATTGTTGTCTTTTAATGACCCGCATTTTATATAAGATTGTCTATAATTGTAGTGGTGATTGTTTGCCAAGCTAAACATCCTAAAAAGTTTCATTAAGCCTCTACTAAGGCACTGCGGTCAAGTTTCTGTACGCAGGAAAAAGAAGGTTCAGTGTCCAAACTCCTTGATGGTTCTGGATTATTTATTTTTCCTATTTTAGTAATTACAGAGTTGAAACTTTCCTTTGTTCTTTCTGTTACCTCTTTTGTTCTGGTAAAAACCAGAGGTCCAAAATGCCTGCTGGTCCTTTCCAGGCCCCTACACTTTTAGAAAGTGGACTGATCCACATACTTACCTCAGAACAAAAGATAAATAATAAAAATATAAAACAAATATGGAAGAGGATTAGGGCCATTGAAAAAAATAAAAAATATGTCAGAGAAAGTAAGTCAGAATTTTGACTTTTTCTCAGAATCTGACTTTAATGTCAGAATTGTGGATCTTAATGTAGAAGGTCACCATGAAGGCAGAGATGTGGAGCACTCTGCTTCACTGACAAAGATGTGAGTTATTTGGGAGGAACAGGAACACATTGGTGGAAAATGAAGGAATTAGGTGATTTTTTTCCGAGGGTCCCTGGTGATGGTATTCGATTAATGGAAGATCAGAAGGTGGTTAAAACAAGAGAGCTAATATCTGAAACAGACATGGCTACAGCTTGATGCTAACATGTTTGTTAGATGTCAGAATTCAGTCTTTTTTCCCATATTAAACTAACATAATATTCAAAAATCAGTTAACTTTTTTTTGTTTTTTTCAGTGGCCCTAATTCTCTTCCGTAAACAACAGATAAATAGAATCATAGATCATTAACCTCCAAATAAACTCTGTAAATAATGCAAAAAGTATAAATTTAAGAATAAACTAACAAAATTCAACTGGATAAAGACTAAATAGCTCCAACAATAATGAGTTTGATTCAAACTACAGTATTCTTTTGTTTAATCTCCTAATCTCTCTCTGCCTGCTGCTCTCTCCTCCAGCCGGTAGGCGTTGCTATGGAAACCACAGGTCGCTATTTTGCTTCGGTTTCCGGGTAAAAAAGTCAGGCTCCCGGTTTGAAAGTGAAAATTATTTCCGTTAGGTTAATAAAAAGTGAACTAACGGAGGGAGGGCATCAGTGACGGATAATAACTGAACTCCTCATCTTCAGTCCAGGTAGAAACTTTGGTCCGTTACTGGTTCCGGTGTTAGCATGCTAGGCGGCTAACGGGCTGGTTGGTTCTGGTTCTTTTCACTCGCTGATGTTTTTGGTAGTTAAACATTAACAGCTGAGACTATTTTAGTTCCGATGTAAACAGATAGTTGGAGAGTTTGTGTTAACAGATTATAGCTGAGAACCAACAGCAAATAAATCTGATTCACTATGTGTTTGATTAAAGCTTAAAAAACACACACACAAAAAAAAAAAAACATGTTCACCGAAGTTTAGAGACGCTCATTTTAATAATCATTGTTTAGGAAAACATTAATGTGGAAAATGCTATCAAATAAAGTTTTTGCTGTCAGTTAAACTGATAAAAACCGTTATTTATCTACCGCCTGTTATTTACTCATCATTTAAAGGCTCTTTACTGAGTGAATTAAAGTCCAATCAAATAAATTAGTTAATAGAAAACCAAACAGATTGCATTGAGTTATTGACTGTGCAGGTTTCACTCCTGGATGAGAAGAAGGCGACAGTGGAGAGAAAAACTTGCTGCTGTCCCATTGAACCAGAATCCGGTTCAGTGTGAACAGCCGTCTGACTGATGAACAGCAGAGAAAGATCACAGCAGCTCTGATCAGGAACTCTAGAGGGACGTAGGTTAGTCGCTGTGTCTGGCTGCCATGGCTAAACAGAAAGAATGACATCAGCAACAACTGGAGAGAGAAAATAAAGCTGTGGAGTGGGTCAGTGGGACAGAACCACCTGATCAGAACCAGGCGTAGACTTAAGGCTGATTTATGCTCAGAAACCAGGTCGTCTGCGTGTGTCGCAGTGAATGCAGATATGCCCCGCCCCTTCGCAGACACTCTGCTGCGTCTTTTTAAAACTGTAGGTGGCTGCAGACAGGAGGCCTCTGATTGGTCAAATCTACATCCGTTCTTCACTATGCGTATTTCCTGTTTGGTTCCTTAGCGGCTTGTTTGTCTGACCGCCATTGTGGAAAATGACTGGTGAAGATGGAGCAGCTAGAAGAGCGAGGTGCGCGAGAACGCTGGGACCCTTTTTCCACCTGGATCCCTGCTCTTTTTGGCCCTTATTTCCCTCTGTTGTAGCACAAACTTGCCCCCTTTCCTCACCGCCTTGGCTGTATCTAGACCCACTGCTAGTTCCTGCTTGGCCCTCTGACGTTGTGGCGTGGAATAATACAGGTGCTGGTCATAAAATTAGAATATCATGAAAAAGTAGATTGATTTCAGTAATTCCATTTAAAAAGTGAAACTTGTATATTATATTCATACATTACATACAAACTCATATATTTCAGATGTTTATTTTGTTTAATTTTGATGATTACAAATGACAACAAATGAAAATCTCAAATTCATCATATCAGAAAATTAGAATATTACTGAAGACCAATAAAAACAAAGGATTTATAGAAATGTTGGCCAACTGAAAAGTATGAACATGAAAAGTATGAGCATGTACAGCACTCAGTATTTAGTTGGGCCTCCTTTGGCCTGTATTACTGCAGCAATGCGGCGTGGCATGGAGTCGATCAGTCTCTGGCACTGCTCAGGTGTTATGATAGCCCAGGTTGCTCTAATAGTGGCTTTTAGCTCTTCTGAATTGTTGGGTCTGGTGTATTGCATCTTCTTCTTCACAATACCCCATAGATTTTCTATGGGGTTAAGGTCAGGAGAGTTTGCTGGCCAATTAAGAACAGGGATACCATGGTCCTTCAACCAGGTACTGGTAGCTTTGGCACTGTGTGCAGGTGCCAAGTCCTGTTGGAAAATGAAATCTGCATCTCCAAAAAGTTGGTCAGCTGCAGGAAGCATGAAGTGCTCTAAAACTTCCTGGTATGTGGCTGCGTTGACCCTGGACCTCAGAAAACACAATGGACCAACACCAGCAGATGACATGGCACCCCAAACCATCACTGACTGTGGAAACTTTACACTGGACTTCAAGCAACGTGGATGAAGTGCCTCTCTTCTTTTCCTCCAGACTCTAGGACCTTGATTTCCAAAGGAAATGCAAAATTTACTTTCATCAGAGAACATGACTTTGGACCACTCACCAGCAGTCCAGTCCTGTTTCTCTTTAGCCCAGGCAAGACGCTTCTGACGCTGTCTGTGGTTCAAGAGTGGCTTGACACAAGGAATGCGACAGCAGAAACCCATGTCTTTCATACGTCTGTGTGTGGTGGTTCTTGAAGCACTCACTCCAGCTGCAGTCCACTCTTTGTGAATCTCCCCCACATTTTTGAATGGGTTTTGTTTCACAATCCTCTCCAGGGTGCGGTTATCTCTCTTGCTTGTACACTTTTTTCGACCACATCTTTTCCTTCCCTTCGCCTCTCTATTAATGTGCTTGGACACTGAGCTCTGTGAACAGCCAGCCTCTTTAGCGATGACCTTTTGTGTCTTGCCCTCCTTGTGCAAGGTGTCGATGGTCGTCTTTTGGACAACTGTCAAGTCAGCAGTCTTCCCCATGATTGTGTAGCCTATAGAACTAGACTGAAAGACCATTTAAAGGCTTTTGCAGGTGGTTTGAGTTAATTAGCTGATTAGAGTGTGGCACCAGGGGCCATCAATTTTGAACCTTTTCACAATATTCTAATTTTCTGATATGATGAATTTGAGATTTTCATTTGTTGTCATTTGTAATCATCAAAATTAAACAAAATAAACATCTGAAATATATGAGTTTGTATGTAATGTATGAATATAATATACAAGTTTCACTTTTTAAATGGAATTACTGAAATCAATCTACTTTTTCATGATATTCTAATTTTATGACCAGCACCTGTATAGTGCAGACCACGCTTCAATATAGGGCATAAATCAAATATATTTGCGACAAGCTGACTGCGACACACTGCTGATGGAGGATTACCAGCCCTTTAGTCTAGACTTAGACAAACTTTATTGTAGTTTTGTATAGACAGAGTGTATGCTGAACGGAATGTTATTTATACAGCTTTCTGACAGTAAATAAGCAGCTTAGCAGTGAAAAGGAACATTTCCATTTATAAAATGCAGCAGTGATCAAAATGTAAACAATGATGGAGAGACATGGTTCTAAAGGCATTGATGTTAAAGGTTCAGAGCGCTGCAAAAATAAATAGATAAGTATGTTGCAAAATGCAGTATAAACTCTGAGTTCTAACAACAGTCCATGATGGGGGGTGATGGGTCATTGATGATGTCACGGGCTCGGGACACGCAGCGCTGGGATGAAATGTCTTTAATGGAGGGAAGAGGAGCCCCCATGATCCTCTCTGCTGTTCTCACCTTCTTCCAGTCTGAGGCGCTGCAGCCTCCACACCACACAGTGAGACAGCTGCTCAGAACGCTCTCTATGATGGGGGGCTGTACAGGTTTAGCTCAGCGTAACTAACCTGTTGCTTAGATTGAGACTATGGCAGAAACTTCATCTTTTTACATTTAATTAATGTGATAAAACCTACTATCAATCAATTATTATTATTAGATAGCTGCGGGTCGGCTGTGGCTCATTTAGCAGATATCGCTGCATCACGTGTTCAGTTTAGCTCCTCCAGAAGCTCAGCTTTCTTTAATAGCATCAGAATCATGTTTATTGCCAAGTAGGTTTGCACTTAAAAGGATTTGGACTTGGTGTTGGTGATGCAAACAAATTATATATATATATATATATATATATATATAAAATATATACATATATACATTTATCCTTTGGTGTTTGTTGCCACCAGGGGGCGTATTTAATTTTGAGTTCTGAGTGTCTGATGGGGGGATGGGTTATTTAAGTTCAACCATCAATTCTGTTCAGGTGTTGTTAATAGGCTGAGGCAAACAGTTTTCTACTGTGCTTGGTTTGGATGTATGTCGAATTTATGTGGATCTTAAGGGAAACTGTAAGACAATGGACATTGTACTGAAAATAAATGACTTTATTTTATGTCAAATGGAAGATTGGCATTCTGAATCTTAATGTAGCGCACGTAAAACCAATGCCTTTCAACAACAACCACCAGTAGCCTAAAATATAGGATTTTAGCCGCTACATATAGTATATAGCTATATACTATAACCACAGTAGACTGTGCGTTAATGTAACGCAGGTCTGGAGATGCTACGTTGGTGTAGCTCGTAGGTCCTGAACTGGGAGGCAGTGTCATGGAGGCTCTGGGCCTTGTTGATCAGGCTGGTAGCAGATGGGAAGAAACTTGAGGCGTGAGGTTTTGGTCCTGATGGACCGCAGCCTCCTGCCAGAGGGAAGTGACTGAAATAGTTTTTGGCTGGGGTGCCGCGCGAGGGATCAGCCACTATCTTCTCTGCAGACGTCAGAGACCTGGATGCGTACAGATCCTGGACAGATGGAGGATTGCAGTCGGCCCTTGTCCTTTGCGGTGGCTCCAGCGGCATCATTCAGCTCATCTCCAGTGATTCAGCACAGTCAGAACACAGTCATTAAAGCACGGATCAGTGTTTTTGGAATGAAACCAAAATAGGCTGTAAAATAAAAATCAGCGCCTCCATAAAGCTCATCAGAACAGGAGAGAATGAAGTTCTGCTAACCTTTAGCTTAATGAACAACAGTGAAGCTAAACCAGCAGACGACTTTGGTCTCTAATTCATCACTGATTGTAGAAAAACATCACAGCTGACGTTTAGTAAACCGCTTTTCTTCTGCTCCTCCAGATGTTTCCATTTTAAAAGCAAACACCAGTTTTCATCTGATGATGCAAACTCAGACTTTCTGCTCTCTTGGTCCAGATATGATGCTTCAGGTTTCCTCCCCCGGTTTAAGCAGTGGCTGATCAGCAGCTGTGACCCACGGCTCACGTTTTCACTGAGGTCAGTCTAAATAAAGTTTAACTAAAAACTGTTCCATTTTAAAATGTTTAACTTGATAAATCTAATCTTTTAATCTGTAAATAAACTATAACCTATGAAACATGAGTTTATATAATATCTACAGGCCTCTCCTGCTCCTGTTTGTCCCACATTAAGGACAATTATTACATTTTACAAAAAATAGATTTATTTCATTATATCAGCTTAACGTCAAACATCAATTATTATGACTCAGTTTAAAGTGTCTGATAAGTAGATTTGTTTTATTAGAACAGAGGCAGAAATTATACATAAGGACTGAAAAAGAAAAATGGTTGTGCATGTAGTGACTGATTTTTTATTTAGTTTTAAACATTTTTATTATAAATCAGTTAAGAATAATAATACATTTTCCACTGTAATTTAAAGAAATTAAGATACATTAATCTGTGTCTCTGGAAAAATAGTTAAGTTAATCTCTTTAGGATCCTGCTCTGAACAGCGAATCTGAAGAGTTTAAAATGTTTTACTTTTCAAACTCAGAGCAACTCATTGAGCATGGAGTCGGACCTGCTGATTGGCTGGCCGCAGCAGAAGGCGGAGCTGGAGCAGGAGGTGTGCCGTCTGCAGGAGGAGCTGGCGGAGAGCCGAGCAGAGAAGGAGGAGCTGGAGTCCAGGAGCAGAGCTCTGAGGGAGCGGGTGAGGCGGGGGGCGGGTTTAGGCTGGAAAAGGTTCATTAAAGCATAAGGAACTGTTTGCCTGCATGAAGTAGGATCCACAACAGAAAACAAGGTTTTTAAAGGTCAGCAAGCAATGATCAATGGATAATTATTTATACCTAAAACTAATACGTTTGCAGTAAAAAAATAAAAATAATAATTTTCGTCACCATCAATAAGTCTAGGAGCGGCCATTCTTGCCCAAATATAGTAGCCCCTCCCTCCTGCCATCTTCCAGCAGTGACGTCATGGTGCGGTAAGCCTAGCGCCATTCTCCCCGCTTTACAAGCTAAATCAATGGGAACTACTAGACACATCTGCAATCAACAACAATTATTGAAGATTTCCAGAGGACTTCACCATTGAAATTCACCAGAGCTATAGTGAAACTGACAATGCCCACGTGCATGGCAGCTGGATGCTGGAATACATCGGGTAAAAGTGAAAAAAAAGAGTTATTCCACCTTTCTGATTCCTGATCCTCCACGGACGGGTTGGTCGTTGGATCGCCAACTTGAAGAGGGAGGATTTGCCATCGAACATCTGGCCAGAGAAAAAACCCGTAATATGTAGCCGACATTTGGAAGAAGAATGTTTTCAAGATGACTTGGATAATAGCGCGTTGTGACAAACACCAGATACAGCACTGGGACTTGATCAACAGCCGATACCGCACCGTGACGTCACTAACCAGTAGGGGTGTAAATCACTTCCATCATGGCGATTCGATTCAGTATCGATTTTCTGACCCAACGATTCGATTATTGTCGATACTGAAGAATACACCACGATTCGATTCGATTAATTGGTTCCTTTTTTTTTTTTTTTTTTTTTTTTTTTTTTTTTTACACTTTACAGGATATACAATGTTTAAAATTTGAAATAAATCAATGAAAGCTGTAATATCGTTATGCGTTTTTTGGAGAAACAACATTAGATAGCAGAAGTAGAAAAGTTGCATCAAAAAATACTGCACATAATGAGTGCAATGCAATACCTCGGCTCCAGACGTCCCGCCCCCCCCCACAGACGCTCCGCTGCTCCTCTCCCAAATTGTAGCTGACCGTAGACAGTGCCGCAGACAGGAGGCCGGCTTGTTTTGTTTTTATGACCGAAATTGCGTAAAACAACCCGTGAAGTTTGACCCGCTAGAAGAGCGAGGTGAGAACGCTGGGACCTTTTTTCCACCTGGATCTCCACCCTTTTTGGCCCTCATGTCCCTCCGTCGTCGGACTAAACTCGCCCCCACTTCCTCGCCGCCTCGGCCGTATCTAGACCCACAGCGTGTAGCACAGACCACGCTTCAATATTGAGCATAATTTAAAAATGTCTGCATCAAGCTCACTGCAACACACTGCTGTAAGAGTATAACCAGGAAGCAAGGTAGGAGGGGAAAATAGGTTTAGCGCCACCGCAGCACGGGAGGAGAATTACGCCCAGGAGCAAATGGATAAAAATAGACCGGAGGAAGAAAAAAACATGAATCGATTATCTTGCGGACGTATCGATGCATCGATGCAATAATTACTCTGAATTAAAAACACTGATCATTTATTGAACAGGATGGAATAATTACATATTTTAAGTACTTTCATAAGTTTGAATTCTGAATATAACTTTTCCTTTAAACTCCATAAGGAGGCGGGGTCTCTGGTGATGAAGGTTCTCTAAAGGTTTTTGTCTCTTTCAGCTTTGCCAGACTCTCAATCCTTCTCTGAACCTTTCCCTGCACGAGGAGGAGCAGAGGAGGTGGAAAACCAAGCTGAGGGAGTGGAGGGAGAGGGAGGCCAGGCAGGCGCTGCTGATCCACCGTCTGCAGAACAAGGTGAGGCTGAAGGAGGCGCTGTGGAGCAGCAGGAGGAGCTGCAGTCTCAGCAGGCAGTGAAGCGCTCAGATGCAGATGTTTGTGGATGTTGCAGGTGTTGGAGTACAGAGATCGCTGTCAGCATCTGGATCTGCAGCTGCAGGAGGAAAAGTCCAGGCTGCTGAGCTCTGAGGTCAGAACCAGCCTGCAGCAGAACCTTCTGTGATCAGCAGCTGACATGTGTGTCTGTTTCACAGCAGAGAATCAGAGATGAACACAGCGACTCCCTGGAGAGCGCCCTCATCAGGCTGGAGGAGGAACAGCAGAGGTGTGTGTAACTATTAGTGATGTCATGAGATGAGCCGAGGGTTTCCGTGAGGCGCGTATAGACGCTTGCTTCATTGGGGGAGGAGCCAAAAAAGTTGACGTCTGAAGCCTCACTACCCCGCCGTACCATGTGACCGCTTCAGGAAGTGGTTCAGCTCAACCTGAACTTTGGCAGCCATTTAAACAGCCTCCATGTTCACTTAAGATCTGGGAGTTTGTAGAGTTTGGATAGATTCTAAGAATAGATCTGTTGTTTTTGCAACCAATCTAGTTGGTGAAAACTATTTTGGTCAGATTAAACAATGTAATGATCAAAATCTTAGCAAGCTACTGGTTACAGTTGTAACATTTGTGTTAACTAGTATTACTTTCTGGTGAGGTGCAGCCTTGCTAGTGGTGTCTGCTGTAAGTCATGAACTTCCGATCCTGAGATTGTTGGTTTAAATCCCTCCTCAGACTTTTCAAAGTTGCGATAAACACAACAAGTATTTTGGGTAAAGTGACTGATTTTTATTGGTTTGCCCTAGAATAAATATAGATTGGCTAAAAAACACTGCCAGATTACATTAGTTGGTTTAACCAATATATTGGTTGAACACGTAACTTCCAACCAGATTAAAAACAAAAACTGGAAAACTATTTTGGTTGAATATAAATGACTAAGATCATTCATTTTGCTCATCATTACCCAATTTGCACAAACACTTTCACAGTTAACAGCTTGAGCTTATTTCACTAAAATGGCAGAAAAACAGTGAACCTTAAGTGATTTTCTCTTCTAAGACATTAACATACAAAAAACTTACAAAGGATTTTTATTACAAACACCAATCATGAACAAAAAAAAAGAAAAACAGTAGCAAAAAAAATCAGTTATATTACTAACTGTAGTTCTGCTTTTGACCAGTAGGTGGTGACATTTTCACATGAAGCTTCATGAACTGTGGGGATCATTGAAGCAATTTGCTCAAATGCCTCATGAGGCTTCATCCCACCATCACCAGTGACCCCAGTAGAGTTGACCTCTAAGCTCCTCCTCTCTCTGTTCCTCCTCAGGTCTTCCAGCCTCGCCGACACCAACGCTCTCCTCCGTCACCAGCTCAGCCAATCAGAGGAGACGAACCAGGCGCTGAGAGAGGACCTCCAGAAGCTGACTGCTGATTGGTCCAGAGCCGTGGAGGAGTCGGAGCGCAAAGCGGCTGATTGGCAGAGAGAGAAGGAGGTGTGCAGACGGTTCGGTCTCCTGAGGTCCAAACACATCAAGCTAACGTTGTGATGGTTTGTTTTCAGGGTCATGTGGGTCAGAACCAGGACCGCCTCCTGTCAGTCTGGAGGTCTGTGCTGGATCTGAGGCGACACTGTCACACAGTGAGAACAGCCGCTGACAGGTGAGCGCAGCCTGTCCGCCGCTGACATCACGGCGTCAGAGTGATTGACCTGAGGGTCAAAGGTTAATCTCCCTGTTCCGGTTCCCTCCTTTCTGCTCCTCCAGGGATCTCTGGCAGCTCAGAGCAGAGTTCTCCAAGTTCTCATCATCTCTCCTCCTCAGCTGTGACTCCGTCTGCTCCTCACTGAGGCTCAAACCCTCTGACCTTCCTCCTCCCTCCTCCTCCTCTCCTCCTCTATCCTCTACTCTTGTTCTCCCTTCTTCCAACTGCTCAGCTTCTCCCCCTCAGCTCTCTCCCTCCACACTTGGAACCTTCACCTTAGGAGAGCTGAAAGAGGAGGAGGTGAAAGGGGAAGAGCAGACAGTGGAGTTAAAGCTGCTCCAGGAGGCGGAGGTGTTGCAGCTGGAACAAAGGTTAGCATTAAGTTGGATCCTGAGGTTCTGCAGGAGGCGTAGATCTCCTCCTCCTTTCACCTCCTGTATGTTTCAGGGTTGAGGAGCTGAGTCGCTCCCTGCAGGCTGCAGACAGAGAGAAGGAGGAGGCCAAGAAGGAGGTGGAGAGGCTGAGGGAGTCAGAGAGGAGGCTGCAGTCAGTGGGTCAGGCTGTGGTCAGGATGGTGAGCTTCTCCTCCAATCAGAGGCAGCGTTTCATGCAGCGATCACATGGATCCATGTTCATGTTCTGCCTTCAGTCCAGGGCCCTGAGCAGGACCAGCAGTCAGACCCTGAGCGTCTCCATGGATGCCGTCCTCAGCCTGGACCTGTCCTCCCTGCTGTCAGTCCTGTCTCAGACCGAGAGCGCCCTCCAGTGGAAGCATGAGGAGCTGCAGGTCAGTTGCTCAAAGCTTAATGGATCAACCAGAGGACCGGACCTCGCTCAGTCTGTGTGTGTGTGTTAGGGGGCGGAGCTAAAGCTGCGTCGGCTCGGCAAGGAGCAAACCGCCCTGCAGCTCCGACTGAACCAGCAGCTTGAGGAGAACCAGCAGCTGGAGGAGAAGAACCTGAGGACCCAGCAGGAGCTGAAGAAGACGCTGGACGCTCTGAGCAGGTAGCCTCCACTGCGGGCGCTGCGCTGCCCCCTGCTGGACGGAGCTCCTACACTAGTGATGGGTCCAGTAAGCCCGATGTGTTGGTGCATACGTGGAGCCCATAGAGCGACCGATTCAGGAGTTGTTTCTGACTGACTGAGTCACTAAACTGTGCTTAAAAACGTATCTGTCAACATGATGCATCTGCTAAAAAAATGTCTCTTCTTTTGCGGTTTATCATTAAAATTATGAAGAATTTTGGAGCCTAAAAGGAACAGGAACGTTTCAGCCATTGCATTTTTATTTCAATTTTCTCATCCTTTTCCTCTCAGTTATCACCCAACTTATATGAATTAAAGTTCATTTCCAGTTGACTCTTAGTTTATTTACTGTTTTTACTGTATTTATTGTTTTAGAATTATGATTTTTAAATCCTAGTCCAGCAGCATCCTCATTCACATTTTCCCCTAAATTTTTATGTTATGATAAATGTTTACTTTATTTATTGGCTGCATCTAAAAATATCAAAGATATTTTCAAGTTAAACATAGATATGAAATAATACAATATAACCTAAAATAACTTCAATTCTATCATTGTACTAGGTCATCAAATTAATTCAGTTTAGTCGAATCAGCTGCCTGTAGTGTCTTTAAATGTCCAGCAGGTGTCAGTATTCTGTGAGACAGTATCAACGCAGCATCAATACAGTTTGGCAATGTGTCCAAACGCTTTAAGATGCCTCATTAACCCATAAATATCTGATACCATCTATGTTTGAAAACTACATCTGAAATCCTAAAAGTCAATTTTATTATTTATAAAAACTTCCTCATAATTCCTTTATTTACTGGAAAAACAGATCTGGATCATCAGACCTCCATTTACCCATCATTGATTTTATGTCTAAGGGGCCATTTTAACTCCAGGACCTCTGATCTGTGTTACTGTGACAGGGAGAAGGAGGCGTCCAGCTCCCTGCGTCTGCAGCTGGAGGAGGTGCAGAGGAGAGAGGAGGAGGAGAAGAAGGAGAAGGACAGACTGAGGAGAGACAGAGAACGACTGGAGGAGAAAACTCGACAGCTGGAGGCTGAAACACACAGACGGTACCAACAGGTTCTGCTGCAGGGGACCGAAGGATTAGGGCTGATTTATAGGTCGTCTGCATGAGTGTCGCAGTGACCGCAAATGTTCCCCCCACCCTTCCGCAGACTCTCTGCTGCTCCTCTCCAAAACTATAGGTGAGCGCAGACAGGAGGCCACTGATTGGTCTTTCTGGCCCTCATGTCACAAACTCATCCCCACTTCCTCACCGCCTCGGCCGTATCTAGACCCACATCTAGTTCCTAATTGTCCCTCTGACGTTGTGGCGTGGAATAAAATGGCGCAGACCACGCTTCAATATTGGGCATAAATCAAAAATATCTGCGACAAGCTCACTGCGACACACTGCTGGGGGAGGATAACCAGGCCTATAGGCTGAGGGGTTCTACTCTGTTTGGATTCTGTTAGTTCCAGAACAAACTTCCTCTGTCAGTAAAATCCTCCACAGTCTATAAACAATCACTCCAGGTTTTCAGTCTAACTTGGACTCCTGGAAACAAACTATCAGACCAATGCAGCTCGTCAGCTGCTAAAGGGGGCGGAGCATTGAACCGAGGCAGCTATGAAGCTTCCTTCCTACATTTTTTTGTGCACATAGATTCAAACAAAATCAGAGGAGCGCTCACTACTCTCAGAACTGCAAAAGTCTACAATACGGCAGATAATAATAACTGTGTAATCACCAGCAACATCTGGTGAAGTAGATATAAGGTTATTAACAATGGAATTAATAATAATGAGGAATTAGCTATAAATAAGTTCAATTATCTGCCATAAAGTTTTCTATTATTGTTCTATGTAGAAGCATCAGCAGAAGTGGGGAAAAGAATCTAAACAATTTCACTAGATGATTGAATGTCTTCAAAGTAAAGAACCCCCCTGTGGGTTAATCTATAGAAAAGGTTTTACTGATGTTTTTTTATTTGTCTAAACATTTTTTTAATATGCAGTAATGTTTAATTGTAACTTGTTGTGTTTTGACAACAAGCTGCCTCAAATAAGGAAGTAAATGTACTTAAAAACACTTCATTATACTAACAAAGTTCTGCATATCGGCTTGATTTCATTTGTATCATTTAGAGTTATCATTAGAGCTATCAATATAATGAGTGGTTAATCTAAAATTCGCTGAACGGAACCATCACTGACGGAGTCCAAATTTCAAACAGCCCATCTAATTGAATCATCAAATTAAAGTGGTGCTGTCCAATCAAAGCAGCTGTTACTGTAGGGCTGTCAGGAATACAGATACTCCAAAACATATTCAAACATCTTAAAAGAATAAGTTTTGTTTGCATATTTTTGCTATTGTTAATTATAGAGTTTTACTCATTTAAACATTATAATCCTCAGACAGTATTACAATGGTGATAGCAAGGTAGGCTAATGTTAGCATGGTGATAGCAAGGTAGGCTAATGTTAGCATGGTGATAGCAAGGTGGGATAATGTCAGCATGGTGATAGCAAGGTAGGCTAATGTTAGCATGGTGATAGCAAGGTGGGATAATGTCAGCATGGTGATAGCAAGGTAGGCTAATGTTAGCATGGTGATAGCAAGGAGGGCTAATGTTAGCATGGTGATAGCAAGGTGGGATAATGTCAGCATGGTGATAGCAAGGTTGGCTAATGTTAGCATGGTGATAGCAAGGAGGGCTAATGTCAGCATGGTGATAGCAAGGTAGGCTAATGTTAGCATGGTGATAGCAAGGTGGGATAATGTCAGCATGGTGATAGCAAGGTAGGCTAATGTTAGCATGGTGATAGCAAGGTGGGATAATGTCAGCATGGTGATAGCAAGGTAGGCTAATGTTAGCATGGTGATAGCAAGGAGGGCTAATGTTAGCATGGTGATAGCAAGGTGGGATAATGTCAGCATGGAGATAGCAAGGAGGGCTAATGTTAGCATGGTGATAGCAAGGAGAGCTAATATTAGCATGGTGATAGAGAGATAGGCTGATGTTAGCATGGTGATAGCAAGGAGAGCTAATATTAGCATGGTGATAGAGAGATAGGCTAATGTTAGCATGGTGATAGCAAGGTGGGATAATGTGAGCATGGTGATAGCAAGGTAGGCTAATGTTAGCATGGTGATAGCAAGGAGGGCTAATGTTAGCATGGTGATAGCAAGGTGGGATAATGTCAGCATGGAGATAGCAAGGAGGGCTAATGTTAGCATGGTGATAGCAAGGAGAGCTAATATTAGCATGGTGATAGAGAGATAGGCTAATGTTAGCATGGTGATAGCAAGGAGAGCTAATATTAGCATGGTGATAGCAAGGTGGGCTAATGTTAGCATGGTGATAGAGAGATAGGCTAATGTTAGCATGGTGATAGCAAGGTGGGCTAATGTTAGCATGGTGATAGTAAGCTGTGCTAATGGTAGAAACCATGATAGAATGAGATTTGCTTCCGCTGAGTGTTTCTGTGACCAAAGGCGTCTGCTGTGAGGCTGATGTGCTTGTTTCAGGGTGGAGGAGGAGCTCCTGGAGAAAGTCCAGCTGTCAGAGAGAGAAAGCAAACAGTTGATGGAGATCCACAGCCTGAAGGTAAAACCTGCTTCCAGCCATGATGATCACAGGAGGAACGGCTGATTTCCACTAGCTGTCTGACTGCAGGGGGCGCTGGAGAGGGAGCAGCTTGACAGGCAGAGAGCAGGAGAAGAAGGTGCTGATGTCAGAGAGGCTCTGCAGAAGGTTGGGATGCTTCTGGAGGTCAGAGGATTCAGAGGTGTTTGTTCTAACCTAACGGTGGTGTCCCTCTCTGTCCCTGTCCCCCTAACGCCCCTCCTCAGTGCAGGGACAGCCTGCTGCATCTCTCCTCCTCAGAGACGATGTTGAGATGGGAGGCAGAGGAGGCGCGGGATGCCCTGGAGAAAATGTCGGCTCTGAACGCCGCTCTGGCTTCAGACAAACGAGATCTGAACAAACAGCTGCTGCAGGTAAAACTCCCTGCTTGGCTCAGAGGCCCCTGGGCAGCCTGCTGTGGCTCCGCCTCATCTCTGACTGATTCTCAATTCACAAGAACATGAGCACGGACTGATGATGTCACTAAGTTCTTCACAAGAACACAGTAAAGCTTGTACTAGTAGAACGGGAGCACGCAGAATAAATCTGGGTCAATTGGAACAGAAATGTACTGATGACACCACATTGAAAACTCGTCTGGAGCTGCATTTCACCGCCTGTTATTAATAGTCTCTAGATAATAATAAATTATAACCTTTTTCATTTAGTGAGGTAATAATCAGATACACAAAACCAAATAAACATTTTGCCAAATAAAACAAAACATAAAAACCCTCATCAGAGCCAGCGGTACTTCACTCTATGCAGAGAGAGGGCTGCTGCAGACAGGCTAACGTTAGCCCGCCTGCAGCTGCTAATCCTGGAAGCTGCTGCTGCTGCAGTGCATGCTGGGACAGCTGTCAGTCTGGAGAATGGACAAGTCTGCTCTGATGCATGCTGGGTAAAGAGGGAGGGGCGAGAACAACGTACGGGGACTTTGTCCACTCTCAGTCTTCTTGTTCTTGTGAATTGGAACAGTACTATGGCTGATGACGTTTAACGCGAGAATGCACAAGTACGCATATTGAGAAAAGGCCTCTGTTTGTTTCAGCTGGAGGCGGAGCTATCCAACAGCCAATCACAAATGCAGACAGTGAGGTCAGAAGTGAGCGTCCTGCAGAGGGAGCTTCAGGGTGTGAGGAGTGAGCTGAACCTGCTGAGGTTAGTTTCCAGGATGAGATCTTCATCAGGTGGTTCTGAGAAGAAGATCTGAGCCTCAGCAGGACTGAAACGAACCACTTTAGTCCCACTGATCCAATGTCCTCCAGAACTCAGTCACAGACAGACGCAGACACCATCCATCAGCTGAAGGAGCAGCAGGCAGAGCTGGAGAGAACCCTGGTGGAGAAGGAGGCCCAGGTGGAGTCCCTGGAGGAGGAGAGGCAGACGGCAGCCCAGCAGATGGACGAGGTAGGCGGCAGACCGCTCTGATGGACCCATGATGACCTGCATCATGTCTGAAAGCTTCTCTGCTCTGTCCAGAGCTCCTCCCAACACACCCAGCTGAGGGAGGAGTTGAAGGAGGCGCAGGAACAGCTGCAGAGGGCACAGGAGGAGCTGAATGAGAAGGAGAGACATCAGGAGGAGCAGCAGAGGGAGAGCAGGAGGCTGCAGCAAGAACAGGAAGGGCTGAAGAGACACAAGGAGGAGCTGGAGGAGGAGCTACAGGAGCTCAGGTACGGAGCACTCCTGATTACCACGGAGAAGCAGCAGGCGTGTTTGACCACAGCTCCTCTGTGCTCCTCCTCAGGTCTCTGTCGGTGAAGCTCCACCTGCAGCTCCATCAGCAGCAGCAGCAGCTGTCCCAGGCAGAGGTGGACAGATGTCAGCAGAACATGCGCCTCTGCACGCTGCAGCGGGCCAAAGACACCCTGCAGGGTCAGTCTGAGTCCAGAACAGAACCACACAATAAGGCCTAACTAGAGGAATCTGTTCAGAACCACCTGGTTTTATTGTAAACTTGGATAATTTCAGTCCCTTTATTCCAATTTTTTTTGTTTTTGTTTTATTGTCCTTAAACCGTCACTAGTAAGGAGCAACAAAATGAACTCCCTGAATTTAAAGTCATAGGGAATACATTTTTAAATGTCAAATCATTCTGGCTTAAACATGTATATAAATGTACTCTTTATCAGAAGATATTGTCCCAAAATTTAGAAAATTTCTATTTAAAAAAAAATCTTTTCTTAAAATCTGTGTTTTTTTTCCGTTATCTTTTGCAGTTAGTTCTACGTCAGCCTGAACACCTAAATTCAGCCAATCATATATCAACGGTCATCTGTCAATCAAATTTTTTTCCATCATAGCATCTTGATTCATATGTCGCAGCTAATATACGCAACGGTTGAAATCAGAATCCTTTCCTTTCCCATTGAGTTGCGTCCCAGTGTCCACGGGGATGGACGTCTGTGTCTTCAGCAGGCGTAGAGCTAACAGAACTGGCAGCGTTGCGAGGCAAGGGCTCAAACATGTACGGCTGGAAGCCTTCTACACCAAACCAAGCTTCTGCCGCCCTGGCGTCCTCTTCCACAACATCTTCGTCCCCGCTTTCCTCCTCTAAATAAAAAATGGATGACGGAGGAGACTCATCCACGACCTCCGACACTAAACTCTCCTCCTCTTGCATGTTTCCTCTGTCCATAGCGTTCCTTGACAGCGTCGTTTCTAAGGCACCAATTTAGTGCTACTTGGTCCCAATGGAATTTTCCATTGGGACCCTACTAGCACTAAGATGCTAACTGGTTAGCAAGATGCTTCCCACAAACCGGCCACAACCAAACTTGCTTGCAACCCTTCCACCTCAACAATCCTGCCCCTTTGATAACTCGTGTAAAGTCGGGCACCACTGGGAGAATTCGGAAATGCAATCATTAGAACAGTAGTTTCCGTACAACTTAAACCCATCCCCTTGGGGAGCAGTGGTCTGCCATTGTGCGGCGCCCGGGGAGCAATATAGGGTTAAGGGTCTTGCTCAGGGACCCAGAGTGGCAGTCTGTGGGAGTGGGGCTTGAACTCAGAACTTCAGGATTCCTTGCTTTGTGCCCTAACCACTAGGCCGCCCCTCCCCCACTGTATTAATGACGCTATGCCAACAGCTGCAGCGTCTGTCTCCCTGCCACCTCCTAGATCAGCTTCTCTGATTGGTCGACGCGCTGCTTGAGCTGCAGAGCTTCGAGATCTGAGTGCGGTGGGCTGGTGTGACGCTTTATATGACGCAATATCAGGCTGAGACGATCTAACCGTGGATCACACCGATCAGTCTGGAGACGCAACAGGACCGTCTCCCTGCTTATAGGGGGCTGAGGGTGGGAAGATCATCCTGCCCTGTGAACCCGCCCTCTGTTTTGCTTCTGAATGTCATGGATCAGATCCAAATCCTGAAAAATCTAATTTGTTCAGATTGAAGATTTTCTGAATCTTTTAAAGCTCAGTTTAAAACCAGAAATCTGCTCTGATGTCTTTTTAAACGTCAGGAAATTCTTTTTATCTAGAAAAACTGAAGTCATTGAATAGGGCTGGGTAAGAAAATCGATTTAATCAAAATCAAATCGATTCAGGACCCTGGCGAAACTACCAGCCCTATTATTGATCATAAACTGTGGAGAAGGAATCAGGAGGAGGAGGAGGGAACAGGAGTGGCTCTCTGGAAGCAGGAGGTGATCTGTTGTTTCTGTTTGTGTCTGAAGGTGAGATCGAGTGTCTGAGAGGAGAACTACAGCGAGAAACGGCAAGAAGAGAAGACGAGAAGGAAAGGAGGGCAAGAACTCTGGAGGAGAAGGAGGAGTTGAATGTAGAAATGGAGCGACTGAGGGAGGAGGTGGAGGCGCTGCGGAGCAGAAGTTCTGAGCAGGAGGCAGAGAAACAGGAGGAGAGGAAAACCTGGCAGGAAGAGAGAGAAGCTCTGAACAAAGAACTGGGGACTAGGGACGGGGCGCTGGAGGCCCTGAGGAGGCGCACTGAAGGTCTGACAGAGGAGGTGGAGGAGAGACAGAGAGAGGTGGAGAGGCTGAGGGAGGAGGTGGCGGAGAGAGGGAGCAAAATCAGCACCATGATGGAGAGAAGGCAGCGAGCAGAGGAGGAGAAGGAGAGACTGGAGGAGCAAATAAAGCAGACAGAGCTCCGACTGGCAGAGGAGGAGGAGAAGAGGAGAGAGGAGGAGATGCAGAGGGATTTAGAAACAGAGGCGCTCTGTGAGCGGATCGAGAAGTTAGAGGAAAAAAAGAAAGAAATGGAGCAGGAGATGAACCAGCTGAGGATTGAGGAGGAGACATGGAGATCTAGAGCTGTGGAGGACAAGGAGGAGGTGAAGAGACTGAGGAAGGAGATCTCCAGGTTACAAGAAGACAGAGAGAAGGAGAGGAGACAGAGGGAGAGAAAAGAGGAGGAAGAGAAGGAGCTAGAAGAGAGGCTGAAGGAGAAGGCGGGGGAGGTAGAGCTGCTAAGAGTGAGGCTGAATGTGGCTCAAGAGGAGAAGGAGGAGATGAAGGAGGAGGTGGAAAAGAGGGAGCGCAGCCTGGAGCGACAGATGAGTGCTGTTAGGGAGAGAGAGGAGGAGGTGGAAAAGCTGAAGGAGCATCTGAGGCTGGCAGAGGAGCGAGAGGAGGAAGGAGAGCGGGAGCGGCAGCTAGTGGAGGTCAGACTGAAGCAGAAGGAGGTGCGGGAGGAGAAGCTGGAGGCACTGCTGGCAGAAACTCAGGCGCTCCTGGAGAAGGAGGTACAAGAGGGAGGAGGAAAAGACAGAAAAATCTCCTCCCAGGACAGGGAGTTGCAGGAGGCTCAGGCTGAGAGAGAAAGAGCAAAGAGGAGGGCCAGAGAGAAGGAGGAGGCCTGTGAGCAGCTCGAGGAGGAGCTAAGGAGGTGGCAGCAAAAGGAAGAGCATCGTGGGAAGGAGGCGACAGAGCTCCAGAAGAGCATTAGGCAGAAACAAGAGGAGGTGCTGCAGTTGAGGGCCACACTGGAGGAGAAGGAGGAGGAGCTGAGGGAAGGAGAAAGGCGCAGAAGAATGGAGGAGGAGAGAAACAGAATGACTGAGGAGAAAGTGAAGGAGGAGAGGAGGAGGTTAGAGGACAGGCTGGAAGCAAGAATGAAAGAGCTGAAGGAGGAAAACGATGAGCTGAGGAGGAGTCAGGAGGAGAAGAGACGACTGGTCAGCAAACTGCAGGAGATACAGGAGGAGGAAAGAGAGGAGCTGAAGGGAGTGAGGGAGCAAAATAGGAGGCTGAGGGACCAGCTGAAAGAGACGGAGGAGCAGAGAGAGGAGGAACTGAGACAACTGGAGGAGGAACTGAGGAAAATGAAGGAGGAGAGAAGGCTGCAACAGGAAACAGAGAAAGATCTCCACCTCCTGGAGGAGGAAAGAAGGAGGTCCAGGCTGAGGACGTTAGAGAAGGAGAAGGAAGAACTGCAGGTGGAGCTGGTAAGAAAGGATAGGGAGGTGACACTCCTTAGAGAGGAAGCGCAGAGGGAGAGAGAGGAGCTCAGAGAGGAGGTGAAAAGAAAGGGAAAGGAGAAGGAGGAGGTCAAAGAAAGGATGCAGGAGGAACTGAGAGCTAGAGAGGAGGAGTGGAGGTCAAAGGAGCTGATGAGCAAGAAAAATTTGCAGAATGACAGGCAACTGGAGGAGGTCCAGCAGGAGCTAAGGAGGAGCGAAAAGGAAGCGACTCTCCTCAGAGAGGAGCTCCACAAGGAGCAAAGAGAAAAGGATGAGAGGCAGGAGCGGCTGAGGAGGTCTGAGAAAGAGATGACAGCGCTCAGAGAGGAGTTGGAGAGGGAGCGGAGCAAGGCACAGGAGGAGAAGGGAGAAAGGCAGGAGGTCCAGCAGGAGCTTCTAAGAGTCAGAGAGGAGTTAATTATAGCGAGGAGGGAGAAGGAGAAGAAGCAAGAGGAGCTGAAGGATTTAGAGAAGGAGGTGACTGCTCTGAGGCTGGAGGTACTAAATGAAAAAGAGGAGATAATGAAGACGGAGGAGATCCGCCAGGAGTTGCTGAGGAGCAAAAAGGAGGCAGCTCTCCTGAGAGAGAAGCTCCACCAGGAGCAAAGAGACAAGGATGAGAAGCAGGAGCAGCTGAGGAGGTCTGAGAAAGAGTTGACTGCTCTCAAAGAGGAGGTGCAGAGGGAGCGGAGCAAGGCACAGGAGGAGAGAGGAGAAAGGCAGGAGGTCCAGCAGGAGCTTCTAAAAGTCAGAGAGGAGTTAATTATAGTGAGGAGGGAGAGGGAGGAGAAGCAAGAGGAGCTGAAGGATTTAGAGAAGGAGGTGACTGCTCTGAGGCTGGAGGTGCTAAATGAAAAGGAGGAGTTAATGAAGACAGAGGAGATCCATCAGGAGCTGCTGAGGAGCAAAAAGGAGGCAGGTCTCCTGAGAAAGGAGCTCCACCAGGAGCAAAGAGACAAGGATGAGAAGCAGGAGCAGCTGAGGAGGTCTGAGAAAGAGGTGGAAGCTCTCAGAGAGGAGGTGCAGAGGGAGTGGAGCAGGGCCAAGGAGGACAGGAGGCAGTTGGAGGAGGTGGAGCTGGAGCTGAGGAAGAACAGAGAGGAGGTACAAAGACAGCAGAAAGAGAAGGAGGAGGCCCAGGAGGCTCTGCAGGAAGAGAAGCTGCAGAGGGAGGAGATACAGCAGGAGCTGAGGAGCAGCAAGAAAGAGGTCTCTGTACTGAAAGAGGAGAGGGATAAGGAGCAAAGAGAGCTTGATGAAAAACTGAGAACCTCTCAGGAGGAGGTGAGGGCTCTCATGGAGGAGGTGCACAGGGAGCGGAGCAAGGCACAGGAGGATATAGGAGAGAGGCTGGAGGTCCAGCAGGAGCTTCTAAGAGTCAGAGAGGAGTTAATTATAATGAGGAGGGAGAAGGAGGAGAAGCAAGAGGAGCTGAAGGATTTAGAGAAGGAGGTGACTGCTCTGAGGCTGGAGGTGCTAAATGAAAAAGAGGAGTTAATGAAGACGGAGGAGATCCGCCAGGAGCTGCTGAAGAGCAAAAAGGAGGCAGCTCTCCTGAGAGAGGAGCTCCACCAGGAGCAAAGAGACAAGGATGAGAAGCAGGAGCAGCTGAGGAGATCTGAGAAAGAGGTGGAAGCTCTCAGAGAGGAGGTGCAGAGGGAGTGGAGCAGGGCCAGGGAGGACAGGAGGCAGCTGGAGGAGGTGGAGCTGGAGCTGAGGAAGAACAGAGAGGAGGTACAAAGACAGCAGAAAGAGAAGGAGGAGGCCCAGGAGGCTCTGCAGGAAGAGAAGCTGCAGAGGGAGGAGATACAGCAGGAGCTGAGGAGCAGCAAGAAAGAGGTCTCTGAATTGAAAGAGGAGAGGGATAAGGAGCAAAGAGAGCTTGATGAAAAACTGAGAACCTCTCAGGAGGAGGTGAGGGCTCTCATGGAGGAGGTGCACAGGGAGCGGAGCAAGGCACAGGAGGATATAGGAGAGAGGCTGGAGGTCCAGCAGGAGCTTCTAAGAGTCAGAGAGGAGTTAATTATAATGAGGAGGGAGAAGGAGGAGAAGCAAGAGGAGCTGAAGGATTTAGAGAAGGAGGTGACTGCTCTGAGGCTGGAGGTGCTAAATGAAAAAGAGGAGTTAATGAAGACGGAGGAGATCCGCCAGGAGCTGCTGAAAAGCAAAAAGGAGGCAACTGTCCTGAGAGAGGAGGTGCAGAGGGAAAGGAAGGAGGCACAGATGGCTAGGAGTCAGAAAGTGGAGGTAGAACAGGAGCTTTCTGAACTGAGAAAGGAGCAAAAGAAAAAGGAGGAGATGTTTGAAAAAGAGGTAAGGTCTCTCAGAGAGGAGGTGCTCAGAGTGAAGGAGGAGGCTCATGGGAAGCTGCAGGAGGAACTCAGGTCTAAGGAGGTAATGAGGAAGAAGGGGCAAGAGGAGTGGAGGAAGTTGGAGGAGGTCCAGCAGGAGTTACTGAGGAGCAAAAAGGAGCTCCAAGAGGAGCTGATGAAGGAGCAACAAGAGGAGGAAAAGATCCGCGATGAACTGAGGAAGAGTAGGGCGGAGGTTAGTGAGCTGGCAGTCATTGCTGAGGAGGTGAAAAAGGAACAGGAGCAGATAGAGGAGGGGCTACGAAGGAAAGAGGAGGAGGTAAGGGCTCTAAAAGAGGAGGTGCATGAGGCTCACAGGGGGAGTGAGAAGGAGGTGTCTCTCCTTCAAGAGAAGGTTCAAAAGGAAAAACAGGAGCTCCTGAAGGAGCTGCAGAAGAGGAGAGATGAGGTCAAAGACCTTCAGGAGGAGGTGAAGGAGGAGCGCCAGAGGAGGGAGGAGGTGCAAGACGACTTGAGAGGTGTTCAGCAAAACATGGAGGTGATGGAGGAGAGCCTGACCTCCCTGAAAAGTCAGGTACAGAACCATCCCAGGGGGAGGAGGAAGAGGAGCAGAGGAGGTGAAAGCTAAGTCAGACTCTGTTCCAGGTGTTGGATCTGAGCCGCAGCCGGGAGCGAGCACGAAAGGAGGTGAAGGAGAAGGAGGAGGAGAGCCAGCAGATGAGGGAAGGCCTAAGGGTGGCCCTGGAGGAGATGACTACTCTGAAGGCTCTCCTTCAGGTAGGGCGCCTCCTGTTGGATGCCCACAGGCTTTCAGTATGAGGTCATAATGTCTCTCCTCTTTGACTCCTCCTCCAGGACAGCCACAATGAGGGGGAGCGTCTGAGGAGAGCGCTGGCACAGAAGAAGGAGGACATGGAGAAAATCAGAGAGGAGAACAAGCAGGCGGCTAAGGAGGAGGTGGAGGAGCTGAGGGCCAGAGTCAAAGGTCTGGAGAAGAGAAGGAAGGAGGTGGTGGAGGAGCTGGAGAGGAGGAGGGAGGCTGAGGGGAGGTGGAGGAGTCAAGTGGAAGAGTTGGAGAAAGGGCAGGAGGTTCTGCACATAGAGATCCAGACACTAAGGAGTAGACGGGAGGAGGAAGACAGAGAGTGGAGGTCCAAGATGGAGGAGAAGGAGGAGGAGGCAAGGAGGAGGATCCAGGAGAGTCAAGAAGAGCTGAGAATGTTGACAGCATTGATGGAGGAGCAGAAAGCTCAGATGGATGGACAGAGGAGGAGAAACGTCCAGACAGGAGAGGATGTGAGTTTTAACTAAGAACGTTCCTGAACCTCCTGAATAAAGTCCTCCTAACTGCACCTTCTGTTTCAGGAGGAGGAGCAAGAGGAAGAGGAGGAGCAGGTTTCCTCTGAGAAGGAGCAGCTGAGGAAGGAGCTTCAAAAGAAAGAGTCTGAGGTAACATGGACTCCTTCATCTGAGCTGAGAGTAGCACAGCTCCTCCTCCTCCTTCATTATTCTTCTTGTCCAGTTCTACATGCTGACGCAGAGGAACAAGGAGCTGGAGGAGGAGCGGGACCGGTTCCGATTGGCTCTGGAGCGGACAGAGGCCGCCATGATTGGCTACAGGCAGCGAGCACACCAACAGGAGCAAAACCTCAGGACTGGTTCTAACCCGGAGGAGGTCAGTCTAACTTCTGATTGGTTGGATGGGTTCTGTTCCGTCATGTGTAGTTAGATGGAGGACATGTGTCTCCTCAGGCTGTGGAGGACAGACTGCTGGTCCTGCAGCGACTGGTGGCTGAACTGGAGCTCGACCAGATGAGGATGAAGAAGAAGAATTCCCACCTGGAACAGCAGAAAGACAAGCTGAAGAGGGACAGAGATGCACTGAAGGACACACTGAGACAGGTGAGACAGATCGAGACAGGTGAGACACAATGAGACAGATCGAAACAGGTGAGACACACTGAGAAAGGTGAGACAGATTGAGATACACTGAGACAGGTGAGACACAATGAGAAAGGTGAGAAAGATCGAGACAGGTGAGACACACTGAGAAAGGTTAGACAGATTGAGACACACTGAGACAGGTGAGACACAATGAGACAGGTGAGACACACTGTGACAGATTGAGACAGGTGAGACACAATGAGAAAGGTGAGAAAGATCGAGACAGGTGAGACACACTGAGAAAGGTGAGAAAGATCGAGACAGGTGAGACACACTGAGAAAGGTTAGACAGATTGAGACACACTGAGACAGGTGAGACACAATGAGACAGATCGAGACAGGTGAGACACAATGAGAAAGGTGAGAAAGATCGAGACAGGTGAGACAGATTGAGACACACTGAGACAGGTGAGACACAATGAGACAGGTGAGACACAATGAGACAGGTGAGACAGATCAAGACAGGTGAGACACAATGAGAAAGGTGAGAAAGATCGAGACAGGTGAGACACAATGAGACAGATTTTTTAAGTCCTCTTACTTCCTGCCTTGTCCAGTGTTCTGAAGACACTTCGGGTTGAATATTGAGATAAATGTATTGATGCAGATTGATGAAGACCTTCCTCGTATCTCCTCGTAACCGGACAGAAAACGTCTCCCTAGGCCGCTCCAAATCAAATCCACAGACAGTTACATGTGGCGTCCCCCAGGGGTCAGTACTTGGCCCCATCCTCTTCATCCTTTACCTTACCCCCCTTGGCCAAATCATCAGCCGCCACAATATCTAATTCCACTGCTATGCTGATGACCTACAGCTCTATGTAAATGTCTCAGCTGACCCCCCCCCCACCCTCACAGTCATCCCCATCAAAACTCACCACCTGTCTTGAGGAGATAAAGGTACGGATGGAGCAACACTTTCATCAATCAATACCTCCAAAACTGAAGCCATCCTGGTTGGAACTCCTCATCAAACCAAATCATCATCCACATGCATGCACCCGTTCGCGCACTAACACACCTGTTCCCACTACTACAGGCCCGCCCGTTCATTACCTTCTTCCATATGGCACCATGTTAGCTCCTCAGATGTTGCTTGAGATTTGCGTTGTTCTTTCCTGCCTTGTTGAAGCTGCAGGAAGGTGGCGTCCTTCCTCTGGTGTTTTCCTTCATGTTGTAAATGAAATGGCTCCATACATCCAGGCGATGTTAAACAAGCCGCACCCTGGTATCCGTAATGACTGCGAAGTTGAGCTATGCTAGTACTAACTGAGCGCTGCGGGGCCCTTTGGGACAGGCGGCTTGTAAACAAACAGTGCAAAGAAGCATAATCTTCTATGAAGCTCAAGAAACACTGATATTAACAATACAAATTAAACAATTACATTTCGTAACGTCCATTCATCAATGGATGGTAAATTTCGTCTGGTCTTAGTCTCGTTGACGAAAATCTTTTTTTATTTTCTGGAAGCTTACTTATATAGCTATACTTATATAGCGCCTTTATTCAAGTCAGGAGACTTGACCAAAGCGCTTTACACTACATTCATTCACCCATTCACTCACACACTGATGGTGGCAAGCTACATTGTAGCCACTAGGGCCCTACACTGGCGCCACCGAGCCCTCTGACCACCATCAGTAGACAATGCAGGTGAAGTGTCTTGCCCAAGGACACAACGACAATGAAAGTCAGAGTCGGGGCTTGAACCGTCAACCCTTCGATTTCAGGGCAAACTCCTACATCCAACGCCACTGTCGCCTTTTTATAGCAGGCATTTGTTTCTTCTTTCCTCTGAAAGGCTGGGCTTTTGTTGATCACTAGATCTCTGTTGGCCTGAGGGTTGGGGGTTCCTGGGGGGGGTAGGTTTGGGAATGTTTCGGGTCGTCTTGACTCAACCCTGTGAGAACAGTCCTGAGACGTTCCAAACACCATGATCATGTTGGAAAGTCAGTTGTTTTCTCACTCATTGATTCCTCACTGTCAGGTGGAGGAGGATCGACGGAGGCTCAGGCAGCAGCTCTCACTCGGCTCTGGGTCCCAGGTGAGACTCACACTGGTGGAGACGTCTCAGCTAATGGCTAAATCCTGGTTTATACTCAGAAACCAGGTCGTCTGCATGTGTGTCGCAGTTAACACAGATATGCCCCGCCCCTTCTGCTGACAGGAGGCCATTGATTGGTCAATTCTACCACTCTACACTATGCATGTTTACTGTTTGGTACCTAATGGCAGAAACTCTGGCTGTAGTGCCGTCAAAATGCCTGGCACACCTCGGACACTAACCCAGACACGCTAGTTTGTAGCACCGTGCGACGGTCAGTCTTTGAGGCATGTTCACGGGTGAACTGTGTGTCGTCCGGCGTTTGATGTAGACGGCGAACAAGCTTGTCAAACAAACACATGATTCTCCCTCTAGTGCTCTGGTGTGAAATAAAATAGCACAGACTGCGCTTCAAAATTGGGCATAAATCAAAAATACCTGCGTCGTTCCTGCAACAAGCTAACTGCGACATACTGCTGCGGGATAACCAGTCATGAACAGTGGGTCTAATTCAAACAGGTGTGTTTGGTTGGTCAGGCGTCTGAGAACTCCACCGAGGTCGAGCGGCTGAGGCACCAGGTGACAGAGCTGGAGGACCAGGTGAGATCACCACAGAAGAAGAGTTTCAGTATCCGATGTTTCAGGTGGGTGCTGATGATGTCATCATATCTCCTCCTCTAAGTTGAGTCAGCTGCGTCTCTCATTGGCTGTGGACCAGATGCAGAGGGCGGAGTTTATTGAGCAGTCGTCCAGAAACAGCCAATGGCTGCTCTCTCTGAGGCACGACCTCAACGATTCGCTGGCTGCCGTCTCCAGCCATCCAATCCCAGCCGTTCTGGAGTCTGAAACGCAGCGATTGGACCGCAGCCTGAGGGAGGAGGAGCTTAGGATGTCTCTGAGCCAATCATAAGAGGGAAACTTTCAATGTGAAGCTGCTTCGCTCTGATTGGACAGGTTCTATCTACAGGAAGTTATTTATTCAAAACTGACCATTCAGAAGAGACCAAAAATGTTACAGGAAATAAACCTTCAGGTACAAAGTTACAGTCATGAGTATTTACCTCTGATCAATCTTCTTTAAGAACACTTTCTACAATCTGCAAATGTATCTGCAGAGCTGGTATAGATGCGTTCTGATTAGTTGGTATGTTTTTATTTTATGTTTACTGTATTTAAAGGTTATTTATTGTTTATAAAAGGATCAATAAACCAAAGTGTTTATAAAACAGGATGTGTTTTTGTTTTTCCTGATTTTCTGAATGCATCACAGCTAAACATCTACCAGACTGGGTCCAGTGTCCATTTGGCTTCAGTCTCTTAGCTGCAAATGAGAATCCAGTAAAGGATTCAATTCTAGTCAGTTTATTTCTATAGCGCCAATTCATTACACACGTCATCTTAAGGCACTTTACAGTTCACCGGTCAGATTGATTCAAAGTTTTCTATCTAAGGAAAACCAGCTTTTGCATCGACTCATTGACTCAAACAGAACCCTCAATTTAAGCATGCTTGTAGCGACAGTAGAGAGAAAAAACTCCCTTTGAACAGGAAGAAACCTCCAGCAGAACCAGGCTCAGTGTGAGCGGCTATCTGCTGAGGCCGACTGGGGTTCAAGGAGACAGAAGCAGAGATAGAAAAAGAAGCATAGATACAAAAGGCAACCGGCTCCACAGGCGGCCCCGTCCAGGAAACACACAGCCAGGCAGACGAGCTCCGAGCCAGCTCCCATGTCAGAGGATGAAGAGAGCACATCCAGTTAGTCACAGTCAGAGAAACAGGACTACACTGGAAAACAGGCCAAGCTCCAACATCTAGAAACAAAGGTGTTGATGGCAGCAGCACAGCTGATATTTCTCTCCAGGATGGAGTCACAGCCAAACAGGAACAGACCAGATGAAGCTACTATGAGAAAAAGCAGAGATTGAACTAAAGGTCTAAAACTAAGGATGATTCCTCGGTTTCTGGTTCCCAGTAGAGAATGACTGACTTACTGGTCCATATGGACCTGCTAGAACTGCTCAACGTTATTTCTGACATTTTGAATGGAAAAAAACTTCCTGGATGGGAAGAGAAACGTCTTTAAACTTGGAATCAAAGTCCAGTGGATTGTTTCTTAACTTTTTTGGAACTAATTCAATTCCTACATAATGACTCTTAAATCTTTTTCTTTTCTCTGGTGACCCTCCTCTGGTGTGTTAATCTATAACAGATACTGGGAAAAGTTCCTGTGAGTTTAGCCGGATCAAAGGCAGGGATGGTCGACTCCACTGAAGGCGGATCTATGCTGAACATCTATGAACCAGTCTAGATATGCTGGACCTGTCTGCTTGGGAAGCGGGGATGGAGGGTCCAGACGTTTCACCAACAGCCTATCAGATCGATTAACCCTGAAAATGAGTCTAATGATGTTTTATTTATTAGCCACGTCTGATTCTTCCTCCTTCTCTTATATTTTTATCCTTCATGTAAAAAAAGAATCTAATCATTTAATCTTAAATTTAACCTTCAATAATTCAACCTGCTTCTTTTTTTATGTGGTTTTTGGTCTTTAAAGCTTTAAAATGTTTGATCCGTTCTGAAAGCCTGATGTTCTGATGATGTGAGTCTGTTTCCATCAGCTGAACCTGCTAATGGACCCTGAAAGCTTTAGAACAGCCTGTTTTTGATCTGCAGCTGGAAACATCTGTCTCTGCCCAGCATGTTGTTTCCTGCACCATAGATGATCTGCTGGAAAGAAAAACAGGTGCAGCTGAGAGCGGCGCCTCCCTCTGGTTGATGGAGGGGAGGACGCTCCGCCTCCTGCAGGTCCAGCTCTCCATCCTGTGTTGATGTGCTGCAGTGTTTGTTTATGGAAGTCTCTCTGTCACTCAGCTGGCTGATAATCCTCGTCTATTTTTACCTCCCCCCCTCCTCCGTGTTTCAGCTGTGCTTCCCCTCACGCTGCTCAGGTTCCACACTTTCAGCAGGGAAGCGTTTGGATCTGCAGCACCGAGCCTCAGGTACCGTGATCCCCGTTTATCTGCCTCACTTTCAGGTCGCAGACGTTGGAGGTGGAAGGTTTGGGTTTGTTGTGGAGGTCGGGTCCAGCTGGGTTTCCTGCTGCCGTAAACTGATCTCAGTGGTAATTAAAGAGGACGTTAAAAACCAGACCTCCTGCTGCTGGGTTTGAATAAACGGCTCCAGCTGCAGGCCTTTAAAACTGAAGCGTTTGGTTGTTGATGTTACAGTGAGCTGAGGATCCATGTTTATCTTCTCTAGTTCACATTTTACAGAAAACAATGATTTGATGAAGTTATTGTGATCAGTCTGCAGGTAAGTTCATGTTAAGCTGCTTCACTTCCTCCTATGTCCGTCACCATGGTAACTGATGCTGCAGACCATCTATGTGGAGCTTCAGGAGCTCAAGTTAACAAATTAAGGTCGACGATTGTGGAAAATTTGGATTATTTCCCTTTTGGTTTTAATAAAAGTAAAAAAGCAAAAATTAATTAAGATCCCTTAGAAATTCTACGGATTCTCAGTCTGAATACTGACTGAAGGTGAAGCCATTTAATTGGAAAATTACTGCTTTACAGGATATTAAAGAAAAGACCGAAATAGAACATTATGGATTACACAAACAATGTAAAAAACAAAAACAAACAGATATTATAGGCATAAAGGAAAACAAACTTTTTATCGCTAAGATTCAAACACTGCAGAATCTAACATGTTTTAGTTCTTATTTTATTGTTTTATTGATTTTCTGTCAGTTTATTTCATGCAGAGGAGCAGGAATAAAATGCTGCCTCGTCTTGTTTGGTTCTGCTTCTGGAAACAGATTAAGGAGGTTTTTAGAGACTGGAAGGCTCCACCTGGAAAAGCTACTTGGATACATAATTCTGACTGAAGCGGTTTAGAACTTTATGGACAACAGCAGAACTTTGAAATGTCTTTCCATAAAGAGGCAATTAAGGTTAAAAACGATGATTTGATCCATTTTCTGGGTGTTTGTCAGGATCTGAGCTGCAGGAGCATTACTGATTTCCACTGTGAATAAACTGGTTCATTGATCCGACCTGCTGGGAATCAATCCTGCTGATGTTTCAATGATGTTAGTGACAAACTGTAAATGTTTAGATCCAAAACCACACATAGCCAGTGAGCCTCACAGATAGTGTTATATAAAATACTGAAATCTCGGTATAAAGTAGAAGTATAAGTACCTCTCCAAAATATGACTTTGGTAAAAGTCCAAGTCACTGAAATGATACTTGAGTAAAAGTCTTAAAGTATCTGAAATGGCTCGTACTTAAGTATAAGAATTACTGTAAAAATAGATGTACTCAAGTTATTTAGTAAAAGTGCAGTTTGAATGATATTTTTTAAACACAAATCAACTTTGAAGGTTAAATTCACTTAAAATAATATAAACAACCAAGTGTAGGATACATTTAGACTGGCTTTGGGAAACAGGCGTATCTTATTGGTGTTGATGAACGAACCCAGGCAACCCCGCCTACCTTTGTAGTCAGTAGGGGGGGTCAAAACACTTGCATTTCTCTTGCTCGTTTTTTTTTTTTTACTTAGTATAAAAGTAAAAGTATGCAATTAAGTTCGTAAATGTAGTGAAGTAAAAGTGAAAGTTCTCACAATAATGTATACTCTTGGAAAGTATAAAGTACTCCAAAATATACTTAAGTACAGTAGTGAAGTATTTTTACTTTGTTACTATACAACACAGCTCACAGAGATATAAAGCTGTGTGTCATCAGCATATAGAGGAGGCGCTGTAAGATCTGAGCTCCTGGGATCACAGGCGGTAATTAAAAATGGGTCAGGATCGGACCGTTGAGGATGATTCAATGTTTCCTGACCAGATTTAAAGTCACCAAATACCAGAGTAATCCCTGCCTGTCGACTAAGATCTGAACCAGTTGAGCCCAGTACCAGTTACCAGTCAGTTACTGGGATCCAGTCATACCAAGACTGAAGTTCTGGACCCATTTGTTCAGAAATGACCTTTTCTATACAGGTCAGATTCTGACTGATCGATTATCATTAATGCATCTAGATACAGTAGTTGACATTTATAATTTCCCCACTTCCTTAATGGGTCCTTGGCTGTTCTCCTAACATTTATTTTTAAACATCAATCTTTGTACTAAAATATTCTTTCTGTCATGATTTGTGAACATTAAGATCTAAAGAGAAGCATCATCTCCTGGTCAGACGCTGTAATTCAGTGAAAGGATGGAGTCAGAGGAAAAAACATGTTCATGGAGGGCATTTGCTGGGAGTTGGAGGGAAGTGGGCAGCCATTCGGCCGGCGTTTCACTGGGAAGGGCGGTTTAGAATGGCTGCTACTGTAAGAGGTTTGATGAAGGCAGTTTACAGGAAAATATTTATTATTTAAAGTATTCAGGGTCGAAACAGCTGAGAACTGTTTCCAGGAGAAGAACCTGAAGCATCATGAAGGCAGATGAAACCTAAAGTCTGTTGGGGTTTTGTTCTCTTCTTCATTTAGTGTTCTGTATGTTCCATCAGTTTTATATTCTTCCAAAACGAGTGATGAACATCATCAGCTCGCTCTGTTTTCACAAAACATCAGAGATTATTTACCTCGCTCTCCTTCCTGCTGCTCCTGCAGCAGCTGAGTTGGTTTCAGTTTGAAAGGCGAAAGATTGTCATTGTCTCCTTTCTATCTCCTCTTTCTTTCATCTTTTCTCTTTTTTTTTCCTTTTCTTCTTCTGTTTTTCTGCTCTATTTACATTGTAGTGTCCATATAAACTGTTAAACTCCCTGCATAATTATAATAAAGCAATTTATATGCATGAAACAAGTGGAGCTATATGGCAATTGCCGTACTGCTCCACTTGCGAAAGTAAAATCTGTTGGGCTCTTTTTGGCATCAAGACAGTTATTCTTATTGCCACCTTGCCAGACAGGACACTGTAAAAAAAGAAAAAAAAAAGGTTTCAGTTTGAAAGAAAGATCCAGATTCTCTGTAAAGCTTCAGGTTTTCTGCCTCCACATCCAGTGTCGGATTCTGACCTTCAGCTAAAGACGTTTCCACAGCAGTCCTTCTGCTCCGTGGGAATCAGTGAGATGATTCACAGGAAACACCTGGATCTTTGGATCTTAAATCTGATTAAACTTCAGTTGTTTTTCCTGTTCTTTGTATTTCTCTAGGAGTTAAAGGAGAACCAGAACAACCAAAATTGACTTTAAATGTTTGAGCAAAGAGAAAACATGACGGACATTTGAAGGAAGATGGAAACATCTATGAAACCAGGAGACGTTTGATCCAGGAAAATAAAAACCAACTGAGATCCAGGCAGAGAACAGAGAAATATTTTCCATCCTTTAGGTTTAGTTTACCCTCATGGGGACTGGAAGGAAGGAAGAAACAGAGGAGAGATGTGGAAACCAGAGCAGAGAGGAGAGCAGCAGCAGCTCAGCAGCAGAGCTCAGAGGCTCCTTCACCGCTCTGAGCTCCATCGCCATCCAGGCTGGACGCTCACAGATCGTCGCCTCGGTTCTCAAGGTAGGAAAACAAAGAGAAAGACCAGATGAAGGTTCAACAGAGAGGCTGAGGAAAACCTTCATCCATGTTTCTCATCAAAACCTAAAGAAGCAGAACCATTTCTAAGCAGAATGAGCCTTAATTAATCCCATAAAACCATAAAAACCACAAACTTCAAACAAACAGGTTTCAGGTAAAATCAACATTCAGACCCACTACATTAAAACATGCTTTGACTAAAAAAAACAAAATTTAAACCACATTTCTGAAATCGAATGCTTTGATTGGTCTGATTGATACTCTAATCTTTTTTCTTTTCGAGTATTTTTTTGTTTTTACGGCTCTAGTGGCTCAATTTTTGGACAGTAGGCTGAGAGGTAATATCTGAAATGTTGAGTTTTTTAATAGATTAAACAGGAAACTCATCAAAATTTATATAAACAAATATTTAAATAAAAATAAACCTTTTAACTTGGATCTTTAAATAAGACAACTGTCTGAAAGGCCTTTAAGGTCTAATTAAAGCAAACAAACAAACTGCTCAGGATAAAAACCTTTAAAACTTTTTCCTTAAAGAGTTTTATTATGTTAAATTAATTTATAAAGCGAGTTTTAAATCTGTTTTTATTCCATCATGTTTTCATGTTAGTGTTTAATGGAAGTAAAGTTTATATTTAGATAATTTAAGGCTCTTTGGTTTGTCTGAAATGATTTTAGCTGCCAGAGGAATGAAGCTCAGGTTAAATGAAGGTTCAGCATAGTTTAGATTTTAAAGCTGATGGATGTTTTAATATATTATAAATGAAACATTTAGCAGAGAATTTAAACAATCTGATGAAATGTTTTTGTTTTCTGACACTTTAACGATTAAACCAGAGTTTCATTAAGCTGTCAGTTTAAAGGCTGTTGTCTCCTGGTCTCTGGAGGTCGTTCAGACATTCGGTGGCGTTCCACGTGCCGCTTCCTGTTTTAGCCCATCAGCTGTGTGGCTGTGTGCGTCTCCTCACGCCTCACCATGTGTCTGTTTCTGCTCCACATGCCAGAGATACCGTATCTGAGAGGAATGCTGCAACACAAACACACACAGATCCACTGAGGACGGTCAGAGGAGGGAATAAAAAACTCATTTCTTTCATTAGTGATGATATTAAAAGATCCAGGTCAGAAAACAGCTGATTAACTCTTTTATTTATAGATGTGATGATTTATCTTGATTCCAGCTTCATGTTGAGATCAGCACTGCTGCCCTGCAGCCGGACGCTCCAGGACCTTCTTTACCTTCCCCTATGAACTTCCCCTGTCCTCCATGTTGATGGTTGGACTCTCTCCTGGTTTCCTCTCATGACTGATTGGTTATTTTTTAGCTCTTCACCTCCTCTGTGGATCATTTGTTGTTTTAATGCTTTCTTAATATATGAGATGAACTTGGGTTCTATTCAGGATCCAGTCAGAAAGATTAAAGCCCCTCAGCTACGCTGCAAGGATCAGGCTGGAATGAATGTGGCTAAATTAAGAGTTAGTGACTTTTAACTAGGGATGCGCGATATTGGGATTTTGGCCGATATCCGATATGCCGATATTTTAAAACTCATGTAGCCGATAACCGATATCGATACCGATGTTAAAGCTGGACAAAAATAAGTAGTCATTGAAAATAGCAGTTTTGTTATCCATTTCTGACACTGAAAAATAATATACTCAAATATATTTTCATATGCTGATATCAAATAGATTTTTAAAAACGTGGTATCGATCTATTTTACTTTCAGAATCTGGTGAAATTTCATCGTTCTGTTTCAAACTCTAGTGATATTTTGCAAATTCTTGTGAGATTTTGTTAGTAAAATAGAACGATACCGCGTCAATATATCAACATATAAAAATATGGCAACATTTGGTGAATTTTCGGGGGATTTCGTAGCATAACGATGACATATAGCAATATTTCATTAGTAAAAGAGATTGATATGGTGTTTTTAAATGGCAATATATCAGCATATGAAGATATTGGGATATTTTAAAGGATCAATATTTTTTCCCTCGTCTTTAGAAGTTTTTAAGTCTGTAAAAAAGAAGTTTTTGAGGAAGAAGAAGTAGTAGTACAGTAATTTTAAATTTTTTTTTTTTAGACTTTAGAAACTCAGAAGCTGATCAAATATCGGGTTAAATATCGGGGGGGTGGCCGATGTCCTATATTCAGTTTTAAGGCCGATACCGATAGGGGGCCGATTATATCATGCATCCCTAATTTTAACAGAACTTTATTTACACAATTCAAACAATGGAATCAATTATTAATATAAAAATAAGTGTCAGCTAAAAATAATTAAATAAGGAGCTTGTTATATTGTAGTTGCCCTTCACATTAAAACCCCACAGCTGAATAAAATCCTCCATGTTCTGTGGAAGTGAAATTCCAGCCTTATTCTGGCTTTAATCTTCCTCAGAGCGGCATCAAGGTGAGCTCCGTCCTGCAGTCTGTCTCTGAGGGACGAACGGCCATCTTTGCTTCACTTATTAAAAAATGTAAAAGTCGAACCTTTGGCTTATTTTTTGTATTCAGGCAAAATCCTCCTATAAATGGATCATTTATAAAAACTGCCCCAAAAAGACTAAAAACACAAATTAAAAGGCTAAAAATCTTCTTTAGTCTTGTGCATTCCATTAAAAACCTGGAAAACATTTTCAGACAGACAGTAGAAAGGAAACTCGTTTAAAACACCCTGATTAATAACCGATAAAAAACAGTTTGAGGCGACGGCGCCGTGTAAAATCCTCCATTGGAGATCACCAGTTTGTTTCTTGATGGGAGGCTTTTATAAAGTCCTTTTTTCTGAAGTTTTTCCGTCCAGATGCAGAGCGGTCGGTTCTGATGGTGTCTTTGGTTGATCACTTTTGTGCAGCTGTGGTGAAGGTCTTTCTGGTCCATATTGGATAAAATGTCTCTGTGGGTCCAGGATGGAGAGCAGAGGTCTGCTGTGTTCAGGGAAGCAGGGATCAATGAACTGTTAGTGGACATTAAAGCTGAATCAAAGCTTATTTAAGGCTTTTAAAGGTTGCTGTGCTGCAGATGTTCTGACTAAAATAACTTGGTAGCAGCGAGTAACGAGTCCTGAGTTAAGCAGCTGGAGGTTTTTAGGGTAATCTGGACAGAAACACGTTCTCCTCTGTTTCCTGTCAATGTTAGCTTAGCCTTCTGATGCCTCCAGTTATTACATGTTTATAGAAGAAATATTGATGCATTTAGGAGTAAACCAGATGATGTTGGGGTTGTGAGTTTGACTATTGCACCAAAAATAAACAGATATTTAGGCAAATTTAGGGCAAATATACAACAAACTAAAATAGGGTAACTAATAAAAGACTGAATACACAATTCATCTCAGGTTTTAGGTCATAGAAGCAATAAATAAATGTTTTTATTTTGCATCCTAAGGAGAGACAGTGAATTCTTGGCAGTTTAGATTAACATGGATTAGATCTTTCTCTGGTTTCAGGATTAAATCAAAATTACTTTTTTAACATTTTAAGTTAAATTTCTTAATGATTCTCTGAGAACAAAGATTATAAATCTGGTTTAATGAAATGATCATAGAGTCATTATTAAACCTGCTGAGTTTTTAGAAGGTAAACTGTTGGTTTGGTTTGTGTTTGTTGGTCCAGAGCGGTTCTCTGATCCACCTCCAGCTGGTCCAGTTCCAGCCCGGACTCTGCCAGATCGGATCAAACCAGGAGGAAAACCACATCCTGATCCAGGAGCTCCTGCAGCTGCTGGAAAAACTCCAGGTCAAAAACACAGACAGATGACAGATGATGGTCAGAGAAGGAGCTCCAGGCTGCAACTGATGAGTTTATGTTTCTACAGAAACATGAGCCTGAGGTGTTTGCTGTGGTGGAGAAGAAGCAGAAGGAGAGACTGAGGATGAGGAGGGACGCAGGGAGGAAACAGAAGCAAGACGAAGAGCTGAAAGAGGCGATGAAGGCGTCTCTGAGCGAGGGATGGTCGCTGCTCCTCCGCCTGCTGGAGAGACGGCTGGAGGTCCTGCAGATGGCTTCAGACGTCTTCAGCAGAGTGACGGAGGTAGGAGAGATGGAGGAGGGATGGAGGAGGTCCTTAAAGAGACGGCAGCTAAAGCTGAGCGCTGACCTCTGGAGCTCAGCGGGACAGAAAAGATCAACATATCAGGGATTATCTTAGCAGGTAGAACATCCAGACAGAGTCTCCCTTAAAACAGATCAGATTTATATAATCTACAGGCTGTGTTTATTTCTGGGCATTAAAAACAACAACTGACACTTTAATAGGAATAAAGAACCATATAAACATCTGTTTGATGGATGGAAAGTCTGCTGGCCTGCAGAGAAGACCTGCATGAGATCCTCTGAGTGGAGGAATGAGAGAGGATGTGAATAAAAGCACAAGAAGCATCCATAATAAAAGATTAAAAAGTTCTGCATTATAACTGATTGATGTGAAAATACATAACTTAAAAAGGCTATACAGTAGCAGCCATTCAAAATGACCCTTCCCAAATTACCTCACTCTCAGAGTCGGGTTAGTTTTTTGTTTCTCACTGAGAAACGTCTCATTTTCCTTCGGCCTCCTTCTGCTTTTTAGCATCATTAATGTCCGCCGTCATACTGAGTAACACTGACAGGTGTGAAATATTTAACACAAAAAAAACCTTCACTTTATTTATACGCACTGCGGCAAACCTTTATTAGATTCATCAAAATGTTTTTGAAATTGATTAACTGAAAGCGAGAAGCAGCATTTAATCTTTTGTTTCTAATTATCCTTCTTAATGTCTTTTCTTTTACACACCTGTTGAACAAGTATCTGTTTTAACAGCTCATTTCATCTGGCGTTCCCCAAGGTTTCACCTTTGGACCCCTTTTTCTCCGGTTTGTCGAGAATAAATATCTACATTTTAAAGGCGATAGATAACTACTGCTGGCCAGTGAGGGGAGCTCTCGCTAAGCTCTCTCTTATTCTTTACATTTTGCCAGCAGTTTGCCAGGTCTGAACTGTGGTCTGATCCAAGATGGCCGCCCTCTATGCACGTCGGATCGCTGCCGACAGCATCCAATGAGGGGTCTACCTATATAATGTCTATGGCCAGGTCCCATGAAGCCAATGCTAGGTTAAGCAAACTGTAACTAACCCATCTGAAAGGAAAGCGTATATTCTTAGAGTTAGAAGCTTTATTGATGTTTACTTTTGTTTAGCTTCTTTTTTAACATTAATCTAAGAAATGTAACGCAGAGAAGACATTTATCAGTTTTAATACGGAGCTACTAGGATCCGGCGACACCTGAGCTGCGACTAATGTAACATTAACCGACTATTCCGATTGGTGCAGATTCATTTTGTGTCGATGTTGTCGTGGTAATCAGAAGTAAATATTTCTATATTTTGGCGCTGTCAAAATCTTTAAAAGATTGTTTTTGTTGTTTAATAAAATGAAGATTTTTCCATCTTTAACTTTAGAGATTCTGTATTGTTTTTGAAAAAATGATTAATTTTGATATAATTTGTATCTATGATCTTTAAATTAAACCATCGATAGTTTCCCACCTCCCTTTGTTTTCCTGCTGATCCTTCATTCAGGCCTATTTTACTGTCTGCAGTTTGCTGCTGGCATCGACAGATTAGAGGATCTGCAGAGTAAAGCAGATGAAGACAAACTGACTGAAGTCCAGCTCTCCTTTGACTTCATCAGAAAAGGTAAAAATGTTAGTTTGACTTTAGTCTCTATAATCTGAGAAATGGGAAGAATCTTCATTAATGTCATTTCTGATATCCTATATTCTGGTTTAAAAGCTTAATATTTTACACCATAAATAAACATGGAGATAAGAACAATAAGTGGCTGTAGAGCAGCTGAAGTTATTTATCTGGTTTATTTGTGAGAGTTGAACTGATTAGAAGCTGATTTCAGACACAGACAGGATGATATTTCTATCTCTGGCTTGCAGATCTTCTGGGAAAGTCCCTGCAGGTTTTAACCAGCAGCAGCCTCCTGCTGCAGAAGCTCAGGCAGCTGCAGAGGACTGAGGCCCTCCAGAGGACAGGAAGGGTACTGCAGGACGGAGAAGCTGAGCTGGATCAGGTCAAACTTCATGATGATCAGCTTCAAATTAGGAACTTATCTGATCACAGAGCTTAAACTAATATTTGTTCACTAAGTTTGAATCATTTACTGTGAGGAAAACTAGTATCTGAACACCCTTTTATTTTGGACAGGTTTGAAACTGTCCTAGTAGGTGCATCTTCACTGATAGTAATTAAAAAAAAAAGATCCAGAAATGACTATACATGATCACTGTTTATTTGTATGATTCAGCTGCAAATGAGTATTTGAACATCTGTCTATCCGCTAGATTCTGCCCCTCAAATACCTGTTAGTCTGCCTTCAAAATGTCCTCCTCCACTTCATTTATTATCCTAACTTACACTGCAAAAAACCATCTAGAAATAAGTGAATATGTCTTAAATTAAGTGTATTTACCTTTAATCTGAGCAGGTAAATACGATGATTTGCCAATGAAATTAGTATCTTTACTCTTAAAATAAGATAATTAGATAATATGAACTTGAAATAAGACAATGCAATTATTTTTTCTTATTTTAAATGTAAATTGTTTTGTTCCATTGGCAATGTTTCTAACTTTCATCCTAAATTAGGGAAAAAAGGCACTTATTTTAGAAAAAAAATACGTAGATTTCATTTTTTGCAGTGTAGGTGCACCTGTTTGAGGTCGTTAGCAGCATAAAGACACCTGTCCACCCCATACAATCAGTGAGAATCTAACTACTAACATGGCCAAGACCAAAGAGCTGTCAAAAGACACTAGAGGCTGGAAAGGGCTCCGGGGAAATCGCCAAACAGCTTGGTGAAAAAATAGAAATAGAAAAATGAAGAAGCTAAACTTGACTGTCAGTCTACCTCGGACTGGAGCTCCATGCAAGATCTCACCTGGTGGCGTCTCAGTGATCCTAAGAAAGGTGAGAAATCAGCCCCTACTACACGGGAGGAGCTGGGACCACCGTTTCCATGGTTACTGTTGGTAATACACTAAAACCTCATGATTTGAAATAATGCACATCACAGAAGATCCCCCTGCTTAAATCAGCACATGTCTGAGTCCATCTTCAGTTTGCCGACGACCGTTTGGAGGCTTCAGAAGAGTCATGGGAGAAAGTCATGTGGTCAGATGAGACCAAAATAGAACTTTATGTTCCTAATTCAACTAACCGTCTTTGAAGGAAGAAGAATGATGAGTCCCATCCCAGGAGAGGATGAAAGGAGCCATGTATTGCCAGATTTTGAGGAACAACCTCTTTCCCTCAGTCAGAGAATCGAAGATGGGTGGAGGCTGGGTCCAACATGACCCGAAGCTCACAGCCAGGATAACCAAGGAGCGGCTCTGGAAGAAGCATATTAAGGTTCTGGAGTGGTCGAGCCAGTCTCCCCAGTCTCTAAACCCAATAGAGAATCTATGGATGGAGCTCAAACTCTGTTTATCAGCGAAAGCCCTGAAACCTGCCTGATCTGGAGAAGATCTGTGTGGAGGAATGGGCCAAAATCCCTCCTGCTGTGTATGCCAACCTGGTGAAAAACTACAGGAAACGTTTGACCTCTGGAATTGCAAACAAAGGCTACTGGACCAAATATTAACTCTGATTTTCTCAGGTGTTCAAATACTTATTTGCAGCTTTATCATTCAAAGGAATAGTTAAAAAATAATATATTATGATTTTTGGATATTTTTTTTTTTAGATTAGGTCTCTCACAGTAGGCATGCACCTACGATGACAAGTGTCAGAACTTGCATAATAGCAGGATGTTCAAATACTTATTTTCCTCACTGTTTGTCTGGGTTTAATGGTAATGGAAATATAAAGTTTACAAAAAACTCAGTTTTTATAATCTGTAGCCGATGGTGTGATTGATCAGCCAACTAGAAACAGAATCAATCAGCTGATTCCCCAGTTTGCTGTTTGAGATGATGCTGATTCTCTCCTCAGAGCTCCAGGTGCTCCCAGCAAAGCCGAGGCGCGGTGCTGCAGCTGGAGGAGCTGGTGGAGGCGCTGCAGGACCGCAGGAGGAGAGCCGACCAGGCCTTCAGGCTGCAGCTGCAGCAGGCGGAGGCGTCTCTGAGGAGGAAGGAAGAGTCCAACAGAACCAGCTCAGGAACGAGGCCCAAGTCTCCCAGTCAGGTCTGACATCAGAACATCTCCGCTGTTTGGTTTTCATGGTTATAAACTGGAGAACTGGTGGAGTTCTGTTCAGAGTTCCTGTTTAAACCAGAAAAACATAGAAAAGCAGAAACGTTCAGAAATGAGGAGTTTGATTTCTGTCTTTGTTTGATCTGATCTTTGGCCGAACATCCAGATTATAATCTGCCTGAATAAAAACTAGAATAATAATAGTAATAATAAACTGACTAACATCAGCTGCTCTCTGCACAACAGAACCAGAACCGACTGAAGTCTGGATCCACTTCAGAGCTGCATTCTAGACCCTGGTCAGAACCAGAACCTCTAAACCAGCCAGAGGTCCTTAAAGATCTAAACCCAGAACCTGGATCCAGATTACAAGAACCAGACCCAGATTTGAGTCACTTTCAGTCTAGATTAAATGATGTCAGAGATCTAGAATCTGGACCCGGATCAGCAAAGACCGGCATCCTGCTGCCCAGTTTTAGATCAGGACAGACCACTGGAACCAGTTCAGTGGCTGAACTGGTGACTCAGAGATGGACCCAGTCTATGTCTGGATCAGAGACCAGAACCCTGCAGTCTGAGTCCAGCACAGCTGAAAACACAGACCTGCAAACTGGATCCGGTTCAGACCGGAAGACACCAGACAGAAAATACAGACCAGAACCCAGAACTGGACCAAGATCTGGATCAGAGATAAACCAGAACCAACAGCTAGTGGAGAACAGGGACCCAGCGTTAGGTTCCCTTCTGAAAACCCAACCCAGATTCCAGGATCTGAACGCATCTGGATCTGATGTAAACCCAGGATCTGGATCAGGTGGAACCAACCAAACCAGATTAGAGACTGATGAGAAATCCCAGAGATCTGGACCTGTACAAAAACCAAGACCGGGATCAGAGGAGACCAGAACCTTTCTGTCCGAGTCCAGCTCAGCTGAGAGTAGAGACCTGAAAAGAGGATCCTGGTCAGAACCTGAACCAAAGAACCGACCCAAATCAGAACTTCTAACATCTGGATCCAAAGAGGGAAAAGGTCTCTGGCCTGGATTTGGATCGGGTCAGAATGTGAAACAGCTGCTGGGATCCGGGTCAGAGGAGAACCAGAACAGGCAGCCGGGATCCGGGTCAGAGAAGAACCGGAACCAGCAGCCGGGATCCGGGTCAGAGGAGAACCAGAACAGGCAGCCGGGATCCGGGTCAGAGAAGAACCGGAACCAGCAGCCGGGATCCGGGTCAGAGGAGAACCAGAACCAGCAGCTCGGATCCCGATCAGAGGAGAACCAGAACCGGCAGCCAGGATCCCAATCAGAGGAGAACCGGAACCTAAAGCTGGGCTCTGGGTCAGACTGGATCAGGAACTTGAAGCTCAGGTGTTGTTCAGATATCGTGACTGAAACCAGATCAGAGACGTTAGGGCGACCCAGATCCTCATCAAAGATTAGGTTAGACCTACAGAACCGGCCCAAATCAGATGTTCTGAGATCTGGACCACAGGAGACGGAGAATCTGAGTCGTCGATCTGGACCCGAGAAGACCAGGAAGCAGAACCAGGAATCCACAGCAGTGCAGCCCACAGAACCTCTGTTTGGTTTGGGTTCAGTTGAGCTTCAAAGATGTGGTTCTGATCCAGACCTCAGATCTAAATTAGAGGAGAACCAGGAGTCAGGATCCAGATCAGAGGTGGGTTCGCGGTTCACGTCGGTCTGTCAGAACTGGTTCAGTTTGTTTCTCAATAAAATGAAAATGACTCCAGGTTAGATGAGCTGAAGTTCTGCTCCTTCCAGGTCTCTGGGTCTGGGTCCGACCCGCCATCAGAACATCCCCAACTTGATGGATTCACACTGCAAATAAAGGAGCAACAGAACCAGACCCAGATGGAGACCCAGCAGAATCAGGAGGGAGAGAAGTTTAGCAGAGGGAACCAGGAGAGACTGATGAAGGTACCAAGTTCTGAGTCAATCAGAACCTTCTCAGTGGTGCTTCTACTAGAACCGCCTGTTCTTTTCAGACCCTGCAGGACCTGAACTGTGTCTCAGAACTCCTGGACTCCATCACCCAGGTGGATCTGGGTTCAGAGCTGCAGACCTCCAGGCTGCTGGAGCGCTTCAGACAAGCAGAACCACATTTCAGGGTAAGAACTGCTGCTGGACGAGGTTCTGATGGATGTTTGGACCCATGAGACTTTGGCTGCTTTCACACTGACTGTGTGAACAGGCCAAGTTACCCGGGCTTTTTCCAATCTGATCTGGGCCACATTGGTTTGTGATGTTAAATCCGATAGAAGTAGGATCCAGTAGCGGCTGGTGGAGATTTATGGAAGCAAATCGTTACCATATTTTAAATGAAAAAGCATTTTCCAGAAATGCTTTTTCATTTTAAGAATGTGGCTGCATTGTTTGACTCATAAATTAAATTAGTAATCAATCATCCTGTTTGTATTTTCTTCTTTAAGGCTGTACATTTTATGCCATAATCAAAGAGAAAACACAGCAGACATTGCTTTTTCGTTTTCATGGTCTGCCTGCAAAGTACTGTCCACAACTCGAAAACGAAAAAAGCATTCTGAGCGGCGGGCGCCGCAGAATGACGTCAGCAGCTGCTCTTCCTCAGGTCGTTGCTGACCGGGCTACCCATCTTGTTTGGTAGGGGGCGCTGTGCACGTCTGCATTGCATTGCATTGTAAGCGTGCCGGTGAGAAACTCAGGAGCAGTCGGCGTTTTTACAGGTCCATTAGAAGCAGGCACCTGCTCTAAAGCAGCAGCGGCCTCCCTCAGTAGCGCTGCCACTGTTTTGGTCATTGTGGTCGGTCAGGTTGTCCCGATTTTTGTTTTTGTTTTTTAAGCATATGCACTGATCGATGGCACTTTTTTAAAATTTCGTTGTTCTTGTGACAATGTCAATAAAGATAAATTGCAAATTGCAATTGATAGTCAGACCCGGCAATTCAACCAGTTTCCTGCCGGCACGCTTACAATGTAATGCAATGGCGACGTGCACAGCTCCCCCTACCGAACAAGATGGGTAGCCCAGTCAGCAAGTACCTGAGGAAGAGCGGCTGCTGACGTCACTCTGCTGCGCCTGCCGCTCAGAATACTTTTTCATTTTCCAGTTGTGGACAGTACTTTGCAGGCAGACCATGAAAACGAAAAATCAATGTCTGCTGTGTTTTCTCTTTGATTACGGCATAAAATGAGCAGCCTTAAAGAAGAAAATACAAACAGGATGATTGATCACTAATTTAATTTATGAGTCAAACAATGCAGCCACATTCTTAAAATGAAAAAGCATTTCTGGAAATAATTTTTCATTTGAAATATGGTAACGATCTGCTTCCATAGAGTTTTCTCCAGGGGGGGCTATAAATTCAAAATAGACGTTTCCCAAAAACCAATCAAACGGCAGTATGTTTATATGAACGGCAACAACAAAAAACACAAATAAAAACACTCAATAAAAACAAAACATAATTTTATTAGCAGGTTTTGCATGGTCCGATATTGAGTCACAGACCTAAAAAAATTATGTATCAGTTTAATAATTAAGAAACTGTTCGTCAGCTTAATATTTCTTTAATATACATAAAAACTATTTATTTTCTGAAAATGTTTTGTGGCATTTGGAAGCTGAGGCAATTTTGCAAAAACACCTGGAGGTAGATGGACCTATAGGTCTTCAGGGACAAATAAAAGTCTCTGGTTTGGGGTCGGAAAATTTAGTTTCTCTTATTTTAGATATTAATTTATGCTATTTACTCACTATAATAGTTTTCATTTAGCCTGTGATATTTTCATTCTGACAATTTCCATTATTGTTGGTCTGAACAATCGCTGCTCAGGCAGAACAGGGCTGATAACCGTGCAATAAGGGCAATATGATGAACTTTTCTCTCTTGCAAAGATAAAAAATAAAGCACTGAGTGAAATCCATCGATCTCCATTTATTTAAGTGGAGGAAATAGTTGAATACTTTTTTTTCCCACTAAAGGGATAAACTGACTGAATCTTTGAGGTGTTTTCTTATAGCTGCTGTTGCTCTTCTTCCACAGCAGCTGGATGCTGATGTGGAGGTCACAGTGAGGAGCTGGGAGAGCCTGAGAGGGGTCCGGCCCCCCATGGAGGAGCTGAGGGGAGGAGCAGTGAGGGAGGAGGACTTATCAGAGCTGCTGAGGATCCAGCAAACGGTGAAAGAAAAGATCAAGCAGAGCGAGTTGATCCTGAACCTGAGCAGCAGCTTCCATCTGACAACTAAACAGGTGAGAGTAGAAGGAGGGGGAGATGATCTGGATTCCTGCAAGATCCTAAAATCTAATCTAAATCTAATCTGGTTTGGTGATTTTATTAAAAATACTGCAAGCAAAGATTGGAAAATTAATAACATGAAAAATGGTTGTTATAATTCAGCGTCTTAGTTAATGAAACATACGAAATGAAAGTGGGCGGAGCTTCCAGCCTTGGAGTACTCTGCTCTGTGGGGATCAGTTTTAATGTTAGATCTCTGTGTCCAGCTGGAGCTGCTCCTCCAGTCAGAACCATCCACTGGTTCCACTGGTTTACATGAACCCAGACGGGCAGAGCAGGGTCGGCTCCAAGAGGCCCAGCAGCAGATCCAGAACCTCTGTGAAACCATGGCGACCGTGAAGACGGACATCTGTGCTGCGGTTTCTCACAGTGTATGAATGAACCAGCATACAGTTTGGTTTCTGTTTGTAAACTCCTGCCTCACTGATGGGTTCTGTGGTTTCAGCACTGGGCAGGTTTCCAGGTGGAGGAACTGGGGAACCGTCTGAGGTCTCTGGAGTCTGACTGTGAGTCTTGGCTGAATGAAGCAGCTCGATGTGAGGAGGAGGTCCGCAGGGAGCAGCTGACTCACCTCCTGCTAGACGACATCAGCCAGGTAAGACTGCAGCCCAGAGCGGGTCAGAAGCCACCCCCATCCAGAGCTGAGCGTCAGAGTACCCTGGTTGAAGGAGAAGTCCGCTCATATTCAGAATTTAAACTTCTGAAAGTTCTTTAAATCTGAAATGATTCCATCCTGTTCAATAAATGATCAGTGTTTTTAATTAACAGCAATTTTCATGTGAATGTGCTTTACTGGAGGCATCCATGTTTGTCAAAGAACACTACTGCCACCTACTGGTTAGTGACGTCACGGTGCGGTATCGGCTGTTGATCAAGTCCCAGTGCTGTATCTGGTGTTTGTCACAATTCTGGTGAATTTCAATGGTGAAGTCCTCTGGAAATCTTCAATAATTGTTGTTGATTGCAGATGTGTCTAGTAGTTCCCATTGATTTAGCTTGTAAAGCGGGGAGAATGGCGCTAGGCTTACCGCACCGTGACGTCACTGCTGGAAGATGGCAGGAGGGAGGGGCTACTGTATGTGGGCAAAAATGGCCGCTCCCAGACTCTGTGATCATGATGAAAATTATTATTTCCGTTTTTTTTACTGATTAAAGCTAAATTGTTTAAATCATGGGGAACATATTAGTTTTAGGTATAGATGATGATCCATTATTACTCCTTGCTAACCAGACTTTTCCTTTAAAAACAGAATCATGAAGCAGAAATTAGCCTGGTGAGACCATCCTGATCTCGCGAGCTTTCAAGGTTTCACTCGCTAATCAGTCTGGAGACTCTCCGTTAAAGAAAATTTGGAGCCGTTCACCAAACGAACGTCCAATCAGCGTTGGCTTTGAGGCGGGTTGAGGTGTGACGCAACGAGAAGCGCAACAGTTCAGTCTAAAGAACATGGCGGCTTCAGCCGATGAAACTAGCGTTAGCGTGGCTATCGAGCAAGTTTTATCGGAATTACAGAGTATTTCTTCACTGAAAGAAGAGCAAAACACTGCTCTGGAGGCTTTTCTCAGAGGAAAAGATGTTTTTGCTCTTCTCCCGACTGGTTTCAGCAAGAGTTTGATCTATCAATTGGCTCCTCTTCGTCGTCGCTCTGTTAGTACGTCATATGCTTCGTTGATCTGATTGGTTTATTTGGCCCGTCTATCACCAACATAGGCCAATCAGCTAATCAGTATTTTCGCCCCTTCCCAAAATTACTTCAACGGAAGGTTTCCAGATGGATATGTGGAGCAAATCCATCTGGCGGAGTCAGGTTAGAAATCAGATACTTTGCTCTGAATTCACACTGAGAGGTTAAATGATCCATTTTCTATTCCTGCTGTTGATTCCAGGCCTGTAGAGATCCTGCTGCCTTTCTACAGAAAAACACTTTAAACCTTTCAGACTTTATAATAATTTATCTAAAATGTTATTTTATTTCTATTTAAAATAAAGTCATTCTTAGGTTACTTTATAATCTTCAATTCCTTAGATGTACATGTTTGGATCTAAGGATGGACGATGGGATGGACTCCATCACTGGTTTCTTTTTAATAAAGTTGTCGTTGAGCAAAGAGACCAGCAGAGGGCGCTGCTGTCAGCCTCCATAATCTGACTTCTCTTGGGTTAATATTTAAAATGATTTGAAATACTGTTTTGTTTTTTACTTACTTCTATACCCATCAATGAAAACTTTAGTCTGAAAGTGTAAAAATTTTTTTTTTCTACCTCAGTTTTCAATTTTAAATATTTTGGGTCAGTTTTTTGTTTTCTCTGTGTTTCCATCGACAGGTGAGATGCTAAGCTTTAAGATTTAGTTTTTATTATTGTTGATCGTTTAGGTGCTTCAGGTTGACGTAAATAAAAGGGATGAATTTCAGCTTCATGTCTGAAATGGTTGAAGTTCGGCCTCTGGGTTTTATTTATTTTATCCACAGCGTAAAAGTTAACTCGAAGGTTGGAGTGAGTGAGATTATTCCACTGCACTGAAGGATGTATCTATCTTAAGGTTTTTATACGTTCACCAGTCACGGCAGTAAATGGATCAGCCAGACTGGACCCTCAGTCTACTGGTCTTACTGGGTCTGTTCAGTAACAGGAGAGACAGAAAGAGGCTCCCAGAATACAGACGGTGTCAGCTGATAGGCATTTCCCATCATGCAACTGGTGCAACATGTTGGTTATCACACAGACACGTGTTCATGTGTGTTTGGTTGACTAACTGGTCTGTGATCCTGACCAGTATAAACATTTCCTCATGAGTCTATAATGAGAGTTTAGAAAAGTTCAGTGGTTTGTTCTGATTGGTTAAAAGTGTTTCTGTTCTTTTTGAACCGTTAAACATTTTATAGTTTGGATTTTAAGAAGTCTGTCAAAACAGTTTAGAATAATCAGTAAATGATCCAAGTGACGTTATTTGATAAATAAAAAAGAGCTTTATTCCCCTTTTTCTCTCTGTTACCCATTAATAACTTCTTAGATAGTAAACTTTGTTTTCTTGTCCAACTTAATTTGGACATTTTCATTTCAATACTCTGGAAACACATTTTGTTTTGTGAAAAGTAAAACCAAAAACCTGTTCTGGTTCTGTAGAAATGTCTCAGCAGTACTTATAAAAAACACTGTCTGTAATTGTTTGAAAAGGTTTGAAAAGAACTCCTGGAGAACAAACCATATTCATGTGTCAGAACGGCCTAGTCAAAGTACGGCCTTATAATGGGCTCAGAAGTCGATGTTCACAGACGCTTTGATGATACAGTTTAGTGTATCTTAAAGGCTGCTCAGTGCAACAGTGGGTGGCACTGCTGCCCTGCAGCAAGAAGGTTCTGGGTTCGATTCCCGGCCCTCTGCATGGAGTTTGCATGTTCTCCCTGAGCATGCGTGGGTTCTCTCTGGGTACTCCTGCTTCCTCCCATAGTCCTAAAACATGACTGTTAGGTTAATCGGCTTCTCTAGATTCTCCTTAGGTGTGTGTAAGAATGATTTTTTGTCTCTGTGTTGCCCTGCGATGGACTGGCGACCTGTCCAGGGTGAATCTCGCCTCTCACCCATAGACAGCTGGAGATAGACACCAGCACCTCTTGCGACCCCAGCAGGGATAAAGCATGACAGAAAATGGATGGATGTGTCTTAAAAAGGGTTTTGAGGCAAATATCTCACAATCTAGATCAAAAGCTGACATTATTTAGGCTGGATGTGCAGCAGTAAATGCACCCAGAGGTCTTTTCTTTTTCTTCTATTGTCTTTATGAACTTATAAAATATCTGAATGGAATAAACTGAATTATTTGGTGTTAAAGTGACAACATGTTCAAATGTAAAGGCATCCAATCATCATGGGGTTTTTTTGTGTTTCAGTTTTCATCATTTCCCTTTAGTTTCTGTTCTCTAGGTATTTATGGTTTCAGTTCATTCCTTTGTGTTTCATCTGTTGGACTTTCTCCTCTCTTTGTCTCTTCAGCTCAGTGTAGGTTAATAAGCCTCCTTCCCTCAGTCTTCCTGCAGACATTCTGCCTATCTGGCGCTTTATGTCCTCTCCCGATTAGCCAACATGCAAAGTCATTCTTCCCTCAGTATGGACTGTATTTTTTTCATTCCTGCTGCCGTCTCCTCCCTATATATGTAATCATATCCACACTTCTTTGATCCTTCTTTGAAGCATCAAATATTAGTTGTTTTGCTCTCAGGTGAAGTGAGTTCTTGCTAAATTGTCCTGGTTCTTCTCCATGCAACCTTTGAACCAACTGAGCTCCTTCCTCTGGGGTTCCCCCAGCCTAACACCACCCCCCACCCCCCTGGGTCTCTGGTTTTAATCTGTTCAGCTGACGGCCGTCTCCGTCTCTCTCAGCTGTCTCCAACTGACAGATCAGACATCGGACTCCGCTGCTCCTCCCAGCTGAGACAGAAATGTTCCTCCGCTCCAAAAATAATCCCATCAAACATCACAGAGGAGCAGAAATGAACCAGAGTCGTCCTGATTCTCCTAAACCATGAAAATGAAACGTGACTCACCTGAAAAAAATGGATCAGAAGCAAGTTTGTCTGATTCTGTTCTCCATGAAGACGATGGCATCTCATCAATAACTCTGCAGCTGAACTACTGCTGCTTCCTGGTGTTTGGTTTAAATAATCTTGGACTAAACTACCAGACCCAGAATCATTGATTCATATTTGATATTAATGTGTTCATAAATGCAGATTCTTTCTATCTGCTGTCAGCTGCTTCAGACGTTCAGAGCTCTGAGTTATTTACAGAATGATATCCGTGACTGAACTGGTTTCTATGGACAGGATCTAAAGATGTCGTCATGGTGGGGGGGACGGTTTGGTAACATCAGGATTTGGGCACAGTAATGGCAGCGTGCTGTAACTCACTCTTCTGTAACAGCTTCACATACAGTTTCCTTCCATCCATCTTCTCCCTCTGAATCCATCAGAGTCACAGTGGGTCTCCAGACGTCTGCGGGTGTTAAACTAAAGCTCTGTGACCTTAAAGCTTTCTCTCTCCGGTTCATTTTCCTGAAAAGAGAAAACTCTGGACAAACTCTTTAAATAACACTTCACAATGTACATGGATTAAATAACCAGGAGACAACAGATTTTGATAGAACTCGTAATCTTACTCGGATCAGAGAAGTTGCTTAGATTTACAGAAGGCAGCTGGTTACCAATCATCACTTCTTGGGAAGTGACCCTGATTAACAGTTAAAGAGGCATTTTACACAAATCCAGTCTGCAACATCATCACATCAAACATGTTAGGAGATGAGGAGCCATAAATGCCTCCAGCCTTATCAAAATATTACACTTGTTCTTAGCTGAAGGACGCCTCTCTCATTCCGATCCCAAATCTCTGCCACGTGCAGAATGAACATTATGCCTGTATATAGCCAGACTGAGGAACTGGCCTAATTAGATAAACTACTGGCGAAAACATCCGCTCTGACATGAAACAGGCCGCTAATATTAAGGTGTAATAAACTCACACCTCATCAATAATAATTATCCTAACAGGTGGAAGGTGGGGTGCACCGTGAGGCAGCAGCCGTTTTCAATGTTTGCACCGACTGATGCTCTAAGGCCATTATGTGGATCAATATGAGAGCGAGTGCTGCTAAATATCATTTACTTGTTAGCATTTAGGAGCAGCTTCAGCTGAAGAAGTGAGAAATGCAGTCAGTGCTTGGCTGAATAATATTTATCAGATAACTAAAGACGTTATTTATCAAAAGTTTGAAGAGGACAAAGGGGAAGGATACATCCTTGCGGGACTCCTTTGCTGATGTTTAGAAAGTAGACTTCACTCCCTGAGTTCTGTCTGAGTGTCTCTGAATCCCCCACACCCAAGCGCCTCAGTTTGTTTAGCATAGCTGATGGTCGACAGAATCAAATGCTTTAGAGAGATTCACAAACAGGGGGGGGGGTGCACCATGCAGTTTGCTATCCAGGGTGTTAATTACATAATTAGTTAACGACAGCACAGCTTTACTGTGACCTGCTCTGAAACCGGACTGGGTTTCATATGGAAGGCAATCCTTTGGTGTCTCTGTGTTGCCCTGCGATAGACTGGCAACCTGCCATATTGATCTGCATAATGGTCTTCAAACATTAGTCAGTGCAAACGCTGGAAAAGGCTGCTGCCTCTGAATCTCTGAGAGGATTGATGATTAACTGTCCTTCTCAACTATTATAGAACATCTCCAATAGAAGCTGAAGCTTTGATCAGCTTTTACTGCAGAAATAAATCAAGCTTGATCCCAGATATGAGGAGAAGACGTGTGCAGTCCACCTTCCTCCTGATCCTGGACTATGGAGACATTCTATACTTGAACAAAGCCTCTTTTGCCCTTTACTGCTTGGACACGCTTGATCCGCGTTATCACAGAGCAGTACGATTCATCACTCAACATCTAGAGCTCATCACTGCTAGCTGATCTTCCTGCTCTCAGGGTCTTTGCTCCTCCTAAAGAGACAGAAGAACTGGCTAATATACATTTATATGGCTGATTTGGTCAAATAGTCTTTCTGCCTAAGTCCTGCTAAAAAAAAGGAGAAATCTAAGCTGGAGTGGATATGATGTATGGCGATGGCAGAATGATGCTGTGGGGGGAGTCTTCCAGTGGTACAGGAACATTGGTTAAAGTGGATTTAGACTGAGGGCTTCAGCTTCACTTCATATCTAAAGTTAAAGGACTAAACCTGAGAACTGACCCCAAACCTGGAATAAAACTAAAGGGTCATTTTATGGCCTCAACAGTAACCCTGTTAGAAAACGCTGCAGGACCAACAACAGTGTTTATCATCTATTTATAGAGCAGGAGGTCCTTTGGTCAAACTGTTGTTTGCTGTAACTTTACTCCTCTGTGCTCAGAGCAGCTGCTGCCTTCCTGCTCAGATTGTTCCCGTCACTGAAACCTTGACTTCAGGCAGATCAGGATGGATTTAGGCTGCAAATGAAAAAGCTCTTCTGCTTTTCAACTCCTTAACCCCGTTCCTCCATATTTAATACAGTTTCACTACAGGTTCAACAAATAATAGTCCAATAGAAATATGTCACATTGCAGCTCAGCGTTTCTGCTCGTTCTACCAAACTTTGCACGTCCTCTCTAAGTTGGTTCTGTGAAGATCAAACCTTGCAACATTCTCCTGTTTCCAAGTTGACTTAAATGTCACGTCCCTGTTTATCCCAAAGCAAAGGTACTCCATTCTTTGAAAATCATATTCCATTTATTTCATGTATATGGGCTAAATTTAACCTTAAAAATTAACTAGTTAGATGTAAATGAAAGTTGATTTGGCCTTTAGATAAGGCACTGTTCAAAAGGATTTCAATAATATTTTTTTCCACCTTCTTACATTTGAGAAAAATAAATACAGACTTCTCAAATAAAAAAACAAAAAACAAAATGTGGCTCTGGGCATTGTGCTTCCGGAATGTAACGATTTGTTTGTGGAAGATTGACCCAAAGCAGAGGCAGGAAGGCAGAGGTGAATTGTAAGTTGATTTAATGATGAATAACTGAAAAAACAAAGTCCAAACTAACAGGCAACCAAGAACCAAAAAAAACAAGAAGTCAAAAAAAATCCAAAGATCTAAAAAAAAAGAAAGCAATAAATCAAGTCAAACGTTACCCCAAAAAAAACATGGAGTCATCAGGGGAATTACTTTAACCAGGAAGACTTAGAGAGACGAGTTGGAGGAAGACAGATGAGGACCCAGCAAAGAGGAACTGAAGAGAGAGGGCTTTTAAAGGAGACTGAGACATAGAGATGCCTAATGAGAAGATTGGGAACAGGTGAGAACAGAGCAGAAACAAAAACAGGAGCTAGGGAGAAAGGAGAACACAAGAGGGCAGCAGAGGGCAACAAATGAAAAAACATGGATGACTGAAAAAAACTAGAAAACACAACAAAATAATAATAAAACCACTAAGACTCTAAAACAAGGAGAAAAGTAAAACTAAACACTGAAAAGAAAACATATCAGAACCGAGACTGAAACAGTAACTAAGAATTAACCAGAGAAAACAGCAAAAATAAAAATAAAACTACTAACACTATAAAACAAGGAGCAAAAACCCAAAGAACACAATAAACTAAGAATTAAACCATAAAAACTAGGAAACAAGGAGAAAAGCAAAACTGGATACTCAAAAGAAAAACATGACAGAAAACAGAAACCTAACACAGAGGTTCTGAGTTAAAGTCCCACTGCCACAGACTGCCACTCCGGGTCCCTGAGCAAAGACCCTTAACCCCACAATGCTCCCCGGGCTCCGCACAATGGCAGCCCACTGCTCCTCAAGGGGAGGGGTTAAATGCAGAGAGTTCATTTCATTGCTCTACACTTGTGACAGTGGAATGACACTGAAAAAAAAAAATATATAAAATTCGATAGAAAATTATTTAGGTATACACTTCATGTTCTAGACAAAGGCGATAATGGTTGAAATCATAACTTAATAGATAAAATAAATTGTCCACAGCATAGAAGATAACCTTTGTCTTTCTCAGATCTCTATTTAAAAAACGTGCAAACACAAACATGAAGGCTGGACTCCATTACCATGAGACTAAACATTTTCTGGGTTCAAATTGAAAAAAAAACTAAATAAGAAGAGAAACTCCAGTTTAAATTAGGTTGGACTTTTCACTTGAAGAGTCTCATCAGCAGCTGGAAACATTAAACATGGCCGTCTGTATAATAATCTGTTCTTTGAACTTTCAGCTGCGTGAATCTTTTAAGGAGCTGAAGAAACGTTTCAGCAACACTAAGTTCAACTACCTGAAGAGGAACGACAGAACCAGGAACCTGAAGGCCGTGTGCAACCAGCTGCAGCAGATGGGGGCGTACCAGGAGAAGCTGCAGGTACGTCAGAGCAGAACAACCAATCCTGAGTCCAAAACCAGGACTTTCGCTTGATAATTACCCCTGAATGAATTAACCTCCCAGACCTGGCTGGTCCCATGAGAGCCTCAGTGGAAAAGAGTGAACATTCAGAACTCAGCGATTGTTTAACATGAATGTTTTCCAGTTTTTATGACTAAAGGAACCACATTTTTCTTCTTCCCTGCTCTGAAAATTTGCAACGGTGGTAGAAAATTGCTGATGTTTGTGCAAGGGCTGTGCAGAGGAAGTCAGTCAGAGAGTAGATGTAGCTGAATGTAGCTCTCTCCTTCTGCAGAAGCAGTTAAAAAATCCCACTTCTGTGTGAACTCAGTTTCTCTTTTATGAACCTACATTTTTGAACCTAACATCTGCATCATCTAAAAAGCATAAAACTCTTTTGAAACCTTTTTATAGTTATGGTTTGGACCTAAAGGTCAAACATAGCCTGAACAGTTTTGATTTGAGGCTTGGATTTAATATAGAATCTCTTTGTGTTCCGACTTAATTCATTTAGTGTTTTCTATTTGGGTTCTGGTGTTTGTTGGGTTTAAGTGGTGCATTGTTGTGGTTACATGTTGTCCGTCTGACCCTACAGAGCCTTAGCAAGCGGATTCAGGGTGTGACGGCCCGGCTGGGTTCTGAGGCTAAGAACACCAGCGCGGCCCGGCAGGTGGAGGACGCAGTCAACGAGCTACAGAGACAGACGGGACAGCTGGAGAGAAACATCTGTGAACACCAGAAGACTCTGGACATGACGTTCAGACTGCAGCAGGCGATGGAGGAGGTACCACTGCTGAAAATCAGCCAGGATCATTGATGATCGGTTGGTCTACTTCAGCTTGTTGCTCTGTGTCCACAGTACCAGTTCTGGTGTGAGGAGGCCAGCGCCACCATTACTCGGGTGGGGAAGTTTTCTTTGGAGTGTCGAAGCACAGAAGCCGTTTCTGTTCTCTATCGGCAGTTTGAGAAGTTTGTTTGGCCGACGGTTCCTCAGCAGGAGGAAAGGATCAGTCAGATTACAGAGCTGGCTGTTAGGCTACATGGTGGGTGGAAATAAAACTCGGTCAGGGGCTTTTATTCTGAAAAACACAACACACCATTCATGAATTCAGTCCGGAAAGAAAGCTGTTCATGTTTTAATTTGAGATTTTATTTTTTTTAAAATAACACCTGTCCTTTAATTATTGCAATATTACTTATTCTAAAAGGATACATATCTGATCATTAACTACTACAAATTTTTATTCTGAAAGGAAAGATTATTATACCTCTAAAGCTTTTATGATGAAAGGAATTCATTTAAACATCAGCTTACCATAATTGTTTGCCATTAAAAACAAAGCCTTTATTCAAACAAAAGAGCAAACATGAGTTAACTGGAGCTTTTATTGTGAAAGGACAGGGATCTGCTCATTAGCTGAATATGTATTATAAAAGGCAATAATTTATTCTGAAAGGTTACCTGAGCTTTCCTGATCATCTAACAGGAAATTCAATTGCCACATATCACAAGCCTTTATTCTGAAAAAAGAGTCCCATGATCAATAGCAAGTGAAATGCATAAACACCCGCATTCTAACAATCAGATAGCGAGAGCCTTTATTTTGAAAAATATCTGATAAATTCTGAAAGACAGCTGTTTTATTATCATCTTATCGGAGCTTTTAAAGTATCAGTTATCTAAATATATGTATCATGAGCTTTTATCTTGAAATTAAAAATTTCCTAGAATTTGGTTTATAGTTAAAGGAGAAGAACAGCCTGTTTGATCAGTTGAGGCGTTGAAACCAGACCAATCAGATTACCGCACATTTCTACTTATGTATTAGAAAATGTTTATTGAAGCAATGTAAAATGTTATGAATGAAATATTTTGGTGTTTCAGGGGTGGAGGAGGGGCAGCGTTACATCGAGAAGACAGTCAGTAAACACTCAGAGATGGTGGAGTCCATCAGAGAGCTGAGTGATGGGCTGATGGAGCTGGAAGCCAAGCTGAAGGTGAACAAACTCTTTTTGAAGGCAGAGATCCAGATACATGCACAGGAGACATGGCAGTGTGGAAGACAATTAATAGAGTTTCATTTTGCTTTCTCTCTCATGATGGATTAATTCGTCTGAGCATATCTGGTCAGAGTCCAGGCTGAACATGTGGCTGTTCTTCTGATGTTTTCAGGTGGAGAGTCTTAAACAGCAGCCGGATGAAGAAAAGGAGGTAAAGGAGAAAGCAGAGAGGAGACAGACGGAAGAGGAGCTGGGAGAAGAAAGGAAGATGAAACAGAAGGATAACCGCAGCGTGCAGGAGGCAGCTGACATGGTAGAGATGAGTAAGTTAAATATAAGGTGAAATATATGTGATGTTATTGACAGAAAGTTTTTTTTTCCCCAGTGTGAACTTAAAGAAACGGGCCACACCCCCGAACTAATCACAAAAAACGATAGAAACGAAGCTGCTTCGGCCAATGAGAATCCTCCATTACAGAAGAGTCAAGGTCAGGAGGTAAACGGGCCCACAGCGAGCAGGTTAGTGGGAACTCATGAAAAATAAATATTTCTCTGCCTCAGTGTTGTTCTTTTTTCAGCAATAACATTAACTCAGCTGAATTGGATTGTTTGTATTAAAATAACTAGTCTATAGACAAAAATGGGAGGATGTAAGGAAATTGTGGAAGCATTTTGTTTAAAAACTCAAAATAAAAAAAGATCCAGTGTGGTTATCTACAATAGTAATAAACTGTGGTTTTACATTATTGTCTTCAACTACAGAGGGAAATTAACCGCCTCCCACACCCTCACCATCTGCTCACCTGTGGATGACAAACAACAGATCCAAGCCACCCAGAACCAGTCCCAGAGCGCCGCTACCGTGCCTAAAGCTAGGCCTTCTCAGTCTTTTCTTAGTCCACCATTCTCTGATAATCAGGAAGATTTTCAGCAGGAGCCGGAAGGAACAGAACAGCAGATAGATTCTAGTTTCTGTGGATCCAAAACATTTTCCCTACAGGTCAGATTCAGCAGTTATATCACACTCTACGCTGATGATTCTCTGCTATATATCACAAAAAACCCGTTCTCCCTGGTAAACTCGAAAAATCTAATAGGAAAAATTACAAACTGATATTCTGTTCAGTTAGAAGGTGAGTCATGGGCTTAAAGGTTGAACCCCATGACAATTAATGATGTTCTCTCTAAACGAGAACCACTCTACTGAGATCTCAGAACTTCTTAAGAGGGACATTTTTCTAAGCAGCCTGAAATTTGGGAAAATGTTATTTTCATTTTAAATATTAATAAAACCATCAGCTAAATGTTTTCTTCCTTTCACAGGACGAATCATTGAATGTGGAGCTTCATCAGCCTGAGGATTGCTTTTCCAACGATGAATATGACTGTGCTTCCCCTGACGACATCTCCCTGCCTCCACTGGCAGAGACCCCAGAGTCCAACATGTTCCAGTCAGACGTGGAGGAGGGATTCTGCTTTAGTTCACACAGTGTCCACGTCAGTCAGGTCAGCCACCAGTGCCAGGCCCAGTCAGAGCCAACAGGAACTGGTTCTGTCCCTCAGCAGACGGAAAGCTGTCCCGCTCCTTCAGTCAGTCGGCAAAGCAGCAGCAGGTTTGTTTGAGCCGCACTCCGTCTACTCTTTGGCGTTTACCCTTACAATGCTTTCAGAGGACAGAGTTTGATTCTGTTGTCCCACAGGTTCAGATCAGAGTCCAGATCCTTCATCCCAAGTCCATCAACAGTTCCTGCTGCAACGCTCTTTACCAGCAGTTTGTGCACCGTCCTGAAATCCAAGGAGTCCAGCACTGTCCAACTGGACGGCCCCGTCCATGGAAACAACAGCGTATACGGCTCTAAAGATAGAAATGCTCCAAAGATGAGGAGTTCATCCACAACCCCTAAACAGGGTCTGAGTCAGACCCTTCATCCACAGTCCTCTAGTGGTTCTGATGTTGGGCTCCACAGTAACAGCATTCCTAAAAGAGACACTGGGGATCAAGAATTCAGCTCTAGTTACACTAAAACCAACTGCGTCCTTCCTGAAACCAGGAATTTTCCAGAATGCCATCATGACTCGACAAGTCAGATCCTTCAGGATGTGAAGTCAAGCAAAAATCCGAGAGAAAACACGCCTCCAGGAGACAATCTTACTAAGACCAGAACCAGTTTAGTTTTCCAGCAGAAAGTTTCCATCAAATCCTCTTTTTCAGACAGTCGTTGCACCATCACCTCTCTCTGTAATCCATTCCCGAAGGCGTCCTCTCAGACGTCCAGCATTACAGACCCGGTCTTCCACAAACATACGGCTCAGCCAAAGAACAGTGACTTTATAAAACCCCCAACAATCCCCCAGAGTTCAACAATTCCCCAGAGTTCAACAATCCCTCAGAGTTCAACAATGCCCCAGAGTTCAACAGTCCCCCAGAGTTCAACAATGCCCCAGAGTTCAACAATGCCCCAGAGTTCAACAATTCCCCAGAGTTCAACAATCCCCCAGAGTTCAACAGTCCCCCAGAGTTCAACAATTCCCCAGAGTTCAACAATTCCCCAGAGTTCAACAATCCCCCAGAGTTCAACAATCCCCCAGAGTTCAACAATCCCCCAGAGTTCAACAATCCCCCAGAGTTCAGCAATCCCCCAGAGTTCAACAGTCCCCCAGAATTCAACAATTCCCCAGAATTCAACAATTCCCCAGAATTCAACAGTCCCCCAGAGTTCAACAGTCCCCCAGAGTTCAACAGTCCCCCAGAGTTCAACAGTCCCCCAGAGTTCAACAATCCCCCAGAGTTCAACAATCCCCCAGAGTTCAACAATTCCCCAGAGTTCAACAATTCCCCAGAGTTCAACAATTCCCCAGAGTTCAACAATTCCCCAGAGTTCAGCAATCCCCCAGAGTTCAACAGTCCCCCAGAATTCAACAATCCCCCAGAGTTCAACAATCCCCCACAGTTCAACAATCCCCCACAGTTCAACAATCCCCCAAGATCCAAACCCTTCGCATCGTTTTATCAGGAATGAAGCAGATCAAAACAAACCTTCAATGCTTAGAGACAGCAGTCTTTGCACAACAACCACGGTCAGTCAGCTCAAACAGTCGCCCCCTTCAGGCAGGCAGCAGAGAGACACAACTAAAAACCAGTACAGCCCTGAGGACCTCATCCAGAGTCCACCTCAGCCTAAATCCCTCCAGAACATCACTACCTGCTCCAGCAAACAGGGTCTCCAGACCGTCGACCCCTTCCAGAAGTCCCTATCCTTCAGCTACACCCAGCATGACGTGCATGCTCACAGCATGAGTCCCAGCTCCGCCCACCAGGCTCCTTCTCACCCAGAGCCTCTGACCCTCGCTTCACCCCATCCAGCTAATCTGCATGATAAATCTCCATATCCTCCACCTCATGAACTAACACCAGCACAAGATCCTGATATCTGTCTGCCCGTGGCCATCCGCGAGGAGATCAGGCTGACCCCCCAGGTCCAGGGGCCTCCTCTTCCTCCCGCTCCTCTTCCTCAGGGAAAAGCCTCTGAACCTGGCCTTCCCTGCTTCACCAGGCCCCGATCTCAAGCCGTGGTCATGGAGGGCTCTCCAGTGACGTTAGAGGTGGAGGTGCTGGGGAACCCAGAGCCCAGGCTCACCCGGTGGGTAGCATACAACCATCTCCATGGTAACGCTCAGAGCTCATCAGATTATTAACAACGGCTTAGAAACAGACAACCATTACATTAGTAGTAACAAAAAGATGGTGGGATGGATGATACCAGACCAATGCTTTAGTCGGTTATAGATCATTATGCTACAGAAGGACTGTTTTCTGTTCTCTGGAGAATCCACCAGATTTATCTAACATGACCTCATGATGCCACACACACCATTACACATCCTTTGCCAAACTTAAAGGTATAGTGGAGGATTTCAGGAAGTTTTTAAAAGACCCGCCCTCTCAACTTTTAAAAAGAAATGCACATGCACAACCCTGTTCCCCCTCAGATAGGGAACGCCCATTAAACACGTGCGAGAGTGTACACAAGCCCATTTCTCTTGTGCACATTCTGTTTAAAAATGTTTGCATCGCTCATACAAGCTAATTTTCCAAAAGAAGATTTGTAATTTTTCCGCAATGTCGGACTCACCAGCGGTATTTGAAAATGAGGACGAGCATGTAGGACGGCCTTACGTAAACACATCAAAAGAATGATTGACAGTTAGGAGGACCACTGATTTAGATTATCCACCCAGAAAAAGAACATCCTCCACTGTACCTTTAACAGTGGATGTTTTTTTTTTGTTTTTTTTTTATTCTTTATTTTGAACATGCAAGAGAAAAACAAGAAAACAATAAAACAATGTTTAAAAACATTGGAGAGAAAAACAACAAACAAGGTACCATTCTTTCCTAAATTAATTAATACCTCTATTACATGTGCGAAAAGGAGTAGGAAGAAGTAAAACTTATGTGCTCCTACCCCTTTAGTTCTTGTATTTCTTTTATTTACAATATTTATAATTATGTTGCTATATATATCCATATAAATACATACCTACCTACACATATATACGTATATACATAAATATGTATACACATATACACGTATAATTAGTCCTTAATTTAATATTAGAACCTGCAGTGTTTGGTTTTTTAGGTTCATTTTAGTCAGAGTAGATCCAGGCTGTCCAGAGACGCTTCCTTCAGGAAGGTTTCCTTGTGTTTTATATGTTTCTCTATTGTTGGCTGATTAACAGACTTTTTCTGGACCCCACTGAACTAAATATGTTTCTCAAAGCAGGGAAGCATCTAAAAGATGCAGTTCGTCAGACATCGAGGTTACTTCCAGTTTAAAGGGAGTGTTTTTCTCTCCTCTGTCACTGCATGCATGCTCATTGTGAGGCTACTGTCTCTAGCTGCTCATCCAGGAGGAGCGAATCCTCTCTCTAATTGAATCAGCAGTAAAGCATTGATTCCCAAAGTCAGGGTCTGATCAGTCAGTTAGAGTCTTATAACTCACTACAGAAAATAAATAAACAATAAATATTTATATTAAGGTGTCCAAAGATATATAAGCATCAGTTAGAAATAGACAAACCCAGCTACCGTTGTTAATAAAGTGTTTGTTAATAGATTCTGTGGAAATGTTTGCATAAAGTAATAGTTTGGGTCAAAAGTCGACTCTGGCAACACATTGTAGGCCAGTTTGGGAACGTCTGCATTAGAGTTGAAGGAAGGGCAGGAAAGACGGGCGTCTGGTTGTCATGACGACCTGCTGACATGTTTTCAGACACATTTGAACCTTATTGGTTGCAGTTCCAGCTGCTCTCACAGCAGATATTTAATGTGACTATGAAAAATAAGAGGACTGATGGATTACTGATAAAACCTCCCAGACTCCCTGCTCAGCTTATAAAAATCACCCAGAAACAATAAAGATACTTTAGTTTCATTTATTTTACAGATTTTTTTGGTTTACTGGGTTGAAAACAAAATAAATCTTACTAAGGATGCAGATATATCAGCATTACTACTAATATCAGCTAATGTTTGTCATTTTTAACATATGAGTCTAATAACTGGAACTGGGCTCATATTAAAACATTTATTTCTATCTACACAGTGTTCTTATTTCATGTGCTTTGGTCATGTGACAGTGATGCATTCAATGGTTAGTTGAAGCAGAGAAGATATAATAGCAGCATTCTGGTTGATCTTTCACAGTATATATTACATATATTATTGGTAATTATTGTCACGTCATGTTTACTTTCAGTGCCTAAACTTTCTTAAATCTATAATGAAGGAGTTTTCTAAGGCATCAGTGTGAAGTTATGCTGCTGCAGAGGAAGAACAGGAAGCAGCTTTAAATGGACATAGGATGTAAACCACTGATCTTTATTTATTCACTGGATCACTGATTGATCGTTGGCAGTACGGGGTTAAAGTGAAGCCACCGCCCGCCATGTTGGTACTCCCTAGTTAGACCGGTCACACTGTAAACAATCTGTGCGCTACAGCATCGAACAACAATGATGTTCTCATTTTCAGGGCTTAAGCCTTTTAAAAACTGTTCCATGAGGTAGGCCACTAAGCACTAAGGCAAGGTCCTTAGTGCTTAGTGGCCTACCTCAGGCATGAGTGAAAGCGCAAATACAAGAGCCATACCGGCTCAGACGTCGCCCGGGTTAACTAGGTCTGTGTCAGTTGCTAGGGAACCACGGCAACTTGATGACAAATAAGTCACTGGAACAAGACATAGATGGACTAGAGCAGATGTATATATATATATAGGAGTCAAATGTTTGATTTGCTTTTAGTCCATGTCATGTGCTATTTCAGCACATTACTTTTTCAAATGAGAAATACAACAATCAGTACAAAAACGGCAGCATCATCCACTTAATAAAGAATGAATACATTAACATTTCACAGTGAATTACTTTCTATTTTCTCTACTTTCTATTTTCTAACGTTAGACCCAATGTCAGTGTCTAACTCAGTCAATGTCTTCCAGTCAGTCTGAGATAGCCAGACTAATGTTAGTCTGCAGACTAAACTATAGGATCCATCGGCTATAGATGGATTTATTGCTTAGTTCATCCACTGACTGGGAAATTACCAGTGGAACGACTTCCTACAGCCAGAAAACTGCTGGTTTCACTGCATGTCTCTGTGGGAGTGGGGAGTACCAACATGGCGGACGGTGGCTTCACTTTTTTCAGGCATTCAGCAATCCAGTGAATAAATAGTGATCAGTAGTGTAAACCGACTGAGTCACATTAAACTCAGAATCAATCATGTGGACGACTCAGACCGGATGGAGATCAGCGCCTCTAGTTGATGGCGTCATTCAGTCCCTCTAGTTGATGGCGTCATTCAGTCCCTCTAGTTGATGACGTCATTCAGTCCCTCTAGTTGATGGCGTCATTCCGTCCCTCTAGTTGATGACGTCATTCAGTCCCTCTAGTTGATGACGTCATTCAGTCTGTGAGCTGTTTAACGCGGAGCTCTGATGTCAGCAGGAGTCTGACTCAGATTAAAAACTAAACCTCAGTTATTTTGGCTAATTTTGTTGTTTTAATTTTCACCACCTTAATAATCACTAGTTTGCTTTTTCACAGAGTGAGATTGCTTTGAGCACATTAACATTTAACCCCCCCTCCTTCCCTTTCCTGCTGTGATCAGGGGCAGCAGCTGCTCGTTGGGCTGTCTGACCTCCTGCCATCATGGTGGCTGCAGGTTTACGCATGACGGCGTCTCTCAGAACCAGAGGCGCTGCCTCCAGGACTCCAAGCCGTTGGTGGGAAGCAGCAGCAGTGCTGGTGATAAATGGCTGCTTCTGGAGGCGTTTGACATCATCACGGAGGACTGGAACACCTGGTTTGGGACTCTGTGTGTCCTGCTGCTGCTGCTCTTTCTCATTTTACTTTGATTGAACTGTCGGATCTGCAGGTCCACAGGATTTTAGTTTGTTTGACCTCTTAAATGTATAAACTTCTTCTGATTATTCTGAGTAAATCTGATAATGTTAAATATGAGATGAAATAAATGTTGTGGAAATGGAAATTCCTCTGCTACAGTTGGAAATGAATGTGCTCTGATCTCCGACATTGACAGAAGATTTAAAGCAGATTAACTGTTTGAAGATGATAAGGAAGAAATGTGTGAAAGGAATCTCCTGTAAAATGGATCTGATTTTAATAAAACATTGTTTTCCTCTTGGTTTAAACAAGTCTGTTTTATTTGATGTTCAGTTTTTGTTATCTGACTTTGTTCTGCAGTGAGAATCAAGCTTTTCTGTTTTTCACTCCAAACAAACAAATCTGTCACCATGTAAGGAGAAGAGCACCAGATAAGCAACAGGTTTATTTCCAGTAGCTTGTTGGACGGTTAAACGTTTCATTGTGAATTTTCTCCAGTCGAATAAAGCAGTAAAATGGCTTTCATGTTTGTGCTCCCTGCCTCTAACAACAGAAACCTGTTTATTATTTTAAGGTTTCTTCTGTTCAGTTCTCTCTATTGCTAAGATATCAGAAGCTAACCGGTGGATGGAGGCAATATGGCCGCCCCCCATTGGTAGACGTCACCCAGAACCCACCATTAAACCATCGCAGAGCGAATCTGTTTCCCTTAAAGTCAAAACTTTCATCAACTGATTTTATTTTTGCTCCTACAATGAATCTACCTTCCAGGTATTACTGGATCTCAGGGTTTCCAAGGAAACCGTTTGGCTCCTGCATTTCTGCTGTCAACCAGCAGGGGGAGCAGTTCTTTAACCTAAATCCACCGAGAAAAAAAACTGACAAAACTCACAGTGCGCTCGGCTTGCCATACACCAACGCCTCTATACGGTAATATGTTTGGTTTTAATGAATTATTGAGTAACGGAAATGTCTAACTGTTAGCTTAGCTTAGCAGGCTAGTTCTGCTTTTAGCCCCTGATGAAGTTAAACTTCTAGAAAGTTACAGATAATTTTCCTCGCGGCCGTTTTCAGAAAATCCAACATTTTCCTGAAGGCCGTTGGTGGACACAGGTGCAGTTACAAACACGCACTTCTGACTTGGATAAATGTTATTTTAAGCACAAAAAGAAATAAATAAATAGAAAAAAAAAAAAACGACAGAATATAGATAAAAACATTTTAAAGCTTCTATAGAAGCTAAAGTTAATCTGCTGTTTTAACTTTTCACTATTGTCTTATTCTGATACATTTTTCTAAAGTCCATATTTGTGAACTTTTTTTTTTTCTAGAATCTTTTTGCTGCTTCAACGCCAGAATTGACCCATTTTGGGTCAATAAAGGGATTTTCTGTTTTATTCTATTCTGTTACAGCCTAAAAAAATTAAATAATCAAAAGTGGTGAAAAATATATTTACCTTCAGTCCAAAAACACCCAAATATTTGCAGAACATCTTCCCTCCATTAGATCCTAATCTTCTTAATTAATCTAAAATTGACCAAAATCATCAAAACAATTCCAAATATAAAATGAATAGATCGTATTTAGATAGATTCTGTCTACAAAATAAAACAAAACTGAATCTAAAAGGACGTTTTGATTTATAAACATTTTTCATAAATGTCCACAAAATATTTAACGCTTTCAAAGCGAAGGCGGTTAAATGTTCATTAATGACTGACAGCAACAAGGTAGACAAACTTTAGTCACTGCTGGGAAATCACCTTTACACAGTTATAAATAAAATTAAGTTTAATTATTTATTGTTTTATTCTAGAATAGGACAGTAACAGACTGCACCTTTATCTCATTAGGAACCAATCAGAGACCAGCTGGATTCACCAAATAAAATAGTTCAATTATTAATCACCCTGAAACACAAAGAGACACAAGAGAGAATAATCTGCCTCCTTTGATTTGTTTGTTCCTCAGTCAGTTGCTTTTTAGCAAATTTATATATAAATTTACTTATTTGTTTTATTAAAACGTATTTTACGCCAGAAACAAATCTAATAAGAATTTATTCCCAAGTTTACGGCGTAAATGTTTTATTTACTGTCTGTTTTATATATAAATCTCTTTTAAAATTAGAGCTTTTGCCACTTTCTATACTATTTCTATTCATTTTTTAATTTCAAAGTACAAAAAACTAAAGTAACTAGTTAAAAAATAATAATGATTAAAAAAACGGGGAAAAACTAAAACTAACATTAAGTTTTGCAACATCCTCATTTGTTCAGATGCACAGATATGTACAAACGCATGTACTAATATAGGACGACTGAATGATCCCCAAAGGACAGCAGATCGCTAAATTAATGACTTATTTTAAATAAAATCTAGTCTGTCCTAGAGGCAGGTGGTTTTAATATATAGATTTTCAGATCCTCCAGAGGTTTTCTGTTCTGTTATTAAAATCCTGAGTCATTTTCTCTGGGGACATAAAGCAGAGATGTGTGTCATCCTGTAGAGACCATGGGGGGGTCCACCATTAGAGCAATATATTCATTTCTTTGCCACAAAAAATCATTTAGGAGCTTTGTCCACTCCAAGCTGGCCTGCATGGTGGTGGCAGTGTCATGCTGTGGGATGATGGGACAGACTGGAGCAGAGCTTCTCCTTCCAGCAGGATGAAGCAGCCAGACACACGGAGGGAAGCTAACATGGAGTGTGCTGGAGTTGGAGTGGCCTAGTCAAAGTCCAGACCTGAATCAGACTGAGAAACTTGGACAGATTGCAGGCTGGAGTTAGAGTGGCCTAGTCAAAGTCCAGACCTGAATGGGACTGAGACATGTGGACAGATTCCAGGCGGCTGATGTTTATAGACCTGCTGGATCCAGTCTGACTGACAGGAGCTGTTTCACCTCCAATGATGGACAGAAGTTAAAGTTTCCACATGTTCAGATTGACGCCATAAAAATGTGTTTCTACTGACATTATCAATGAGGAGCCTTCAGGAAAACTGACCCCTCCTCCCAACATGTCTGCTTTCCTGCCTGCTGGTCTGTAGTTGAAATCCCTCCTCCTCTTCCTCACTCTGATTGTTCTGAACTCGTTTCTTCCTGAACAGATTTCTTGATTCCTGCGCAGCAGCTGTGATGACCGGTATAAAGTGTCCGCCTATCATCCCTCCCAGGATCAGCCCAGGACCGACCAATCAGAGGCCCCCTCCCATGGTGATGTCAGGGGCGTATAAAGCCCCCGGCGGGCGGTGGGACGCCCTGAGCAGAGTCAGCGTTCCCGGCCTGGACGCCTCGGCTGGAGGGACTGCTGTCAGGAGGACGAACAGAACTACACGGCGCCCGCCTGTAGTTTTGTTTTCTACTGAGGGCTTCCTGCGCCGCTCGGCTGCTCTTCTGGACTTTCTGACTGTTTCTGGATAAAGGTTTTAGATTTGCTGCCCCCCCCCGCCCCGCTGAGGGCCCCCCAGGCATCCTTGTGCTGACAGGTGAGTGGTTCTGATTGTTGGCGACCGAAACGGACCCGGGTCCTGATTTTGGGTTTTCAGGGTCCAGAACCTTTTAGTGAGTTTGTGCTGAAGGTGATGCGGACCTCCCAGAATAGCTGCCGCCCCCCCACCGGCGCATGGCTTTTTAAGGGAATCAGCAGCAGGGCTATCAGCTCTCAGATATGCGCCCCACATGGTGACTGTCCGTCAAACCGGGGGCTGGGGGGGGCTATTTATAGCTGCCCTGTGTTAACTAACAGCCCCCCCCTCAGGGCTGTGGGCTGATTGACAGCAGCAACACCTCTCTGAGGCTCTTATTTTGGAAAGCAGCAGCTGCAGGAGTCCTTCTGATGATCAGAGTTTATGACTGAGCCGCTCTGGGATTTAGACTCAGCTCATGATTCTGGCTTCATTAAAAGAAAATAATAATTTTATTTTTTACTCGGTTTATCATCAAACTTCGCTCTGCGTTCTTTTGTTTTCAGAGGAAAGTCTGAAGTTTATTTCTTCTGAATGAACGTAGAGAGAAACTGAAACCTGCTGCTCTGAGCTTTTCTCCCAATCTGATGGTTCTGATTTAGTTTCTTTATAACAGAAAGTTACATTCATTAAAAAACAAAAAACACTACTTTAACTTTACTGCAAAAACTCATCTAAAAATAATCATATTATAATAATTTTAGCAAATAAATCTGATTAACTGCCAACACAATGAGAAAGTTTTCCCTTTAAAATAAGATAATCAGATATTATTCACTTAAAATGAGACATTGTCTCACTTTCCTGCTCAACCTAAGGAAAATACTCTTATTTAAAAAAAATAACTTCTATATATTTAATTTGTTGCTGTGTTTAAATGTCCCTTTTTGGTGTTTATCCCAATAATAGAGATTAGAAGCTGAGATTGAGCAGGATGTGGTGAACCGAATGTTTCCCTGTTTATAAATCAGATCTGCAAAAAATAGAAATCTAAATAGGTAATTTTGTCTTAAAATAAGTTTATTTTTTAAGTTTATTTTGTCTTGAATTGAGAGGTTAAGTGAGACATGTTGCCAATGGAAGTAGACATTTTACATTTAAAATAAGAAATAACATTTGCATTGTCTTATGTTAGGAGCATTTTATCTCATTATCTTATTCTAGGAGTAAAAATAGTCATTCCATTGGTAAATCATTTTATTTATATACTCAAAGTAAACGTAAGTACACTTACTTAGGATTTTTTTTTAACTTATAGATCATTTTTGTAGTGTGATCCGTTCAGGGAAATAACTGGTAATGAGCTGAATCTGCCTGTAGGGGGCAGCGCATCTATAAAATGTTTCTGTTTACACATCAAACTTAAAGCTACAGTGTGTAATTTTCAGCGACATTTAGCGCTCAGACTGCAGACTGCAGCAACATGAACATCCCCCCCCCCCCACCGCTTCTCCCCCCCAACAGTACGGCGAGCGTTACGGGACAAAATGTCTTCCACGACGTCCGCATCACCTACTTTCTCAAGTGATGAGGTTTGTTTACATAGATAATTTTACAGATAGTATTTCATTAGTCTGTGTAGGGTATAGATTTCATGTAGACTTTAGATAATAAATATACCCGTTATTTTTTCTACATCGTTGTGACGTTTTGGTGAGCTGCTTTGCATGGTGATATAAACAGACGAAGTAATTGTAGTCATTAGTTTAACAGCGAGATTGTGTTCGCTGGAAGAATATATATTCCCCGTTTACAGAGTCTAAGTCTTGTTTGTGGCACGGGGGTTACAAGGCGAGGAAGAGGGAGAGGAAGAGGGCAGAGAGGCCGGGGTGGGCGTGCAGCTAGGGCCAGCCGAGGGAGAGGTGCCTACAGCAGTGGAGGAAAGGCTTGAAGATCTCCAAAGGAGCCGGAGAGAAGTAACCGAGGTATATATCCGTAGCTCGCTAATATGCAGCTTCATATATCTGTCTCTCTCACACTCACACACGCCACTATCAGCTGTGGTAATTTTATGAAGCTGTGGCCTTATCTAGGTAATGCTACCAGACATCTTGACAATAGTTTGGTTGAAACGGGATGTGGGGGTGGGGTATTACGTGTATAAAAAGACAATTGTGTGTGTAGGATTAATTACCTGTCCAACAGAAAACTGGCGACTTGAGCGTCACTTTGAAAACCTTTTTCCTCCATCAGTGACTTCCATCGTGTAAATGCCGTGCCAATGTTGATCCGCGTTTTTTGTCACGCTTGCGTTTATTCTCGTCGTGTTTCCGCTTCTTAGATGACGGGGGTTCGGTGTCCGCCGCTTTTCGTTGTGATACAGAGTAGGCATGATCCTCCATTCGTCTGATGTTTGGCCAAACAGTTTGCAAAGTCACTCACGCCTGCCGCCTTGTTTACCTTTCTTGTTACTGAAGCGCCGTATACCTGCTTCTTCTTCTTCTTTGGTTTCAGGCAGACTAAACGCTTTTCAGGCATAATACTGCCATCTATTGTTCAGTACCGTCTCAGTTCATCTCTCTCAACTTGCCGTAGTTACTTTCGAGCGTAATGGGCGATCTCACAATCGCTAGTTTGTTGCCTCTGCGCTGCCGTAGCGCAAAGATGTCAGCCTCCATGGCTGCGAGACCCGCTCCTATGTAATTATAAATAACGAATTCTAAGGCAACGCAAATATTATGGTTAAAAGGCTGAGCTCATAGGTGATGATAAGTAACATAGTTATGTATAATATATTCAATTTCTGACTTTATATCCCTGTAATTATTACACACTGTAGCTTTAAACAGATTAAACATTTTTTTTTTTTTTTGAACTTCATGTTATTTAGTAAAGAAAATAAATAAAAAAGAAGGGAACTAAACTAATTATTTATCTAATTTAAAGATGTAATGTCACAGTGAATCATTTAGTAGCTTTACTGTGTTTTTATTCTTTATTAATCTCAGTGGCTTTGATAGATCCGCCATGTTTGTCCTCAGACATGCCAGGGTCGGTTCTTTCCAGCTGGAACCGGTTCTGCTCCTGGTAGCTGGTTCCATATCAGCTCCACATACTAGAGGTGGGCGATACCGGGATTTTTTAATCGATCCGATACCAAGTAAATACTGGGTCAGTATCGCCGATATCGATACCGATACTTTTTACATTTAAGCTGCACTTGCCTGTTGCTTTTTTTCTATAAAGTTCTCAATCGTGGAATAAATAAGAGATTATCTAATGTTAGCTTATTTTAGCTAACAATTTTTAATGGGATAAATGTACTGGGTTTTTTCAAGGTCTTAACTACACTTTCTGAGTAATATATGATGTATAATGAAGTGCTGCAGACGATGACCACTGTTATCTACCTGGATATTCTCTGGAGGACTGAAACGCTTGGGTCAAAGATGTCTGTCTGAGGCTGGAGGCGGGTCTTTGGTCTCTCTCTCCATCCAAGTCTGAGTGAGCACTCACCCAGCAACCGGCAGCGCGGTTGTCTGTGTGACGTAGTGCTGAGTGGGCAGGCCAAGCTAAGCCTGCGCGCTGATTGGCTGGCGCCGCTGAGCCATGTGACTGTAGGAGAGGGGAGGGGGAGCAAAGTGCTGTTACACATATGGGGAAACTGGTGACTCCGCAGCAGTCAGCGCGCGCGAGAGAGGATAAAAAGTATCGATCTTGTTAAACGAATATTGTTCAATATAAATACCAGCGTTGGTATCGATAGTATCGATCCTGGGATCGATCCGCCCACCTCTACCACATACCAGCTGGAAGCTTTGGTCCAGATAAAGAAGTTCGGTTCTGTTTGGAGCCTTTGAATCAATCTGCATGAAAACTTTAACAATATTGTGAAGCTGAGGATCTAGAGCGTTTATGTCTGGAATTAATTAGCATCTTCAAAAGGAAAGAAAACACTTTAGTTAGAAAAACAAATCAAATCCAATAAGGTGATGAAATGATGAGAAGAAATGAACATGACGCATCGATGGGAACATTTGGACAGATTACTGATAATAAAGATGTTTTATTTCCTTTGACACTAAATAAAACCAACAGCAGTTCAAACATTTTTCAGCATAAACAAACAAAAACATGAACTAAAGTTACTGTTCTTATTGGGTTGATTAGTAGAAACAAGTCTGACATCATCGGCCGATACCGAAGTTAAAGACGACACATCAGACGTTTATCAAGAAAACGCTAAAAACAAACATTTAAGAAAAAAACAGATATTTTTATTAAATATTTTCTATTCAATTAATTGAAACATATTTTACCACAATTATTCAGATTAGTTACTGAATAATGAGAAGTGGTTCTGTTTGCAGTCTATGGTGGATTTACTTCATTTATAAATGGAGGTCCGTTTGTTCAGATGAACCCAGAACCAGCTGGTTCTAAGAACCACTTCCTGTTGATCCAGTCCTCAGAAACAGGAACCAACTGGGTCAGAACGCTGATTGGCTTCTAGGAATGAATGGGCTGATGTCTAGAACAGAACCAGAAACCGGTACCAGACTGGAGAGGACCGGTCCAGATTTAGACTGGGTGGGTTGACCCAGAATAGACCCAGAATGGACCCAGTGGTTCCGCTGGTGGGAACAGTCAGGGATGAGCAGAACCTTCCAGAACAAACATTCACAACCATCAAACCCAGTCTCATCTTGGTGGAACCAGAATCGATCAGAGAATCTTCCTCTCTGAGGAGGATCAGCGTGTCGGTCATTTAGACAGGAACCGGTCCAGGAGGGAATCCCCGGGTTCCCAGAGATCTCTGGATCCTCTCCAAGTGGGACGAGTCCAGAAAGGAGACGTACAGATCAGACCAGAACCGGGTCAGCCGGGTTCAGTCCGTTTGTTGTTTGTTGTTTTCTGGTCAGAACCAGAATTTCCCCTCAGAGGTTAATAAAGTAGAAATAATTCCTCCTTTCAACAGTTCAGAACAGCTGGAAGGTTGATGGTTAGAAACCAGGCTGGGTTCTGTCTCTGTGGACATGGCATGTTCTCCTTCTTCTTCCTTCCTCCTCCTTCGTCCTCCTATGTCCTCCTTTGTCCTCCTTCAACCTCCCTCATCCTTCTTTGTCCTCCTATCTCCTCCGTCCTCCACCATCCTCCACCATCCTCCTCTGTCCTCCTTTGTCCTCCTTCGTCCTCCTCCATCCTCCCTCGTCCTCCTCCGTCCTCCTGTGGAACGTTTTACCCGTTGCTCTGACTTTACAGTTTTTCTTCGTTTTAATTTTTTCCATCTCGTTAAAGAATTTGTTTCCTTTCATGTTTTTCTTTTGAAAAAAATGGAGTAAAGTTAATTTCATGTGAAACTTTCTTCCTCTTCTTGCTGAAAATCTAACATTCCTGTATTTGTTGTCGACGGGTTTATCAGATCTTAGATGTTTTAAAATCTTTTTCTGATTTTATTTTTTGTTTAGTTTTTTCTGACAGATGAGGATTAAAGTAACATTTCATTCATTTTCATTTCATTTGGATCCTTTCTGGTTTAATTCTCGTCTTAATTTGACTCAAAGTGATTAAAGCTTTTCAGCTGGACGGATGAATCCCTGATAACCAGAATAAACCAGTTGTTAGTGGAGTGAGAAGGAGGAGAGATTCATGTCTTTATGGTTCTACTGGTTTAGAACAACATGAAGTTTAACAATAAACAGAATAAATTTATCTTAGAGTGGAATAGAGGAGACCGGACCTGAAAATGGAAAATCAGTTTATGGTCCAGTTACTCATTAAGAGTTGATGATGATGATGATGAGGACAGAAGTGATGAAGGTTGTGATGGTTGTGTCTTCCTCAGGGTGCCGACCGTGATGTCAACACAGGCGCCGACGTTTACTCAGCCGCTACAGAGCGTCGTGGCACTAGAGGGTAGTGCCGCCACGTTCGAGGCTCAAGTTAGTGGTAAGAAGGAAGTTTGGATCGCTGGCTCACCGACCAGGAGCTTCTTCAAGGTCTCACCTCCTGGTTCTGGTTCTCCTCCTCTGCAGGTTCTCCAGTTCCTGAGGTGAGCTGGTTCCGTGATGGCCAGGTTCTTTCCGCCGCAGCTCTGCCCGGCGTCCAGTTCTCGTTCAGCGACGGCCGCGCTGTTCTGAGGATCCCCGCTGTGAATGCCGCACACAGCGGGCGCTTCTCCGTCAGAGCTACCAACGGCGCCGGGCAAGCTACCAGCACCGCTGAGCTCCTGGTTACAGGTAGGACTGGGAGGACAGAGGCAGGGGGACGGAGGCAGGGGGACAGAGACAGGAGGACAGAGGCAAGGGGACGGAGACAGGAGGACAGAGGCAGGAGGGACTAGATAGGAGGGACAGAAGCAGAAGATGGAGACAGGAGGGAAAGAGGCAGGGGGGTGGAGACAGGAGGGACTAGACAGAGGCAGGGGGACAGAGGCAGAGGACGGAGACAGGAGGGACTAGACAGGAGCACAGAGACAGGGGGACAGAGACAGGAGGACAGAGGCAGGGGGACGGAGGCAGGAGGGACTAGACAGAGGCAGGGGGACAGAGGCAGAGGACGGAGACAGGAGGGACTAGACAGAGGCACAGAGACAGGGGGACAGAGACAGGAGGACAGAGGCAGGGGGACGGAGGCAGGAGGGACTAGACAGAGGCAGGGGGACAGTGACAGGAGGGACGGAGGCAGGAGGGACAGAGGCAGGGGGACAGAGACAGGAGGGACAGAGGTGTAAGGAACTTAACAAACTAAGCAGAGACGTTTTTTTAGCTGATCTACTAACAGAACTGGAGACATGAAGGAAAACCTGTTTAGACTTTAGATCAGCTGGAAACTCTTCTACCAACCAGCTGCTCTCAATTATTCATTAATTATCATTCCCTGTTTTTGCTTCTATTATTATAGAAATATTCACTCTGCAGCTTGTTAAATTAGAGCAAACACCTTTGGACATTTATGAATGATTAAAATAAATTTTAAAAAGACAAATTTATTTGAGTTGCTTTGAGGTTTTGGTTTTTCTAGTTTTTACGATGAAGAAAATCTGCTGAACAGAATAAGAATAAAAGTTAAACTAGATGAAGATTCCGGCACCAAGATGAAACTTGTGTAAAAGCAGAGACTTCCTGCTACGGTGGCCTGGATGTTCAGAACAAAGCTTTGATGATGTTCTGGATGTGTTTCTGCTCTGATCCAGATGTTAGCATCAGATGATGCTGAATGAATCGAGTTGATTCTGATTTTCCAGCAGGAATATCAGTGATAGATACCTTGAAACTAAAACATTGGAAACTGAAATTCAGAATAATTTTCTATTTAAAAACTAGATTTGACAGATAACACAAAATAAACAAAGGAATAGTTTAAACGTCAGCTGATGCATCTTGTCCAGTCTGGTGCGTCTGATTGTCCGACAGCTTTGGGAAGAATTAAAAAATGGAAGTTTTAAACCTAGACTCTGATCACAGATTAAAGCAGGTCTAAAGATGGAAAAAAAACAGAAACATGCAGGATTAGAAAACTTTCTGCAGTTTATGGATGAGTCACTGTTAAACTGATCATTTAGGACGGCGGCGGCAGCAGGTTGAGCGTCCGTCAGATTAATAAAGGTTTATTCCGAGGCGCTGCGCTTCGGTCTGAGGCTAAATTTATCTGGTGTCAGCTGAGTGGGCGGAGCTTGTTATTTAATCCAGTGATAAAACCGATATAGATGCAGCTGCTGCAGCATAACTTTCCTTAACTGGATCTGGACTTTATGATGTGATGATATAGTCCAGATCATCAGATACAGAACCAACGGGGTCAGCAGGACCAGGAGGTCAAAGGTCAGGGAGGCTCAGAGGAGATCAAACTGACCATATTTACCTGCCAGCTGCAGGTAAAAACCAGCAGCTCCACCCCTTACAAGGGAACAGAACACCTTTCCTGTTCAGCCGGGCTAACAATTCCCTCTAATGTCGCCCTTTCAGAGACATAGACAGGTATCTGGAATTACAGGCTAACAAAGAAACCAAATGACCCCCATTCCAAATCTCGTGGAATCGTTTGATCATTTCAATTTGCATGTTTTCCACTCTATAAAGCCTTGAACTAAACGCTATTTCTGACATTTTGAATTGAAAAAGCTTCCTGGATGGGAAGAGAAACGTCTTCAAACTTTCATTGGTTTTCCAGGTTTTTGTTGATGGTTTCCGTTCTCTGTGTCTCCGCAGCCGAGACGGCGCCTCCCGCCTTCCTTCAGAGACTCCAGAGCTCCTCTGTGAGTCAGGGCAGCCAGGTGAGGCTGAGCGTCAGAGTTTCAGGAATCCCCACACCTGTGGTGAAGTTCTACAGAGAAGGAGCCGAGATCCAGAGCTCCACCGACTTCCAGATCCTCCAGGACGGAGACCTCTACAGTCTGCTGATCGCAGAGGCCTTCCCGGAGGATTCTGGGACGTATTCAGTGACGGCTACCAACAGCAGCGGACGCGCCACGTCCACCTGCGAGCTTCTGGTCCAAGGTGAGCTCAGGTTCTGGTTCTGGTAGCAGCTCAGTGGTTTGGATCAGAACTAAACCTTCTGGTGTCTCTGATGCAGGAGAAGAAGTTGTTCCCATTAAGAAAACAAAGACTATCATGTCCACGTCCCAGATGGAGACGTCTGGGTCCAGAGTTGAGAGGGTGAGTGGCGTTGGAGCAGCACCTAGTGGCGGTCTGTGGCGTTACGCGTCATGTCTGCTGCAGACGGCTTCTAACGTTGGTCTGTTTCCTCCTGAAGATGGAGGCCAGTTTCCAGGCCACCACCATGATGGAGATGCACGTCGAAGGAGGAATCATGACTCAGCACATCGCTCACAAAACCCCCCCGAGGGTCCCCCCGAAACCCACCTCCAGGTCCCCCCCGTCCTTCGTATCCAAGGTAACGGGAGGCCGGCAGCAGTCCCCGTCCCCTGTAAGACACGTGAAGGGGCCGACGCCCGCACCTGTCAGGTGAGTCTCCGCCTCCGCAGCCAGAGGAGCCGGGCTCAGACCGCTGAGCTGTGAGGTCTAACGAAACGCCGTCTCCTCCGCAGACCCGTCTCTCCCTCCAGCAGGATGTCCGTCTCTCCCATCAGACCCGTCAGGTCTCCTGTGATGAGCAGAAAACAGGTGAGCACCTCACCTGATCATTCACCTCCACTTTCAAGCTACCATCATAAAGGAAGATCATGCTTTTGAAATAATTTATTTAGTATAAAGCTGGTTCTTCCTCAATCAGGTTCAGGAGAGTCTTTATCAGAGAGTTCAACTCAGTTCTTCCTAAAACACATTTTAGATGTTGGACATAATCTGCCATGTTTAGCTGCAGTCTCTGTGCAGCTCATCCATATCCACATGGAACTAACTTTGTAGTATGCAGTTGTCCAAAATGTCCCAAAAGTCTTCGTCCACTGGGGGAGTGGTTCCCTAGTAGTTAGAGCATAGCGTTGGGTCTTAGAGGTTCTGAGTTCAAGTCCCATACTATCCCACAGACTGACACTCTGGCTCCCTGAGCAGGACCCTTTACCCCACACTGATCCCTGGCTGCCGCACAAAGGCAGCTCACTGCTCCTAAAGGGGAGAGTCAATTTTATTGCTCTTGTAATGATGATAAAACCTAGAAAAAAAGCTGAAACATCAAGTAGATTTAAGAGATTAAGAGTCAGATCCCTCAGCATAACTCCTCCTTTATCCAACCGTACACCACAGACTGGAAAAAATGTGCCTGCAAAAAATTAAACAGTGACGTGTTGAAATTTTAGTGAACTCAAGCCAAAGCAATCTACAGTCGATGTGGTCGAGTAGCTTCTATCCAATGAAATTAACTTTGTTCCCGGCTGAATGAAGCTGAATGAGGAGTTTATCTGGTTTAATAGATATGATTACTAAACATCAGGTAGCTGCTAATAGACGGCCATTAGAGTTTTTCATCTATTAGGACTTGATTATATAACTAAGCTGATCACAGCTAGTGATGCTATCCCTGTAGAACATGGCTCTCGGTTGGATCCGGAAGAAGCGGCTAGAAGCTGCTCGGCTTCCTCAAGTATAGATTGCTTTGGTTGGAATTCACCAAAAGGTCAAAACATTTGTTGTTGATTTTTTTGCAGGCGAATTTTCACCAGATTAAGATCCATTGTGAGGAATTAAATGTGCAAAACGATTCTGTACAAAAAAAGGCAGCTTCAGTGAGACGGTTTTTCTTCCGTACATCTCCACATGCTGGCAGCATCATTCTGATACATTTAGTCCATTTTCTATTCAATTCAGTTTATTTGTATAGCTCCAATTCACATCATGTCATCACAAGGAACTTTACTGGAAAAACGATCTAAAAATAAGTAAAAAAATTCCTTAAATCAAGTGTATTTACCCTTAAGTTGAGTCGGTAAATCAGATAGTTTGCCAATGGAAGGAGTATTTTTACTCTTCAAATAAGACAATTAGATAAAATGCTCTTGAAATAAGACAATGCAATTGTGTTTTCTTATTTTAAGTGTAAATTGTCTTGTTCCATTGGCAAAATGTCTCTTTTACCCCCTTAATCCAAGAACAAATGCACTTATTTTAAGAGAAAATGACATTTCTAGATTTTTTCCAGTCAGATTGAATTAAAGTTTTCTATCTAAGGAAAACCAGCTGATTGCATCGACTCATTGACTCTTCAGCAATCCCTCACACTAAGCATGCTTGTAGCGACAGTGGAGAGGAAAAACTCCCTTTGAACAGGAAGAAACCTCCAGCAGAACCAGGCTCAGTGTGAGCGACAGAAGCAGACATTTTGATATCTAAATGTTGAACCAGTAAACTGTCTTCAGTGAACTTAGTTTGGATCAGAACCAGAATGAACCTGTGATCCGTTTCCGTTGCTGCCGTCGTTTTTCCACTCCCAGACTAATCTAAACCTTCCTCTCAGGTTTCAGCCTCTGCAGAGGTCCTGCCGCCCTGGAAGCAGGAGGACTACGTGGCTGAAGGCTACACCAGTATGACCAGTATGAGCAGCTCCACTCAGATGCACATGGAGAAACAGTGGGAGCACCATGTGGCCGGTTGCAGAGAGGTAAGCATGGGGGGGGTTCTGCTCAGTTCTGATCCGGCCCGTGTCGGCTGCTGTCTGTAGGATCAGAATCGTCTGATTCCTCTGCAGAGGAAGGACGTCTGCGTCCCACTTCCTGTCAGATTAGACCCATTAAACCACAATGAGACGTTTGAGTCGCTCAAATGAAGACGAAGGTGTGAAGGAGCCTTCATCTTCTCCTCCTTCACCCTCATCTTCCTCACATCTCTGCTGCTTGTTGTACCCTCAGGGTGAGGGGGAGAAAAAAGCCGAGGCGGTCGCCACCGTGGTGGCCGCCGTCGACCTCGCTCGCGTTCGGCGGCCCGTGCATGAGGAGGGCGGCTGGGCTGATGAAGAGGAGGAGGTGAAGCAGCAGGCGGCAGCCGTCACAGAAAAACAGGTCGTTGTTCCTAAAACCGCCGCCGCTGAAGCCGCAGCAGCTGAAGATCAGCGACAGGTCCAGATGCAGCAGATGCAGCAGGTCCAGATGCAGCAGATGCAGCAGGTCCAGATGCAGCAGGCCCAGCAGGTCCAGATGATGCAGCAGGTCCAGCAGACCCAGCAGGTCCAGCAGGTCTGAGGACTGCATTGATCCTGTTAGATCAGATCTGATGGTTTGGGACTCTCCTTAACTGCTGATGTGTTGGTCACTCCAGATTGAGAGAAGTACCCAGGTCTCCTCCCACGCGGACTCTGGCGCCGCTGTCCCTCATTTCACCGTCTCTAAAGTTTCTGTTCCTAAACAGGAACCGAGCCGCGAGGTAAGAGGTTCAGCCGAGGGCCCCGGGCCCGCTCTCCCTGCCCCAGAACCTCCATGCCATCTTTAACAAACACGCATCAGTAACCGCTGTGGTCCGCTTTGGTTCCTCCTCACTGTCACCCTTCCTAAACCTGCACAGATCTTCCACTGATCCTCTTCTTTCCTGCTCCGACACTCGATTTACTTTACATCATTTCTCTCATTTCCTTTTTTTTCACCAACTGTAACTCCTAAGATGCTGGAACTGTATGTTTTCCCCACATCATCCTAGTTTTGGTCGTTATTCATTCATTCCTGTATTTAAGCTGCAACACGTCAGGAAAATGCAAATTTTCCTTCCTTCTTCAAACAACTAACATAAACGAACGTCATCGTTCATCTCTTATCGTTTGAGGACAGCAGTCTTTCCTTCCTCCTTCTCAATCACGTCTTTGGAGGCTGTGCTGCAGGGGTTCTTCATTGTCTTGTGAAAAATGGTGTGAAATATCCTGAAAGCAGAACATGTTGCTCTAAAATCTGCATTAATGCAGGTTCTTAACCACAGACCGGCTGCTACACAGACCTGGAATGTTGATCCATCATGATCCATCTTTTTCGCTGTGACGAGCCACTCCTGTCTTTCCTTCCTCTGTAAATTTAGCTCTGCATTAATGAGCTGAAGAAACGTGTTAAAGGCAGATTCTGTTTTAACGTCTTAAAACTTTCTTTCTCCGGTTCATTTTCCTGAAAAGAGATCACTCAGGACAAACTCTTTAAATAACACTTCATGACTTATATGTATTGAATAATCATGAGACATTGCAACAGATTTTGATAGAAATTGTAATCATAATCAGATCAGAGAAGTTGCTTAGAGTTACAGAAGGCAGCTGCTCACCAACAGGGCTCACTTCTTGGGATGTGAGACTGATTAACAGTTAAAGAAGCATTTTATACTTTAGTCTGTTTAGTCTGTAGTTAGTGCAGTCCTTTAGTCCACATCATCACATCATACATGTTAGCAAATAAGGAGACATCCATGGCTCCAGCCTTATCAAAGTATTACACTTTGTTCTTAGCTGAAGGACGCCGCTCTCATTCCGTTTCCCAAATATTTCCCATGTGCAGAAAGAAGATTATAACGGTATATAACCAGACAGAGGAACTGGCCTAATTAGATAAACTATTGTGGAAAACATCAGTTCTGACACGCAACAGGCAGCTAATATTAAGGTTTAATAACTCACACATCATCAATGATAATTATCCTGACAGGATTTTCAAAGTGAGCGTCTTCATGCAGTCCTGATGGATCAGAGTTGCTTTCAATATTTGCCTTTCTTCCTGATTTTCCTCCAGATTCTTTGAATGGTGCAAGGATATTCTGCTAAGCAGGGACAGAAAGAGGAAAATATCTGTTAGGGTTGTTAAGAATGAAACAAAGACGGTGTAAGATTGTTCCTGACCGTGCTTTGCAAAGGGAAAATACACAGAGCTTTGGGATCTCTCTGTGCATCTTCGTCTTGCTCCACGCTTGCAGGCTTGTTTATTGAACAGTCGACACATTACAACAGCAGGTGTTAGTTTCGATTACGCAATCTCTTAGACATAGCATGAACTTTTAAGATAGGGAACATGTCTGGTTTCAGGATACGCTTTTAAAAAAGGTGTCGGGGGTCATGAACTTTTAACTTCTGTGTTTCTTAAATGAAAAACAGGAAAGCATTCTTGTTAAACATTTGACCGTCTTATGACCTGCATACACTGTTTCCACTGATGACAGTATCATAGAAAAACAAATGATTAAAAGCAATATAAAAGATATAAATGAATAAAATGATAAAAACAACAGAAATCATAACTCCAACAATATCTTTGTTTTTTTCTCTTTGAAATTGTCTCCATTCGTTTTCACACACATCTGTGAATTTTATGGATCCAATCATAAAACCAAACCAGAGTTAAAAAAGTGTTTCTTCATCGAAATGTCTTAAAAACTTGGACACAAAGTCCAGTGTTTTTTTCTTTTTACTTTTTTGGAAGTTCTCTTTATGTTGATGTTGCAGTTGAGGCTAGGGCTGGGCGATATAGAAAAAAAGCTTATCGATAAAAAAAATGCATATTGATCGATATCGATAATTATTGAAAAGATTTGAAACCATATTTTATGTGCAGCTCTGCCTGGACTTTTTATAATATTGCTAAATGATTGAATTAAAAAAAAAAACACTTCGACTTCGAATTAAATCTTTATTTAACCAACTTTTTTAACCATAACAGAATTGTTTTAAAGAAAAATAACTTAAGAGACCTGAGTTATGTTATTAAATACTGACAAAGAATAAACTTAAGTGACCAGAAAAGTGACCAAAATAAATATAACAAATAAATAAATGCCCCACCGCCGCCGCTGCCGCCCCCGTTTCCTGCTTTAACCTGAGTTATTACTTTGAAGTTTCTGGCCCCTCAGCATTTTTATCTCAACTGTTAGAACTACGTGGGAAACTGCCCAGAACTGAAAATATATATATATTTTCCGAAGATTCCTCGGAGGAGAGCCGCGTCGGGGCCTACACAGCTCGTACTCCTGCGGCTGCGAGCGGCTGAGATGATAAAAAAAAAAAGTTGGTTTCGTTATCAGACTGGTTTTCACTGGTTCCCGACACATTTTCTAGATGACTGTGGTTTGTTTTTGGTCCGACTTGCCATGACCGAAATACTGCCAGACTGCCGAACTACAAATACCTTTCTTTGAAACCTTTCTTCCTCCGCCTCTCCTTGCTGCACAGCTTCATGTGCTCTGTGTTGAGGTTTGAGAGGGCGGCGCTTGGTGACGTCGTGCCTGGGTCCGCGATTGTGATTGGTTTGGAGGAAGCAGCGACTAGCATAAACCTACATGCTAGGCTACAATGAGAAGGAAGGAAAACTGCGTTTCTTTTTTATCGAACTTTTATCGACCCTCTTTTTTTTCTATTGCGCCACACGTCTATCGATCGATATATATCGTTATTGAATTATCGCCCAGCCCTAGTTGAGGCACAGATTGGATGTAAGTCTGGACTTTGACTAGGCCGTTCTAAGACATAAACACGTTTTTATCTGAACCTCTTGGTTGAAGCTCCGGATGGATTTTAATGCATTTTTATTCCATCCATCGACCCTCCCTTTACCTCCGACCAGCTTCCACGTCCTTTCCTATAGAAAAATCTCTCCACAGCATGATGCTGCCTCTCCCATGCTTTAGAATAGCTGATAGTGCGTTCATGCTGTGGTGTTAATTTTCCTTCAAACAAATCATTTTGTTTTTAACCAAAACACACTTTGGTGTCATCTCAGAAGATCAAAAGTGTTTTACTGTCACATATAATCACTGTAAATAAAATCTTTGGAGTTTGATAAAAGGGATTTGGGGTGTGAAAACTTTTGCATGGCATCATAGATGGTATCGCTCCTCCCCGGCTGCCTGCCGCCTTCTCTCAGTGATTTCTGACTTTCACTCAAAGCCTCCATCGCCTTCTTCACTCACTAATCCACAGCAGAGGGTGGACTTCCTGTTTATTCCTGATCACGGTGTTTATCCCTGCTCTGATTGGCCGGTTCAGGTGTCCATCACTGGCTCGGCCATCGCTGCTCTGCACAAAGAGCTGTCCTCCCCCACTGCAACCAGGAAGATCATCAAACCCGTCAAGTCTCCTAGTCCGTCCCGCAGATCGAGGGTGGAAACTAGAGTCACACTGGAGCCCCTCCCACCGCCATTTAAGGACGTCAGATATCAGAGCCAGTTTGGGGGCGGGGCTTATGCAGTGTGTGAGGAGGAGTTTGAGGACTGGGAGCCCCAGGTTGGTTCTTTACAAACGTCCTCTTCTTTTTAACTTCTTACAACAGTCCCGCTCTCTAACACGGCAGCCAATCACACGCCTCCCTTCATAAAGACTCCTCCCCTTCCTCCTCTGGTCCTCTTCCAGAGATGTCATCCTTTTCTTCTCCTCCATCCTCACAGAACCACGCAGACCGTCAGATGCTTTTTTCTCTTCAACTCTTGTCATTGTTTTCACAGGAGGCGGTCGCTGTGCCAATCAGAGCCCAGGAGCCTGCTGTCCCGCCCACTATCATGGCAGTAAGTAACCATTCGCTCCACTTCCTGTAGTCGTCTTTTCAAAGTAAAACTTAGTTATTATTTTTCTTGAATCCAAATATTCCCTGGTCATTGTCTTAGTAGGCTTTAGATAAAGGTTAAAAAAATTTAAGCCGAGGACGTACATACGGAACCACACCAAGGGTTTAAGAAATCGTAGTTGTTGCCATGGCAATTCCCTCCTTTTCTAGGGCTAGAGCCAACTACAGCTTTCTGCTCTCATAGCGCCATGTTTGAAATTAAATTATTACTGATAATCCTAACCAACAAATACAAAATCATTCCAGTTTTTTAGTCTGTTTTTCATAAACTATTTTTTTTGTACCACTTTTATCTTTTCTTTGGTCTAAATGACATCTGACTGCCTAAAACATGCATTAAAAACATGACAACGCTAACACTGAGCTAGCGCTAAGCTAACTCTATGCTAATGTTAGCTTGGGTCTTAGAGTCAAGCAGAAAACAGACTTTATGAAAAGATTTATTTATCCAACATTATAATATAGCAAACAACTCAGATACTAAATCATACTTATCGTATGATGATGTTTTTCTAAACTTTTCTCAGTCACAGTATAAGGAACTCATTAAAATTGGCTAAGAATAAAACATCAGATGAAGAAGAAATGTTTTTAAAGATCGGTATAGCTGGGTGGTATGGCAGCAGATGGTGAGAAAAAAAGCTTAAAAATCTTATGAGCCATCAGGTAGAGCCTTCTATTGGCTGTACATCTATATGTGGACATGTCTGCTGTTATGTCAGGTAAAAAAGTCTCCTTATTATATTTTGAAAAGAAAAATGTAAGTAAATTTGACAGTTAAGTGAGATAAAAGCACATTTAAACTTGTTTATGGCTTAATTGTCTGTAATCTGTCACTACAGCACTGGTTGAACCATCTAATGTTAATAATGAGCAGGTGTTAGACCAACACCAAACAGCCAAAGTCCAAACAGGACCCTTGGAAACCTTTGGAAAACCTACAGAATAATGAATCCTGACCAAAGGTTTTATTCAGATTCATAAATTGTCCATCCTGTCGTTTTTTCTGGTAATATATGATCAATGAACTGAAGAGAGAACTGGATATTGTGTTCAGCTCTCTGATTATTCCTCTGTTTGGTTTCAGGGACTGAAGAACCTGACGGTGACAGAGGGCGAGTCGGTAACCCTGGAATGCCAGATCAGCGGTCAGCCCACCCCCGTCATCATGTGGTTCAGAGAGGACTACAAAATCGAGAGTTCAATCGACTTCCAGCTGAGCTACGAGAGCGGCTTCGTCCGGATGACGATCCGTGAGGCGTTCGCCGAAGACAGCGGCCGCTTCACGTGCACCGCCACCAACGAGGCTGGAACCATCAGCACCTCCTGCTACCTGCTGGTTAAAGGTAACAGAAACAGAGCTGAGAGCTTGAGGACACAGTGCCTCACTAAACCTTTGACATTTTGTCATATTGGAGCCACAAAATGCAAAGGATTTTATTCTTAAGAAAATCAGTGTACAGTACATTTCAACCAAATGGAGTTCAAATCTTCTTGTTGCTGCTCAGACCAAGGCAAATTCTGGGCCATCCCCCATAGATCCTGATCTAGAGTATTTGCGCATAGCTGCCTCTGGTTAAACGTAAAGCCGCATGTTCGGAAAAGAAGCTCGAGGCAAAGAAAAGGCTAGAGAATGGGAAAATGCTCATTTCAACGAAAGTGGCTGGAAAAGGAGGAATTCAGGACCAGGCTGCAGCCTGTCGGCACTAAAGATGGCAAAGGATTTTGCCATGTTTTTTTTATTTATTTATATATATATATATATATATATATATATATATATATATATATATATATATATATAATAGGAGAGTCATGGGTACTTGTTAAAGGCATTAAAATTATTTCTAAAAGCATTAAAAGACCATTGAAAAGCATTAAATCAGAGTTGTTCATTCCTGTATAAACCCTGCATTTCTATAGCGCCAATTCACAACACGTCATCTCAAGGCACTTTACAGTTCAACCAGATCATACAATCAAATTGATTCAAAGTTTTCTATCTAAGGAAAACCAGCTGATTGCATCGACTCATTGACTCTTCAGCAATCCCTCACACTAAGCATGCTTGTAGCGACAGTGGAGAGGAAAAACTCCCTTTGAACAGGAAGAAACCTCCAGCAGAACCAGGCTCAGTGTGAGCGGCCATCTGCTGAGGCCCACTGGGGTTCAAGGAGACAGAAGCAGACATAGAAAAAGAAGCATAGATACAAAAGGCAGCTGTCAACCAGCTCCACAGGCGGCCCCGTCCAGGAAACACACAGCCAGGCAGACGAGCTCCGAGCCAGCTCCCATGTCAGAGGATGAAGAGAGCACATCCAGTTAGTCACAGTCAGAGAAACAGGACTACACTGAAAAAACGGCACGATCTCGAACATCACAACATGCACAGTTTTGTTTTTTATATTTGGACTTTTTATGAAGTTCAAAAATTATATTTTTTATTCAGAACTACTCTTCATATATTTTTTCCAGAACTGTGTTCACTGATTCTTATTTAAACAGATCTCTCACTGATCTCAAAAGACAGTTCATTACAACTAAATGTATTTAAGAACATTATGAAAATAGGAACTGAACACAGATCAGCAACCTTTTCAGAACATTATCTATAAAAGAGATTATCAGTCCATTTTGCTCCATTCTGCCACATAAATCCCAATAAATCAATTGGAGTCTGAGGTTTGTTTGTGATTAACTGTGAAGAGATGAAAGTAAATGAATCTGCTTGAAGGGAAACATCTTTAGAGATCTTAGAGTCAGATAAGATTAGACTTTGTCTGCCCCTCAGGCTACAACTGAATCTCTGCCTCAAAAACTATTTTCTTTGGTTTTGTTTGGCGTTTCTATAGGTTTATTACTAACTTAAACATAAAAACTAATAGTGCAATAAAACACGGATGTAAAAATATATCTCTATCTATAGATATATAGAAACATGTATAGTTACTTTACCCAACCTGATGCCCTTCTGTTGTTGAAATGGTAAAATATGACTAATGGTTGTCATTATGACTCCATTCTGCTCTATCAGGGAAAATTAGGTTTAAAATGTGAAATGAGGCAAACTTTCTGTCTAATCTGGCTGCTTCTGGTTGTGTTTTAGTGTCAGAGGACATAGAGAGCAGAGAGGAGATGGTGACGGTCACAGAAACAGGAATCACACAGGCCAAAGCGTGAGTTTTAAACATCCAAACCTTCAGTGTCTGCTTTCTCCGAGCTGCAGCTGAACGCGGATTTTGCTTCTCCGCAGCTTTGCCGTGGAGACGAGGGAGCAGACGGAGGTGAGCACCGGAGAATCTGCTGCTCCCTTCTTCATTAAGAAACCCGTCCCCCAGAAGCTGGTGGAGGGAGGGAGTGTCGTGTTTGAGTGTCAGATCGCAGGAAACCCCAAACCTCACATAATTTGGAAGAAGAGTGGCGTTCCGCTCACCACTGGATACAGGTACGCTCCACGGTGCGCCCCCATCGGGTTTATAATATAGAACTTGGTTCAGAGAAGATGATGCACTGTTTTCTTCCTTCAGATACAAAGTTGCCTACAAGAAGGACACTGGAGAATGCAGACTGGAGATCTCTATGACTTTCGCTGACGATGCTGGAGAATACTCTGTCTTTGCTAAGAATCCGCTTGGAGAAGCCTCAGCCTCTGCCATCCTACTGGATGAAGGTACCTCCGTCTCTGGTTATGATCCTCATCTCTACGTTTATTGGACCAGCCTCTCACTACATTTCTCTTCGCAGAGCAATATGAAGCCTACATGAAGCAGCAGGATGTGACCTATAAAACCGAAGTGACAACCACCGTGATCCAGGAACCCCCTCCAGTCGTGACTCAGTACGAGTTCGAACAAAGGAGGGTGACGACTCCAATGAGCTTCGTCTCAGAGACGGTAACCTTTCCATCAGATCTGTGACCTTACAGGCTAAGCTATCCACCTCTCGGCTAATGGGAATGTCGTCCTCTTCCAGGAGTTCATGATTTCAGCGTTTGAAGAGAGGATCATCCAGGAGATCGAGATCCGCATCTTGAGGATCTCCTACAGAGAGTTGGTCACGGAGGACGGAGAGCTGATGGTGACTGTCGCAGAGGACCAGGCTCTGCAGCCGGCCTTCGAAACACCAGTGAAAAACTATCGGATCATGGAGGGAATGGGAGTCACCTTCCACTGCAGGGTGTCTGGAACGCCGCTGCCCAAGGTGCAAAATAGTTACTTACCCATTCTCTGTAATGTATAGATCAGACAAATCAGATCTGAACTTGTCTGTGTGGTAGTGATGATCTTGCTCTGGCTCAGGGGGTTTCTTTGATAGTTTTATGATCCCTTAAATATTTTATAGAGCCTCTGTTTAACAACTTCCTGTACAGAAAGTTGAAACCAACATTTTCAGGATTACTTCATTGATATGAATGAAAACCTTCTGCAGATTGTTTGGTACAAAGATGGTCAGCGCATCAGACCCGGTGGGCGGTACCAGATGGAGGTTCTCCAAGATGGACGAGCCAGCCTCCGTATGTCTGTGGTCCAACCAGAGGATGAAGGAGTGTACACAGCCTTCGCCTCCAACATGAAGGGAAATGCTGTCAGCTCTGGGAAGCTCTACGTGGAGCCCTCTGGAGGTGTAACCCCTCCCAGATACACGCCACAGCCGTCCATGCAGCGGATCAGGTCAGTGTTAAAGATCTGCTGATCTAATACTCCAGATGTAAATAATGGGTTGAAACATGCCGGTTAACCGATACAATGGCGATTCCCTCTTTAGATCCGCCTCTCCTCGCTCCCTGAGCCGCTCCCCCGGTCGCTCTTCGAGCCGTTCGCCAGGACGTTCTCCTGCTCGCCGACTCGAAGAGACAGATGAAGCTCACCTGGATAGACTCTACAAACCAGTGTTTGTCCTTAAGCCTTCCTCCATAAAGTGCTCAGAGGGTCAAACCACCAGATTTGACTTGAAGGTTGTCGGCAGGCCAATGCCTGAAACCTACTGGTTCCATAACGGTGAGATACATGGTGTTATAAAATGTTTAGTAACATTTTATTTTTTGTTTGGCCTCTAAGAAATTAAGATCTTAATTTTCCTTCATTTACAGGACAACAAATCGTCAATGACTTCACACATAAGATAGTGATTAAAGAGGACGGTACCCAGTCCCTGATCATCGTCCCGGCTGTTCCAAAAGACTCCGGAGAATGGACGGTTGTGGCTCAGAACAGAGCTGGACGAACGTCTGTATCCGTAACTCTCTCAGTTGAACGTAAGTCTGAATTTGGTTAAACCTAAAGAAACCTTTATAAGTCGCCATTACAGACATCCTAATTCTCCCGGAAGTTCTGGGAGTCTCCCTGATATCGATTGTTGTTCATGGATGCCCGCGAGTCGGATAAATTATCCTAGATTTTAGACTTTGCAAGGTGGTGATTTTTTAATGCAAGTGAAAGCGTGCAGGCAGTACAATAATTTGTGTATCATGTGCGGATTAGAACCACTAAGATTGCACAGACAACAAGAGAGCACGGGGAGTGAGGAGGAGGTTACTGGTGAAACCTGTGCAGCTTGTCTGTCCAAACCGATGCTCTGTTCAACCAGCGTTCCAGGCCACCGGTTGTCAGAGCGCTGATTGGATTAGTCAGAAAAATAAGCCAATAAGTTTCAGTTTACACTTTTACAGTCGCCTCATTTTACAGCAGAATATACTAAAGTGTATCCATGTCAAGTGAAGGTGAAGAATGATGGAGTTTGCAAAGCACACAAACAAAAATAATTTTAGGCAATTATTTATTTAAAAAAATCATGGGCACAGATAATTAATGCAAGCACATGAGCAACTATTTTATGGCACTTATTTATTATTATAAAGCATCATAAATAAATTGTTCAATAAGATGGTTATTTTCTGCATCATGAAATATCTACCTGAACCAAACTGAATTGGCCCATGTGAACTTAACCGTATATCACTAATCCACTACTGATGAAGGCACAATTTATCTTTATTAAATATTTGAAAACTGAAAGCTTGAAATGTGCAACTGTGAAAGAAAAAACAAAAAAACACCTCTACATACAAACTTGTGTCTGTGTTTATAATTTCTATTCCGGCCCATGATGGTGATAATGAGGTGTGTTTATCATGGCCAGAAAGATGTGAGAGCTGTATGTTCATTTTTCGGCCAGTGGCGGCTGGTTGAGTTTTCTCCGGGGGGCTATAAATTCTAAATAGACGTATAACAAAAAACAGTCAAACGTATACTAAGTTATCACACCAGTATATTTATATGAATGCCAACAACAAAAAACATTATAAAAACAAAACATAATTTCCTGAACAAGGGTTGTAGTTGTTTGGTTCAATAAGCACCTCCCTGAAACGAGTTTTTGGAACTTTGGATGTCTGTCATTATTAACTGTGGTTTTACTCTGGGATCTGCAGCCAGAGAAAGCGTATCCAGACCACAGTTTGTTGAAAAGCTGAAGAACATCACCGTGAGGCAGGGAACGCTGGTGGAACTGGCTGTCAAAGCCATTGGAAACCCCCTGCCAGACATTGTTTGGCTGAAAAACAGCGACATCATCAGCCCACAGAAGCACCCACACATCAGGTAAGTCTTACCTCATCGACAAAAGATTCTTTGTCGCTTTAAAGCAGGTGGTTTGTTGGCTGACTTGGATGGATGCTTTTTCTAGGATTGAAGGAATCAAAGGAGAAGCCAAATTTCAAATCCCTTCAGCTGCTGGCTCTGACAGTGCCTGGTACACAGCCACAGCCATCAACAAGGCTGGCAGAGACACCACCCGCTGCAGAGTCAACGTTGAAGTCAACCACGCTGCCCCTCAGATTGAGAGGAAGCTCATAATTCCTAAAGGAACCTACAAGGCCAAGGAGATCGCAGCTCCTGAACTGGAGCCGCTCCATATGCGCTATGGCCAAGAGCAGTGGGAGGAAGGTGACCTTTATGACAAGGAGAAGCAACAGAAACCAGTGTTCAAGAAGAAGCTGACCTCCATCAGGATGAAGCGTTTCGGTCCGGCTCATTTCGAGTGTAGGCTCACTCCCATCGGAGACCCCACAATGGTGGTGGAGTGGCTGCATGACGGGAAGCCTCTGGCTGCTGCTAACAGGCTGCGGATGGTCAACGAGTTTGGCTACTGCAGCCTTGACTACGAGGTTGCTTACGCTAGAGACAGCGGCGTGATCACCTGCAGAGCTACCAACAAGTTTGGAGTTGACCAGACCTCAGCTACCCTGATTGTCAAGGACGAGAAGGGCCTCGTCGAGGAATCCCAGCTCCCTGAAGGCAGGAAGGGAGCCTATCGAATGGATGAAATTGAGCGTTTTGCTCATGAAGGAGGGCCTGCAGGGGTCAGCCTTGATGAAGAATCTGAAAAGACAAAACCTGATATTGTCTTGCTTCCAGAACCAGCAAGGGTGCTGGAAGGGGACATCGCTCGGTTCCGCTGCAGGGTGACTGGCTACCCGGCTCCAAAGGTTAATTGGTACCTTAACGGACAACTCATCCGCAAAAGCAAGAGATACCGACTCCGTTACGATGGAATCTACTACCTGGAGATCGTAGATGTCAAGTCCTACGACTCTGGTGAGGTCAGAGTAGTTGCAGATAACCCATTAGGCACGACCGAGCACACCGTGAAGCTGGAGATCCAACAGAGAGAGGACTTTAGATCAGTACTGCGGCGTGCCCCAGAACCCAAAGCTGCTGAGGTCTCTCATGACTCCGGCAAGATCGGATTTGATATCGTCAAGGTAGACAGACCTAGCGAGGTCCCACAAGACAGGGAAGTCGTTATGCTACGTAAGGCCCAGAGAATTGTTCATGAGAAAACCTCAGAGGAGTCCGATGAGCTAAAGAGCAAGTTCAAGCGCAGAACGGAGGAGGGTTTCTACGAGTCTATATCTGCAGTCGAGTTCAAGTCTCGCAAGAGGGACGACTCCTATGAAGATTTACTAAAGAAGACTAAAGATGAGCTGCTTCATCACATGAAGGAGGTAGAAGAGGCTGAAAGGAGGAGGCTGGAAGAGCAAGGCAACATCACCATCCCCACGATCAAACCAGAGAGGATCCAGCTGTCACCCAGCATGGAGGCTCCACACATCCTGGAACGCATAGCAAGCCAGACTGTTTCTCCAAAAGATGAGGTTCACTTTAGAGTCAGAGTGGTTGGCAGACCTGAGCCTGAGTGCCAGTGGTTCAAGAACGGTGTCCTGCTTGAAAAATCGGAGCGTGTCTACTGGTATTGGCCAGAAGATAATGTGTGTGAACTGGTAATCCTAGATGTTGCAGCAGAGGACTCTGCTAGCATCATGGTCAAGGCCATAAATGTCGCTGGAGAGTCCTCCAGCCACGCCTTCCTCCTGGTGCAAGGTAAATCCACATGCAAAACCCCTTCTTTTACGTTCTTATCATGTTTCTTCTGACCTCAAAGTCTAATTATGTGATTCTTTTGCAGCCAAGACAGCCATTAGTTTTACTCAAAACCTAGCAGATGTCAATGCCAATGAGAAGGACACCATGGTGACCTTTGAATGTGAAACCAACGAACCATTTGTCAAGGTCAAATGGCTGAAGAATGATGAAGAGATTTTCTCAGGAGACAAATACCGAATGCATTCTGACAGGAAGGTCCACTTCCTGTCTGTGCTAATGATAGAAATGAGTGATGATGCCGAATACTCCTGTGTTGTCATTGACGACGAAAACATCAGGACAAGCGCAAGGCTGCAAGTAGAAGGTATTTACTCCTGATTCCTATTTAATAATGTCAGGTTTGTGTGTAAATCAGATCAAGGTTCTTGATGTTCTTCTGTACCTCAGGTGCTGCCCTGGAGCTTATCAAACCCCTGGAGAGCATCGAGGTACCAGAGAGCTACGCTGGGGAGTTTGAGGTTGAGGTGTCCCGCGAAGATGCTGAGGGAACGTGGTTCTTTGGAGAGAAGGAGCTCTCTCCCAGCAGCAAATATGTCATATCCTCCCGCCGAGGACGACACACACTGGCCGTTAAGGACGTCAGGAAGGAAGACCAGGGAAAGTACACCTTTGTTTGTGGAGATCTGAGCACCAGTGCCGCGCTAAAAATGAAATGTAAGCATTTTAGAAGACTGTTGCCTCAAAGCAAATATAGCATATATTTCTAATCTTATTTCTCATAGCAACATTTGATTATTGGTTGATGAACATGTGTGTGCTCCATGCAGTGCGCCCAGTGACCCTGATGCAACCGCTGACTGACCTCACTATCTGTGAGGGGGACATTGCTCAACTGGAGGTCAGGTTCTCTCAGGAGAACGTAGAAGGAAACTGGCTTAAAAACGGCCAAGCAATCTCCTCCTCAGACCGTGTCCACATCGTCATTGACAAACATGTACACAAACTGCTAGTGGAGAACGTCAGCAGAGAAGATACGGCGTCCTACTCCTTCATAGTTCCAACTCACGACATCTCCACCTCGTGCAAGCTCAATGTTCAGAGTAAGTGTTGGGTTTCTCATGAAAGTGAATGCACCACTCCACCTTGGTCCATTTGGTCTTTACTTTGTACTTTATTTCCTTAAAGCCATTGACATTGTGGTGCCGTTGAAGGACGTTTCGTCCACCGAGGGCACGAAGGCGGTCCTTGAGTCCAAGATCTCTGCTCAGGACATCAGCTCCGTCAAATGGTACCACAACGACAAACTGCTGATGCCCAGTGACCGCGTCCAGGCCGTGGCAAAGGGTGCCAAGCAGCGCCTGGTCTTCACCAGGACCTTTGCTTCAGACGAAGGACGATACAAACTGGTGGTTGGCAAGGTGGAAACCAGCTGCAACCTGACTATTGAACGTAAGTTGGATTACATTTTCTCCTCATGAGGTTTGTAAGTTTCAGTCCTAATGTCATGATGGTTGTCCTAACAGAGGTCCAGATTGTGAAGCACATGGAGGACAAAGTCTGCTCAGAGTCCCAGAACGTTACCTTCAGTGTGGAAGTTTCACATCCTGGTATCGACCCCCTGTGGACCTTCAGAAACCAGCAGCTTAAGGCTGGGGCCAAATACAAGATAGAGTCCAAGGGTACTTCTCACTCTCTGGTGGTCTTTGACACCATGAAGGATGAGGAGGGCCAGTACATGTTCCACGCTGGGGAAAAGACATCCAGTGCTCAGCTCACTGTCTCTGGTAGGTGAAAACTCAAAGCTATGAAGAAGTTCAGTCAGTTAGGCATACATTGACTTGACTTTTTTGCTGGGGGCAGGTGATCATCTGCAGGCTGGATTTAAAGCTGCTGTTGTTGTCAGCTTTTTCTCCATCTCTGCCCAAATCAGCATCAATAATACTTCAAAGCATTTCTAAAACCTTTTTGGCTTTTATGCCATGTTCACACCTAACGCAATTTGTTCAAAATATGTTCACTTTTATTATCCTGGTGCCTGCAGTTTGTGCCATAAAGCGCTAAAATCTACTTCTAGCTGCCACCAACAGTAGGGGAAATCCCCAAGAGGCTACTGAGCCTGAGGCAGCTGCTTCAGGGGATTCCCAGTGAGAGCAAATCGGCAGTTTGCGGGGATCTGCACGCTCCGACAGAGAAATATTATTTTAAGGCAGGATGGTAATCTGGATGAACTGTCAAAGATTTTAGGTGGACTTTCTCAGTTAAAAATATATTCAAACTACTTTTTACTTTTCACTGATCACAGCAAATATAACAACACCACTCTGCTATTGAGCACAGGAGCAGCAGAAGCATCAGACACATTTGTCCACACTTTAGTGGACGTGCTTTAGGAGCATCAAAGACGCTCTTCAGGTGTGTCTGACCTATATTTGTACAAGCATAAAAAAAAGCAGCAGGCGCTTTTTTACTGCTAAAATCGTATGCGGTGTGAACGTAGCGTTAAAGTTCCTCTAAAAGCAATTTTAGTGACGACTTTAGCAAGGAATTCTGGAGTGTTCAGGATATGCAACCAAAAAGTACATGTTTTTTTTATTTCAGTATTTTTAGAAAACAAAAACAGTATGGAAATAAAGGTGATAGAGAAATAGGGAAGGTTACATAACAAGACCAACCAAATATTAATGTTTCAAAACTTAATTTCAATTCAAAATCTGAAAGCCATCAATATGACCACATTAGGGGTTCTAGTGGTAAGCAGATGAAGGCGGCGACTGTTTCATGTGTTGGTCAAATTTAGTCATCTGGTTTCAACTGTAAATTAACAAAATAAAACTCTTCAGGTTTGGCGTCCAGGGGAAATACCACATAGTCACAGCTGTTTCTTTATGCAACCACCAGGTGGAGCCATCACACGTCCACTGCAGGACGTGGCGGTCGCCGAGTCTCAGACTGCTGAGTTTGAATGTGAAGTCGCCAATGCAGATGCTGAAGGCAAGTGGCTGAAGGACGGTCAGCCCGTGGACTTCAATGACAACACTGTGAGCGAGGTGAACGGGGCGGTCAGACGCCTCGTCATCGTCATCACCCGACCGCAGGATGTCGGAGAGTACACCTATCAGGTGGCCAACTCTAAAACCAGCGCCAACCTCAAGGTGGAGGGTGAGTACCAGCTTCCCAAACCATTCAGTCACAAGACAAGAAGCTGGAGAGAAGGTAATCCAAGGATAAACGTGGAATTAATGAGTTCCTCTCTTTTTGTCTGCAGCGGTGAAGATCAGGAAGACTTTAAGGAACCAGACAGTCACAGAGACCCAGGAGGCCGTGTTCTCACTGGAACTCACCCACCCGGACGTGAAAGGATCCCAGTGGATCCGGAACGGAGTTGAACTGCAGAACAGCGACAAGTTCGAGATCATCTCAGAGGGAACGATCCAGGCTCTGAAGGTCAAGGACTGCAACACACAGGACGAGACGGTTTATTCCTTCAAACTGGGAAAACTGTCCGCCAACGCCAGACTCAACGTAGAGAGTGAGTACTTCTACCCCTAAACACAATACCGTCCAGCAGGTTTTTCTTTCTGTTTAGTTACCCCTACTACTCTTTATCTCTGTAGCGATCAAGATTGTCAAGAAGATTAAGGATGTGAAATCCCTGCTGGACGGCACAGCCTCCTTCGAGCTTAGCCTGTCGCACGACAACGTCCCTGTGAAGTGGATGTTCAAGGGCGTCGAGCTGAAGTCGAGCGAGAAGTGCAAGATTCTGTCGGAGAGAAAAGCTCACAAACTGATCCTGCAGAACGTGGACAGCAGCAACGCAGGAGAGTACACAGCTGTGGTTGGACACCTGCAGTGCAGCGCCGTGCTTACTGTAGAGGGTACGCAACACTGAACACGCTGTCATGAATTATTAAGAAGGAAAAACTTTCAATAAAGAAAGTGATATAAACTACATTTACTCTACAATGTTTTTTTCTTTTCTCCTCTAAACTTACATGACATTGGGGAAACTTGCATATTTCTAATTAACTGTCTTTCATATACACTTGAGCAAAAAGCGGTTGAGCACCCAGACGTAACGGTGCAAATGAAACCGGAAGCAGATACGGAACCATTTTAAGGCCTTTTGCGTCCCGATCTTTGGCAAGACGGCCCAAGATGTTCATCAGATGCAGGACAATCTTCGAGTCTCTCAAACTGCCGCTAGAGTTAACCAGAAGATAGAACTTGAAGCCACTATGTGGCCAATGACATTCCAGGTGATGCAAAACTAAGATCAGGTTCTGCAGAAAAACACCAGGTGTTTGCCAAGAGTTCAGTTCTGTCTGCTGCAGATGTCCTTCGGATCTGTAAGGCTTGATGCCTAAAACAAGGATCCCCCCTTGGTGCGATTTTTACAGTGGGAACACATTGGCTACAACATTGAGCCACCGGTAACGTCTTCAAGGCATCCTGTGTGTAGACTGACTTTCACTCAACACTTTGACGGACTGCTTTGGTTCCGACCCGATGTCACTCAAGGTGCCGCTAGTAAAATCTCCTCTGGCCTTTTCTAAGTATGCTTTTAAACTGAAACATTCAGTTATCCATATCCACCATTGGTCTGCATAAGGAACACTTCACATTCCCTCTGGGTGCTTAGCTGTTTTTTGGTATTAAGTGTATATATTTAGTAAATCTTAAGACCAACGTTTCTGATTCTCCATCAAACTGTCTCACTTAACTCATACTGTACCCTATAACATACTCATATATATCAATAAATCAACATTGGCGGTAAAAATACTAAAAATATAATCATATTTTATAGATTAACCAAAGATTTGGGACGATAATATTAAGAGTATGTATAAAAATAATAATAAATAAAAAAAACATTGAAAAGGTTCTGCCACTGCTTTTTTTAGCCTGGTTCCAAAAATATCCAGAAACATTTGATCTTTTAACCTTGGTGCTCTGGTTGAAGTGGTGTGAAACGTCACACAAGTAAGGTGATAACGGTCCCTTAAGACCCAAGAAGTAAAAGTTACACTTAAAATAGACAAGGGGCGCTTTATTTAAGAAGGCCAATACAGGCGTCATTTTGGGCAGAACGCAGGCTGCTGAGTTTTTTAATAACCAGCAGGTGTAAAAGAAATGCCTGCTTACGGTTTAAGCTAGGATTATAGTATCTAGTTGAGTTAATGGGTTCGTGTTTCCTTATAAAAGCATCAGCTAAGCTAATCTTCTTCCAAGTTCCAGAGTGGATCCATTTCCACAGAACTGTCCATCAGCATCGACTAAATAAGTTTCTACTTCTGTTGTCTATTAATAGGGCGGAGCTTCTACAGTTAATCCACATCTCTAAGGGGATTAACACGAGATAAATATAAACCCATTACTGCTTTCTGAAGACAGACCTGTAAATCATCAGCAAACAGCGATACATTTTTACTATTTTAAAAATGAGCCATAAATAGCTTTTTTCCAGTTAGAAGGGAATGGGACCAGAGAAGGGACCTTGAGGTACGCCTCTGCCATAAAGTATTCTTTCACAATTGTTTAAGTTTTACTTTTAATATGAACAAGGTGAATTAAACAGCACCAGGAAAAAGTTACCAGAAAGAAGGAGATATTCTAAAGGGAGAAACCCTCAGATTATCGTTTGTTCAACAGATTTTCTTTAACAGATTGTCATTACCTTTTCCGTTGTTACATTTTCTTGCCTGCAGCTCTTTGCGTCACCAAACCTATGAAGAGTGTGGAGGTCCCTGAGACTCAGGTGGCCACGTTTGAGTGTGAAGTGTCCCACTTCAACGTGCCCTCCACCTGGCTCAAAGACGGCGTGGAGATCGAGATGAGTGAGAAGTTCCGCATTGTGGTTCAGGGAAAACTGCACCAGCTTACGATCATGAACACCAGCAGGGAAGACTCTGCCGAGTACACCTTCATCTGTGGGAACGACCGCGTGTCTGCGACGCTCACCGTCAACCGTAAGACTTGTCACACATCAATGACCGCTGCTCTGGTTTTTAAATCTTTAACGTTAACGTGGGTATCCTTTAAAATGTTTCCAGCCGTCCTGATCACCTCCATGCTGAATGACCTGAATGCTCAGGAGAGAGACACCATCACCTTTGAGGTCACTGTCAACTACGAGGGCATCAGCTACAAATGGCTGAAGAACGGCGTAGAGGTCAAATCATCAGAAAGGTGTCAAGTCCGCAGCAAGCAGCTCACGCATTCACTTACGATCCGCAACGTTCATTTCGGAGACGGAGGAGAGTACCAGTTCGTAGCAGGCTCTGCTGCCAGCTCTGCTAACCTCTTTGTTGAAGGTAAAAAAAGCTCTTTGTTGCTAAAGACTTTCATTCGCTGTTCAGACTTCCCCTAAATCTGCATACCCAATGTCCTGGTTTCAGCTCGCGTGATAGAGTTCACCAAGAAGATTAAAGACATAAAGATAACTGAGAAGAAGAAGGCGGTTTTTGAGTGTGAGGTTTCTGAGCCCAACATCCAGGTGATATGGATGAAGAACGGCCAGGAGCTGGACGTGTCTGAGGAGAGGTCTGCCTATGATAGAACATCCGAAACAGAAGCTTTCAAAGCTACAAGATCAGCTGGAAATCATCTGCATTGCTTATTTTTCCACAGGTATGTGGTGCAAGCTGAGAAGTATGTCCATCGTCTGATGATCCAGACTGTTCGAATGTCAGATGCCGGAGAATATTCTGTGGTGGCCGGATCCAGCGTCTCCAAGGCCCACCTGACGGTAGAGGGCCGTGATGTCAGGATCGCTGAACCAGCAGAGCGAGAGATCACGGTAGGACAGATTTCTAACATGATGCACGTCCTCCAAACCAGAGATTGGTTTTCTAAAGCAATCTGAACCTCCTTCTCACCTTCCGCAGGTTCTAGAGAAACACAGAGCAACCTTTGAGTTTGAGGTGAATGAGGACGACGTAGAGGGTCGCTGGCTTAAGAACGGCGTGGAGATCCAGTTCTCGGTGGAGGAGAGGTTCAGCTACATAGCCATCAGGAAGATGCACCGTCTCACTATCTCTGAGACCTACAGGAGCGATGCCGGGGAATATACCTTCATCGCTGGCAAGAACAGGAGCACCATGAACCTCAGAGTCAACAGTAAGTCAATGTGGAGAAATTCACATGTAACATCAACTCAATGGTCAAGAGAAGTTGCCAAAAGGAGGAAAAGGTGCATTAGATATGTACAGTGCGTCCACATATATACAATAAAGAAATAAGGCAGAAATTTAAGTTGAGTTATTGACATTTGGATTTGCCGTCAGTTTGACGAGTAACATTTTTCCCAATAGAACCCATGGATAGTGATGATGTCCTCGACTATAATGTTTCTTGTGTGCGATATAAACCCATTGTGGTTATGTAGACCTTAAATCAGGTCTAATATATATTTTTATAGGCTTTATCGTATGCTATTATTATTTGTGGTCTAAATTTGTATAAAAAATAATCAGTAAAATAAATAAGACTGTTTTACCGCACAGGTTTGAAGTTTAAAATTACAATTTTATTTGTGGAAATTGACTGATTACCCCTAATATTATACATTTATGACAAACACCATGTGAGCGTTTTTTCGTGCTGATGCTCTTGGTGCTGTTTTCTTTACCTCACCAAACTCTTCAGTTGTGGAGGGGCTGGTAAAACAGTTGTAGTTGGCACCCAACTACAACTGTTTTACCAGTTCAAGGATAAAATCTCTGCGTGAGACGGAACTCCTGAACAAAAACAATGCGTTTATAGCTGCTATGTCCAGGAGATCATAAAATACAGCTACAAGCCACCTTCACGTTAACGTGACTCCGCCAGATGGATTTGCTCCTCATATCCATCTGGAAACCTTCGGTTGAAGTAATTTTGGGAAGGGGCGAAAATACTGGTTAGCTGATTGGCCTATGTTGGTGATAGACGAGCCAAATAAACCAATCAGATCAACGAAGCATATGACGTACTAACAGAGCGACGACGAAGAGGAGCCAATTCATAGATCAAACTCTTGCTGAAACCAGTCGGGAGAAGAGCAAAAACATCTTTTCCTCTGAGAAAAGCCTCCAGAGCAGTGTTTTGCTCTTCTTTCAGTGAAGAAATACTCTGTAATTCCGATAAAACTTGCTCGATAGCCACGCTAACGCTAGTTTCATCGGCTGAAGCCACCATGTTCTTTAGACTGAACTGTCTCGCTTCTCGTTGCGTCACACCTCAACCCGCCTCAAAGCCAACGCTGATTGGACGTTCGTTTGGTGAACGGCTCCAAATTTTCTTCGACGGAGAGTCTCCAGACTGATCTGCGAGTGAAACCTTGAAAGCTTGCGAGATCAGGATGGTCTCACCAGGCTACCTTCACGTTGGAGCTTTTATAGAATACTTTCTAACTGTCTCGATCTGACGCATCCATGCCGACCTCTATGTGATAATATTATACCAGGGACTCTTGTTTTGCTTTTGGGCCTCTGAGTGTACCGGCTGAGGTGTGGGCAGTGATATCCAAACCTTGAAAAAAGGTTTCCCTATCCTCTAATGGGTCACTGATGCGTCTGCGTTTTGCCGGGGATAGGCGATCATCCTCGGATTCGCTGTCAGAATCTGAGCCGCTTCCTAAACCGCTTCCTACCCAGCTGTATTCATCGGTCTCTCCCTCTCCGCCTGAATCGCTATCATCAATATCTTTAAGCATTTCCAACGCCTGTTTTCGCTGTTAGATTTATTTTGAAAGCTATTTTTCCACGTCAGTCAAAGAGTTCTAGGTAGAATGTTGGTTGCTAGGCAACAGTACGAACGGTCAATCAGCCGCTGGAAGAATTCACAATGCAGCTAATAGAGGCGTCAAAATGACGGCTTTGGGAGATCGAGGTAAAATTAACCACATTTATTTTAAGATTTTATTTTGTTAAAAAAAGTAAGTGAAAATGAAGAAAATATAGAAACAGGAGAAGTCAGTTAGCAGAGCAACATATGATTAATGTAAGTAACACTCTTCCCTTTTAAAATCTCAGAATCATCAAAATGACTGCCTCGAGTGTTAACAGGATTATTGCACAGGGTATTAGTTATTGCACAAGTTATTGCAGTTTTAATGAAGTATTGTAAAGTCCACACAGAGGTGTCTGTCTTGTAAAAAAGGAAAGAATAAAAAGTTAGAGGTGAGAACCTGACCTTGTTAACCAAACCTTTAACCCTTTTAGTCCCAGAGCCTCCTCAAGTCCTCCGTCACATGGAGCCCCAGTCGGTTGAAGCAGGAAAGCCAGCCCGCTTCTCTGTGGAGGTCAGCGGCGTTCCTCAACCGCAGGTCTCCTGGTACAAAAACTCCCAGGCTCTGTCGCCAGGCTTCAAGTGCAAGTTCCTGCACGACGGGAATGAGCACACCCTGCTTCTGATCGAGGTCTTCCCCGAGGATGCCGCCATCTACAACTGCGAAGCCAAAAACGACTATGGCACGGCCACCAGCACTGCCACGCTCAACGTGGAGGGTAAGACGGGACGTCCTGCCTAAAGAGCACAGAAATCCGTTAATGTAAAAGTTGTGGATGTGTACTGATCCTGTTTGTGTTCTGCAGTGTCAGAGGTGGTCTCCCCAGACTCCGCTGCCCCCATCTCTCCGCCCGTCATCGTCTCCCCCATCTCCGACACCTCAGCCAGAGAGGGAGAACCAGCTCACTTCCAGTGCCGAGTCCGTGGCGATGGTGAGAACAAAACCTACGATTGACAGCATTGAAACTTTAAACCAATCAGAAACGTTGAGGTATAAATTACAACCAGGAGCCACAAGCAGCCGGAGAGTGAAATAGTTCAAGTCTTAAAACTAAAGTTAATAAGCCTAGTTAACAATTAAATGTAGGTTTATGAACAAAAAATGTAAGTCCAAGTATCAGCATTAATGCCTCTAAGGTTATGTTGGAGCATAAAAAAAAAAAAAGTCCCAGGCGAAGGTAGATGAAAGTCACCGTGCACTTAACAAGTTCATCGTTTACCAGAATCAATAAGGGAATCGGAATCGTGAAAATCGTATCAATTCCCAACCCTACTGTCTATGTCACTGAAAGGGGGGTCGTTAAAGGCAATTGTTGGCCTGGCTGAATAGGCGAGGTCTTCTGTTGCCTGTAAAGGGGCTGAGGGTCAAAGTCCAGTAGATTGAAGTTTTTTGGAAGGACAATGACCTGGATGACTGAGAATCTTCACCAGCAACAGTCTCTGTGGAATAAACAGTTTCTGTTGTGTTAAGTCTAAATCTGTGCTGATGTTTTGTAAATCTCTTTGGAGGAAAGGTTTAACCTCCAAACTGTGCTTCTCCTGTCTCAGACGTGAAGATCAGTTGGTTCCACAAGGAGAAGGAGATCAAGCAGTCCGACTTCTTCCGGATGTCTCAGTTCGACGACAGCTGCCAGCTGGAGATCTCCAGAGTTTACCAGGAGGATGAAGGCGAATACACCTGCGTGGCCACGAACAACGCCGGGAAAGTCTTCTGCTCTGCCACTCTCACACTGGATGGTAGGTGTCTCCTAGGAATGAGTAATGAAAGCTAGACATTCTAGATCTATATCTAGAAAACAGAACCTAGAACAAAGCCAGAGTCATTTATATATTAACTATTTTACTCGTTCTTTTTTAAAGCTTTGCTTCTTTTAGGAGATGATATAAATCCTTCATATTTTAACAAATTTAAACCAAAACTCAGAAACGTTTCACCTCCTGATGGAGCAGCTTACAGAACCACCTTCAGCAAACTCTAAGGAAATATTTCTGTCTGATCTTATAGCTGCTCAGCTTGTGGAGGAATCCTGACCTGATCCATCTTCTTTCCAATGTTGCTTCAGTTCATGAAGGATCTGACAGGACTTAATGCCACGAGGGTCTGAGCTTTGGATGGTTGTGCTGCTGTAGATTTGCTGCTGCGTTCAGGTTCCTTACCTGTTAGTGGCCCAGTTGAGGTCAGACTTTAGATGGATGAAATCAGATCTGAGCCTAGACTAGTTTTCAAAGGAGTTGATGCTTGATTCTTTGACAGCCAAACTCATCGACCCTCAACCGCTCTGTGCCGCTGAGGTGCTGGTGCTGCTTTGTTGGTTTTGGTTCCCCCTCTAATGGTCCTGTGCCTTCCTGCTTTGGGCACATGCCTCCTGATTGCTGCAGTTCTTTTAGATCAGAGGTCTGCAACCTTTAAAATCCAAGGAGCCATTTCAACCCATGTCCATCGAAATAGATCATTTAGAGCTTCAAATATTACATAAAACACAACCGATTGTCTTTGGTAAATTTCTACTATAGGAAATATGTTGCCTTTTTAAACAACAAGTCATTAAGAACAAGTTCTTATTTACAATGGTGGCCTGACAAGTGGAATAACCACTTCGGAAAAGAAAAGTAGGGCTAAAATAAATACAATACATTAGTAATATGTACATAAAATGCATTTTAAAACACAACAGAAAACCCAAATATGACTGTAGAGAAGCAGCTGCAAGTATCTGTGAACAAGGATGGTCTAAATGTGTTGAAGGATGAAATTGAAACGATTCCATCCAGTTTAAGAACATTTTTCAGAGCTTTCCAGTCACTTTATTCATGTTTCAGGTTTTTTTGTAATTTATCAATATTTCAAACCATTAGTTGTTTTTTTATTGTTTTTATTTAACACTATTGACCCATATTTAAATTTCTGACCCCTAATTTAGATTCAGTATTTAAAATTACTTTAAACCTTCTAAATAAGCTGATGAGTACCGAAGAGGATTAGGGCCAGTGGGAAAAAAAAAAATTAACTGATTTTTAAATTTTATTTCAGTTTAGTATGGGAAAAAAGTCAGAATTCTGACTTTAATCTCAGAATTCTGAGATTAAAGCCAGAATTCTGAGAAAAAAAGTCAGAATTCTGAGATTAAAGTCAGAATTCTGACTTTTTTCCCCATGTTAAACTGAAATAAAATTTAAAATCAGTTAACTTTTTTTTTTTTTTTTAGTGGCCCTAATCCTCTTCCGTAGATGAGTCCTTTTTTAGTGACGGAAGCCTTTAGAACAGGAACGGAAGCGCTTTATTTTTCTATCACTTCTTTTTTTGTCAATATGAGAAATCAGGAGGAACCTTTAAACAGTTTAAACAGCTTCATAACCCAAACAGACTGATGGAGGACAGCAGTTGTTTCTCTAACTTAACTGCTGATGCATTTCCATCTTGTAATTATGTTCATTCATTAATTAGTACCTCTTGTTTGCAACTCGTTGATACTTTAAACCCTTTAAACTGGTTTTTAATAAATCCTGGATTCTGAAGCTGAGTCTATTCTTGTTTTTAAAGTAACTTTCAGTCCTTTAGTCCCCCGCAGAACATTAGTGAGGACTAAAAATGTAGTAAATAAAGATCTGGCTCTGAACATGCTTCCTTTCAGGGCAAAGTCAGACAGTGGGTGGCCCCGCTGAGCCTCAGTGGCACGTCTCCTCCAGCCTAAAGAAAGCGCTTGGTCAAAAGCCGATGTTCATCCAGCCAATCACGAGCTTCACAGTGAGCCACGGGGAAGTGGCCCGCTTCCACGCGCGTGTATCCGGCACCCCCAAGCCGGAAATCAGGTGGTTCCACAACCGGCAGCCGGTCCAGCCTTCCAAGAACGTAGTGTTCCACTTCGACGAGGTGACCAACGTCGCCACGCTCATCATAGTGGACGCTTTCTCTGAGCACGCGGGGCAGTACACCTGCAGGGCAGCGAATAAAGCCGGGGAGGCTGCGTGTTCGGCGAGCCTCACCGTTATCAGAGCAGAAGAAGAAGAAGAAGAAGGTAACACCTGGATGTGTCGGTTTGCTGCCAGACTCCCTCTAAATCTTCACGTTCCTTTCTTCGAGTTTCATTCACTCTTCTTCAAACTAAAACCTGAGAGGATGTCCTGAACCAGACCAGAGCTTTATGGGTTGAGGGTCTCAGCTGCAGGGTACCACTAATACGTTAGATTCATATATTCTGATTCTCTGGAAGCAGAGCAAGGCAGGAAACGGGTTTCCAGCCAGAAACAGGACCTTATTTTTAGGATTTGAATGTATTTAAACACCTAAAACGGATCAAATCAGTCTAAAAATTACATCAAAATTACAAGATAGTTTCAATTTAACTCTCCTCCTTAAACCTTCTTCAGATGTTAAAGCAGTCAAAGTTTTTGGTTTTGATTCATTTAGTGTGAAAAGTGGTGAAGTATCTGAGCAGCAAATCACCAAACAGAACCAGTTAGGGAGGAAGGAGCTGCTTTGGATTGGTGCTCCTGTAAAACCGAAACATCGGGACATCCCTCAGACGATCTTTAGCCCTGACTAACACCACAAACCTCTTCTGTCAAATCTTCCATTTGTTTGACTCCTGGAGTTGTCTCCTCCTCCTTCCTGGTCTTCCTTCCAAGGATCAATCCCATCATTCATCCAGCCTCCCTTCTGCTCTTTCTGCACAGTAAACTTCAGACATTTAACCTCTTTGATCATCCTTCCTATTTCTCCATTGTTCCAACCAATAAAACCGTTCTCTATCTCCAGTCTCCCTGGACATCATCCCTTTTTCTTTATTGCTTGTATCCGTTGGTTTTGGTCTATAAGCTCCAATCTGTTTTTTTTTTTTTTTTTTTTTGTATAACATCTAAATCGCAACACTTTGTATTTTTTATTATTCATCAAAATATCATTTTATGACTCAATCTTTAAATTATCCAGTATGTTGTGGTTACATCTAGCAGTTGTTTTTTTTTTTTGTTTCTTTTTAATCATTGAAACCTTTTTCTCAGCAAAAAAAGAATCCTTTTCATTTTGGGTGATGTTGCTCTCTGACATTAAATCCTTGGCAGGCTATTGGGTTCAAGCCTCTGTGTTGAGAATTTACATTCATCAGGCATTGCATTATGACCAATAACTGTAAATGCTTGAAAGCTGAAGCCACAATCCTGCCCCTCTGTTCAGTGAGGGTTTTTCTATTTTAACAAAATACCAATCACTTTACCAATGCCTGACCAAAGACTCAATAAATCCAGAAGAACATGCTATGGGTCTTTGATTTGCATCTGAATTGGAATATGCTCAGGAGAATAGACATTCACGCTGCTTAAATACATCAGCGCCTAAACTACTGGTTGCTCTGTGGCAGCAGATTGAATTGGCAAAGACTCTTGGATTTGTGTGAAAACTAAGCCAAAGTCCAGTTGCCTCAGTTAGAATAGAATAGAATATACTTTATTGTCCCCTTGGGGAAATTGTTCATGGACCCAAGTCCGCAGTGCCTATTATAAGCTGCCATTAGAAACAATAAATACATATTTATGGTTATACAAGCAGTTTGGTCCTAAAAGTTGATGTGATGATTACTGGACTGGAGAAAATCTGCAGTGCTCTTTATGTTTTGAGAATAAACCAAACAAGAAACAGTAGTGAACGAGGCCACATGCTTCTCCAAAGAGTTTAATCCAACAGTTACTGTAGCTCAGTTAGCTGGGGAAGCTCATTCTGGTCCTTCACAGTTAGTTTCATTTGTAGACCAATCAGGATAAACACAGCTTTTCCTGCATGCCTCAGGAATGGAGCGAAGAGCTTTGGTGTCTGTTAGATGTTCTGATCTAGAGAGGATCCACGTTGCACACCTTGGTGCCGGCGTTCTGTCAGATGAGCATACCCAGTCAGACCCGTATACCCGTAGTCAAAACCCGTTCATCCCTTTAGCTTATTCCTTTAGTTTATCCCTTTAGTTTTGTATGAAAAATACACTTCAAACTACCTCAACGGGTGTGTATCCATTAAGTCATGTACAAAAAAAATATATATAATTACTTACTTTTTGGTGTCTTTTGAAGCATATGGCGATCTGACCTTAAATTGTTTTTTTTGGTACATGACTAAAGGGATACCTGCATGTTGAGATAGTTTAAAGTGTAATTTTCAAACAAAACTAACGGTATAAATGCAAATCTGATGTCTTGCGCATTCATGTTGACTATAGCTATGCTGGTCTGACAGAACGCCGACACACCTTCAGAGGTTTAGTGGTGTTTGCAACAAAGCTCAGACAGAAACGCACATCATACACGTGGTCATAAAGTGATGCCACCTCCTTGTGTTAAGAGGAATTTATTTAGTTTATGGCAGAGCTGTTGCATCGTCAGGCTAACTGATGCACTGATGTCTCTTTCCTCTACAGTGACTCTTGTGAGGGAGCAGATTGAAGCCACAGTTGAAGAGGAAGTCAAAGGTAAGAGCTCGCCTCTATGGCCTTATTACAAACGATTACTGCGATCACACCAGAGAACACAATGAATGGAAAAAAAGGGACAGTTTAACCCGGTTCCTGACTTTTCTTTGCAAAAGTAGTCTGTTAGCAGCTAACTCTGATCCAAGCTGTGGTTCTGAGATGTTTCTTGACACGGAGAAGCCATGAAGGTCCTGATGAGAGAAACTGATGTGCAGATGCATGCTTGTTGATTGGATCAGAGTTGTCCTGCACCCACAGACTTGGGAACAAGATAAAAAGTTGAACTGTCCCTTTAAGAAGTATGTTATTTTCCACAGTTGCATGTCAGATTTCTGCGATTCAAAGGAAAAACTCCACCTGTTTCTTCTGTTTTGATGACATTCCATGGTTTCCTCCAGGAGAAGCACTGAAAGAACTTGCTTGTTCCAGTTTTTAAAGACTTTGCATCCTTAAACTCATTTCGGCATGAAGGTTCCCCTGATCCCAGAGAAAAAGGCACAGGATGTGTGTCTTTTAAAGCTCTTTTCAAAGACTTGAAATGCCCTTTAAAAGATATGGAGGTCTTCTGCATCTGGGACTGATACAGTCTTCCTGCAGAATCTGTCCTAGCCTGGCTTGCAGATAGTGGGATGTGATTCCTGTGGTTTGCTTCCAAAATAACACCAGTCAAACTATATTAGTTCGAATAAACGCCTTCTCACACAATTTTACGGCTTCATTTTCTTTTTAATTTCCTGAAATGAAAAATCGATATTGGAGAGCTTGAGCTTCATTCATAGCCTGTTAAAGATTAGAAAGGGCGTTTATTCTGCTGTCTGCAAGTCAGGTAAGGAACATTCTAGCAAAAGCGCAACCATCAGAAAGAACAACAAGCGAATGTTGGCCGACATGTTTTAACAATCATAAAATAATCTCTCTTGAAGAAATTTCCACAGACGAAGGATCAAAACTTCCTGCAGGTTTCTAATAAAAAGAATCAAGTCTTGCGTTTATTCGAACAAATATGGTGAGTGAAATTATTTTTTATGGCATTGTGACTCCCTGCATGCATTTAATATATTCCCATTAAAGATCATCCTATCCATCTCTCTTTACCCCCTGGGGCGCTTGCCGTTCTGACTGTCGTGTGCTTTTGTTTGCAGAAGTGTTGTATCACCAAAGGGAAGACGTACGCAGCATCAGTGAGCTCAGCGGCACCCGGCAGCTCCGCGGAGCCTTCTCCGACACTGAGGAGTTTCTCGATCATGGATTGGTGTCGGCTAACCGCTGCTCCAGCAGAACCTCGTCAATCAGCTCATGGACGGAGAACATTAAACCGTCCTTCACAAAGAAACTCAAGTTCCAGTCGGTCCTTGAAGGGGAACCGGTGGAGTTAAGGTGTAAACTGGTGGCTTGCCCTGTGCCGACTGTTCTTTGGTTTCATAACAACAGATCTATCCCCAAGGAGCGCAGACGTAGGATCTTTACAGACAGCAAGATGCACATGCACACCACAAGTCTTATTATTGATAGTATCAGGGAAAAAGATTCTGGCAGTTATAAGGTGATGGCCTTAAACTCAGAGGGTTCTGCTGAGTCCACAGCATCACTTTTGGTTTCGCTCAGGGAGGAGCAGTCTGCTAACTATCTAGGCTTTGTCCGGCGCTCAGCCAAGGCGCATGAGAGTGTGGACAACTTGGCAGAGCAGAGGAAGGAGAGGAAGTTTAGGGTTGATCTTAGATGTGTAGGATCTCCGTTTGACAAGATGTCCAAAGTCCACCAGGGTAGGTCCCGATCCAAGACTGCCCTGGTGCGCACCGTGTACTTTAGATCTAGTACAGGTTCTTTAGACAAACAATCAGAGAAGGAATCCAGACGTTTGGAGACTGCCTCTGAGCGTGCCCCATCCCCTCCCCCCATGTTTGACAGGTCGGAGCGATTTAATGATAGGTTCAGTGATATCTACTGCGACCGGCGCACTGGAGGTAGATTCAGCGATAAGTTTAGTGACAGGTGCAGTGACAGGTACAGTGACCGGTTCAGCGACACTGAAAGCCTCCACAATGAGGTGCGGGCAAAGCTTACAACCCTGCAGAAAGCGGTGAAACAGAAGAAGAGACTTTCTATTTCCACTATGTCCTCTTCTGAGTTTGAGGCGGAGTCGGTTGCTAGTGAGTCCAGCTATGCAGAGTATGTAGAGAGGTTGAGGTTAAAGCCTGCCTCTCTGCCTGATGTCCAGCATTTCAGCCGACCACGCGATGAGGGTGAGAAAGCCTCAGGCAGGCAACCCTCTCACCCTAGGACAAGACACTCATTTGAACCTCAGTCTAGAACCAGAGCCATTCAGATAATGAAAGGTGAGCTGGTCGGCATGACTTTACACCAGGAAGAGAGAAAATCAGTTGATAAAATCACAGAACAACTGGAGGACAAACCAGCCCTTGAGTCTCAAGCTGATACTGGAGTTCAGCTAATGGTAAGTAAATATCACAAAGTGGAAACTGAAAAGACAGAGGTTGGGGTGTCCCACAAAGATCTGGAACCCAGGATTTGTGTTAAAAAGGATGCTCCGCTCCTCAGTGGAAGTGAGGAAATATCTCAAATCCCAGAAAGCTCTGAAGGAGATGATTCTTATGAGAAGGAATCCCTGAGAGCCCAGTATGAGAAGAGCTTGGAAGCTGAGAGGAAAGAGTGTGAGGACAAACTCCTTGCTTTGCGGATTCGGAAATGGCAGCAAGGAAGCGTCATGTCAGAGCAGGAAATATTTCACCAAGAAGCTGATGTTCCCCTGCAAGCTGAAGTGGAGTACATGGAACCCACAGGATACTCTTACTCCCATCCGGATGTTCTGGAGGAAAAATCAACTGAGGGAGCTGAGACCACACCCTCTTCTTTCAATAAATCTCCCATGTTAAAGGCAAGTCCACTAGATCTTGAGGCCGCAACTCCAAAATCACCTAAAATAAAAGTCAGAGGACAGGAAGTAGAGAAGTCTCCTGCTTTTGATCCTGCTAAACCAAGAGCTAAACCAGAGGAGTCTCTGAGGGATCACTATGAAAAAAGCCTGGAAGCTGAGAGGGTAGAGTGCGAGGAAAAACTTCTGGCTCTACGAATTAGGAAATGGCAGCAGGGTGTGCGAATGTCAGAGGAAGAGACCTTTAACCCTGAAACCGATCTGCCTTTGCCAGCCGATACCCAATACATGAAGCCCCAGGACTGCATTTATACTCAGCAGGAGGTGGTGGAGAAAGGACCACCAGTTGATCCACTTCATTCTCACAATCCAAAGTCAAAACCGCACACAGTGGCAGTTAGAGCAGTAGAAGAAGAACAATCTGCTGTCCTACCTAAAGCCAGAGTGAAGACCCAAATAGAACAACAGGAACCAGAAGTTCTGATGATAGCACAGAAATCTCCCAAGATAAAAGGTAAAACAATGGAAGGGGAAGTTCAGTCACCTAGGGCAAGAGTCAGAATGGAGAAGAAGTTATATGAGAGGACTGGAGAACAACGAGAGCTCCAGCTTTCACAAGAGAACATCTCTGAACTAAAAAGTGAGAGTGAGAAGTTTGTCAGTGAAGAGGAGGCCCTTACTCAGAGGATCATGAAATGGCAGCAGGATGTTCTTCTGGAACAACAGCAGGCTGTGGAGGTAGAGTCAGATTGGGCAGAGCATTATCCTTCATTACAGGCTAAGATGACTTCTGAGGTTAAAAAAACCTTCCCAGAAACCTCTGCATTGCCAAAATTTCAGCAACCCCTGTTGGCCCACAACCAAAGGGTTTTTCCTGGACAAACAGCTGAGGAGAAGTTGCTGACTGGCTCATCCTCAACCGCTTTCGAAGACCAGAAGGGGAATATCTCTCAGTGGCCACCAGCTGAGGAGCTGCCGACAGAAGGCCGTGAGACCAGACTGCAGACAGACAGTGATTACTTTGTAAGTGAGGAAGAGGCAATGGCTCAGCGTATAAGAAAATGGCAAGAAGATGTTGTTGAGCAAGAAGAGGTGGCTGAGCTGGAGTCAGAGTGGGCTTTGGACAATCACTGTAAACAAACTGGCCCTGGGTTTGAGTCTAGTCTTCCTCCAGTGCACCATGAAATCCATCATGATTCAACACTTGCATTTCCAAATGCAAAACTTCCAGCTGCTCAACAAGCTGCAGAAAATGAGCAGTCCTTTGTCACACCGACTCCTCTCAAAGGCAGGACTTTATCTCTTAAGGTGGGTGCCCCTGTTGCCCCTGAAAAAGTAGTTTTACCTTATCAACCTTCAGTTCCATTAGATGATATGGGAGGAACAGCTGAGAGAACAATGAGCAGGGAGCACTATTCTGAGTCCAGCAACAGAGACAGCCACCAACGCTTCCAGACAGATGTAAGAGATGAGAGAGATTTAAAAGAGGAGATAGGAACCGCCGGAAAGAAGAGTGGATGGAGACAAGGTTTAGCAGGTGCACAAAAAGATGAAAGAGATGAAGATTCATTTAGACATAGAGGAAATGGAGAACAAAGATCTGCACAAGCTGCAAAAAAAAATGAGTTTAAACATACCGAGTATCAAAGGGTAAAACAAAGCAATACAGAATCTCCAGGCTCTCCCCCGATATTTGTAAAAGAAATACTTTCACTTAAAGTTAAAACTGGTGGGATGACTGAGTTTACTTGCCAGTTCCAAGGGGATCCTCTTCCTGATGTTAACTGGCTCAAAGATGGCAACCCAATTGCAGACAACCCAGATTATGATATCATTAGCAAATCCTACCACTCTAAGCTTACTGTATTTTATCCAACAACCGATCATGAGGGGAGATATGACTGCATCATAACCAACAAGCACGGAAAATCCATCTGCAGTGCTACTCTTGAGATTTCAGATAAGAAAGCATCCAAAAAGGTCCCCCAGGAAGTGGTAGTTACAGAGGAACTGGGGGTGCAGGAGACTCTCTTAGAGAAAGAAATTCAGACCTATATGGATACTGGAAAGGCAACACTGCAAGTTCCTCAAACTGTGGTCCATAAAC